GAACCTTCTAGCGCTCGATGGCGCATCGCCTCCCCCTCTTTGTACTTTCCCTGCCTCGACAGCACCGACCCAAGGTTGCTGACGCTGATGAGCGTGTCAGGATGCTCTCGCCCAAGCACCTTCTCTCTTCCTTCCAGCGCTTGTTGATGCATTGCCTCCGCCTCTTTGTACTTTCCCTGGCTCGACAGCACCAACCCAAGGTTGCTGACGCTGGTGAGCGTGTCGGGATGCACTCGTCCAAGCACCTTCTCTCTTCCTTCCAGCGCTTGATGCTCCGTCGCCTCCGCCTCTTCGTACTTCCCCTGCCTTAACAGCACCAACCCAAGCTGGCTGACGCTGGTGAGCGTGTCGGGATGCTCTCGCCCAAGCACCTTCTCTCTTCCTTCCAGCGCTCGTCGATGCATCGCCTCCGCCTCTTTGTACTTTCCCTGCCTCTCCAGCACCAACCCAAGGTTGCTGACGCTGGTGAGCGTGTGGAAATGCTCTAGCCCAAGCAAATCCTTCCTAAAGGACCATGCTTGTCGGTGCGCCAGTTCTGCCAGAGCATATTGCCCACTGCTTTCTTGACATCGCCCTATTCGTTCTAGGAGCCTAGCACTAGTCGTACTATCCAAACCATCCTCTACTTCTACCACATGCAGTGCATGAGGGAGGTACGCCATCCAGATCTCTCTTCTCTCATGTCCGCCATACGGTACGAGTTCTTCGATCCGGGCCGCTGCCGTACCTGCCCAGGTTTTGCGTTGACCATGTCCCTCCAGCCACCAGCTTAACGCCATATGCACTAGCCGATGCATGTCGAAAAACCTCTCCTTATTAGCTCCTGGGACAGTCTGTTGACGCTCAGTAAGAAATGCGTATGCCGTTAGGGTGCCAAGTGCTTTGATATGCTGCAGTTGAGATGTTCCTGACGGCAACAGCGACTGAGGGATGTTGATACGATCGATGCATGATATGAACGAGAGGTATTCCACCGCAAGAGGATCTTGCCTTTGGATTTGCTTAAAAGATATGTGCCACGTCTTTGCAACCGTGCTATCCAACCCTTGGTACCTGCTAGAATCCTCGAAACGCTCGCTAAAGAGCTCAGCTTTCGTGCTAGTATGCTGCAACAATGACATATAGTTAGTTATAGATATGTCATTTTCGTTTATAAACGCTGTCGCCTGTACAATGGCAAGCGGCAGACCTGTGAGCGACTTGAGTAATTCATCGATAGCCACCTTATCATTAAGTAGCGCTTGTCTTGAGATTCGTTGCGCAAGCAGCTGCCGAGCCTCAGTTTGGTCCATGTCCTCTAGCCCGAGAATACAAGTCTGGGTCAATTCTGTGGCCGCCTTCCTACTGCGAGTAGTGAAAAGAACCAAACCTCCACTACTGTACGGGATATAGTCGACCAATCGAGTTGACTGTTTCTGGCTATCAGAGTCGAGCAATACCCTAGAATCGTCGGCATTATCAACAATCATCAGCCAATTGTCCGATTGACTTAATGTCTCCTTCACGAGCTGCTTGACATTTGCATCGTCGTCATTGACTCCTGGTATGCGGAGGTGGGTGCCGATTTCTCGGAAAGCAAGATCGAAGCTTTCGTGGCTCATGGCAGGCACCCAAAAGACCAAACGTCTTGCATGTCTTGCTAGTGCGCGATATGCGAACTCAAGCGCAAGCGCTGATTTTCCGCAGCCCCCCAGTCCGTATATCGTCATGCGTCGGTGGGTATTGGATGAGAAGAAGGTTCGTTCAATCGCCTGAAGCTGGTTCTCTCGGCCGACAAAGAGCTCATTGCGGGGGAACGGTAGTGACGAGGAAACTGTGTGCGTTTAGCTGAGTTCGTATCACGCAATGGGGTATTGCCGCAGTCAGGGAGACACACTGGGAAGGTCCTGTAGATCCATCTTTCCCTGCCCCTGGTGGCGCTTCTGTATCTCATCCTTCAATCGCAGGGTTGCATATTCCTCTCCTTCACCATAGATGAGCGGCAAGAAGATGCCAAAGATCCCAAGCAAGCAGTATACTTTGTCTTCCTTTAGCGTCGTGGTGCGCTCTGCCGCCCATGTCATTCGCTCGTCCACGCTAAAGTTGGATAGCTTTGGATCTCGCAACGCCCTACAGGGAATGCCGGTGGCATGTTGTATCTCCTGCTCCAGTGAGACTCTGGTGCCTAGGTACCTGCTGTTACGCGAGAAGAACTCGACGCTATGTGGTGCGAGCAGCTCCTGCAGCGTCCAGCCTCGTGTGAACCACCGGCTGCGCCGAAAAGATTGTTCCCACGATTTGCGGAAGGCTTGGGCGTCGATGACTTCGTCTGGCACCAAAACATCAGATAAGTATACATAGCACTTGGTCGCCCGCTTATACCAGCGGAACATAGAGTTGATCGCCGTGCTCAGCTCGTCGCTTCTGGACTTGTCGATGCAGCAGGTGTCGACCCAGAAGTATTCGAGGCCATCTTTGGCGGCACGCTCGCCACAGAAGCGGATCTTAGTATAGCCATCCTTCTTTGGATCCGTTCCCTCCAACAGCTCGTGGTAAGTGACTTCCTGGCCCTCTGTCCAGGTGTGCGAGAGGATGGCGTACGGAGGAGTGGAGTCGTCGTCAAAAGAGGTTAGCCCAAAGCCGCCGTCCGGGAGGTATTTAAGAAGGCGCATGGCAACCCCGCATGTTCCTAGGAGAGAATGCTTGCGGGCTTGGTCGTAGTGGAAACAAGCAGAGAGATTAAAAGGCGTGGAGCAGCGGGCGATGTTTGTGAGGCATAGATAGCAGGCTGAGGGCCGGGGGACCATGGCCCACGTGACTCCGCTTGGCTGGGAACTCGGATCTCCAAATGTTATAAAATACGTACATGGAGTACCGTACCGGCATGCTATAGGCCAAAAACTCTCTTTACTGTATTTGATTGATACTAAGCATCAGCTGCATATTTGGATACGAGCTACACCCGATGGGGTGTGCGCTCCTAAGATAGATTTGGCGCCCTCGCTTGCCTAAATGACAAAGATATTATCTAAGATAAAATACTGAGTCAGTACTGATGCCTCGGCAGAAGATTGCTCGCTTATGATTCAAGGTACCGACCAGGGTGGCGATAATGTGAAAACTCGCAGGATACAGTAGCTGCAGGGCTAGCGGAAGCTAGCCAGTACTGTCATGAGATTCTCTGTAAGGGACCTATTGCATAGACGTCTTCGGAAGAACGATTAAGCTATTCTGTGGACCTGCACCTTTGGTGGTATGTATTCTTGAGTTTAGCATTAACTGATTCTGATTAGTCTAGGAGGATTCAAAAGCTCTGTAATTTTGGGCTTACAAGGTTGGAGAATGTCATGCAGGTGGCAGACTTAATTATTCCGCCCTAAGAATTTAGATCTCAGGCGTGTGGGGAGTTGTAGGCTAGATAGAGTTGGAAGTATCCATGATGTGTCTCGCCAGTCTGTGCGTCTCGTGAGGCCGTGCAGGACAACACATGCAGCTCTTTGCAACGATGCAAGGCGCCAACGGCCCCTAAATCCGAAGCACCTCCAAACGCCTTTGCACCAAAGTCTCTACACTTGCCTTAGTTTCCTTGACTGAGCTCAGAAACTGCTCAATCTTCCTCGTCATCTTGCCAGCCAGCCCCCGCATCCTCAGCCCATCCACCTTATTCGTGTCCCAACGCAAAATCACCTGAGTCTGCTCCAGGAAGCCCATTTGCTCAACCCCGCCTGAGTGGTCTGAGCGCCATGTTCGCTCGAAGACAGGATAGCAGGGCGCTATTGGGTAGGAAACATCTCGACGCTTGGGATAGTGTACGCCGTTGCAGTTCCAGCAGCGGGCTAGGCCTTGCGGTGTTTGCGATGTAAGTGAAGTAGAGCGTGAGTATGTGGAGATGTCATCCGCGAGGAAGGATGAGCGCCGTGGGATGTATGTAACATGAGGGATGGCGTTGAGAGTGCCCATGTCAGCGGGTGAAGGGGAAGCGGGAGAGCCCGGTGGGCTGGAAGGGAGGATGTGCCAGCGGCCAGCGTGGCGCTGCATCCGTAACGAGCCGTTGAGGTAGCCTGCGAGCTCGGTGGAGGTAAGTGTTTGGAGGAAGGCTTCGGGAGTTTGAGTTGAAGCGACTGAAGGAGTTGCAGAGCTTGCCATCGCCAAAGCATTGTGTTCATCCTGCAGTGGAGTTGAGCGAGGCTGGTCTGTAGTAGACACCGGTGAACGCATTTCCAGAGGCTGAGGTGAGCCAGAAGAATCACCACCCAGCCCTACCCAAGGTATAGTCCGCTTACGGCGCATTCGAGCAGGTATAGCAGTGTTGTTTGCTGACAGGCTTTCAACCCAGTATTGCTCCCTGTCCATTTTCCTCTTGTCGACCACTTTAAGAAAGCTCAAACTTGATGTGGTTGACGCTGGAGTTTTGCAGTTGAGTGTTGGGCTTTAGGTTTGCAGCAAGGTATGATTTCTCAAATAAATTTCGCCGACCTGTAGCATAGGTGCAGGCAGCAAAACTGTTGACATTGTGAATGAACGATGCCGAGTGCCTGCGGTGCAGTGAAACTAGCGATGAGTATGCACGCCGGGGTATCTTTCCATCTGACTTTCTTCCTTGAACGAGATTCTCTGTCTTCACGATGTTCGACCGTCGAAATCTGGCTCAAGGCCAACAATAACTGGTGCCTCAAACAAGCCACCCAGGATAAAACAAACTCAGTTGAAGAAACACACGACACTGATCATCTAGCCCGATCAACCACCGACCTCCTCCGTCCCCTAACCACATCCGCCTGCTTCTGCATAAACGCCACCCACACCACCGCATTCCTCAACTCCTCCTCAAGCTCACCAGCAGAAAGAGATCCAGACATCTCACGCTCTGACATCTCAACGTACCCCTCATCGAGCTCTCCCTCTTCGCCGTCAAGCCGAGCTGAAGTCTCCGCACCATCAAGTTCAGCTGAAGCCCCCTCGCCAACAACTACAATTAAAGCCTTACCCCCCTCTCGCCCATCGTCCACAGATTCTGCAAGTGCGATGCAACTCCTCCGCCCTCTAACAACCAACCTGCCCCTCCTTCTCAGACCCGACCCCCGGCCTTCTCTACGCCCGGCACTACTGCCCGCACTGCTCTCCCGCCGTCGAGATGCCGCTTCGCTGAACACCTCCACGACGACCGGCTTTCGCGCTGGTCCCCGCCTCACCCTCACAGTACCTTCCTCCACGTCTTCTAGATCTTTGAACAGACTAAGGGCAGGTTCGGAGGTGTAGAAGTGCTGGGAATCAGCGTTTTCTAGCCGTGCAGCAGAGGTTGGAGTCTGGCAAGGGGGATCCGGGCGGGGGCGGGTTGCGTAGAAAAGGCGACCCGAAAAAGTGCAGCGGAGGCCGTGTGTGTCTGAGCTGGGGAGGAGGCTGTGTGCGTGGAGGACGCAGGGGGAGGGGTGCGGGGGATGGGGATGGGGGTGCGTGGTGTATCGTTCGCGGAGCGTGGACATCTTATGTTAGTGTTATGCCGATACATGTACTTTCTTACCTGATGGCTGGCTGGTTGTTCTAGGAGAGCACGGGAATGCTTTCGTGGAGCATTCATTCCTGCGTCGCTCGCTGTCCCACACGATGCGCTAACATCGTACGCATGTCTCACGAGGTGTTGAACGCGAGACAAAGAGAACGTGAGACAAGACAAACCAAGACAGCAACTTCATGCCAGCGGCAAACGCTCTGTATTCCCAATCGATCGCTATGCAATCTAGCTACAGCAGACTCATCGATCCCTTCACATGAAGCGCCCTGGCGCCGGATACCAGCCACTCGTATCATCGTGATAGTGATATCAACAAAAGACCAAACGCCCGAAATATGTAGTGTGCTGTTGTTCTTCAACCTATGCTTTTACTCTCTCCTATCGGTTGCATCTTCTCATTCAATACATTTTCAACGTCTCCGCGAGAGACCCGCGCGGGCGGCCGTCGATCGCCGCTCGGGCTTGGGCTCCTCCTCGCTCTCTGAGACTTCCTCGCCGTCCACCTCGTCCTCATCGGGCTCCGACATGTCTTCGCCAGAGTCATCGTCGGTCTCTTCGGCTTCGTCGTCGAGCAGAGCCTCGGAGTCTTCGCTGCCCTCTTCGGAGAGCTCATCGACCTCCATGGTGGTGGGCATGCCGTCAACCGAGCTCTCGTCGTCTTCGTCGACGTTGCGCCGTGAGCGCTTCCGCGACTCTTCCAAGGCTACGTCCGAGCCGTCAGCTTCGTCTTCATCTGATGATGGGTCCTCTTCGCCCTCAACGTATATGACAGCCTCGTCCATGTCATCCTTGGCAGCCTTTTCTTGGTTTCTTCTTCGCAGCTCTAGTTGTGTTTGGAGCATGTCTAGTCTGCCTTTGAGAGACAGAAGCGGCTGCAAGCCGGTTGATCGCTGCGTGAGTACCTTGGTCAAGGTCGCTGTCTGCTTGATCAAATTTGACTGGGTGGCTAGGTAGCCCCCGTGGGTTGCAAGCGACCACTGCACCCATACCATCAGCATGCCGGGACGTCCAGGCCTCTTGTGTAACCGCTCCGCGAGCTTCTGTAGCAGAGCACCGACAAGCGGGGAAGGCAGGCGCTCAATGGTGGAGTATATGGTGTCGACGTCGTTTACGCGCAGACAGGAGTCAAGGAGGTCCTGATCATTGGTCCGCAGAGCTTGCGACAGCACTGTGCTCAGCGAAGTCGCGGACGGCGCTGCCAGCGGGCGGCGGACGGATGCCGTTGCAAGCTCGCGGGCACCGGCGTCGGCACCGACAAAGGCGGATTCGACATCAACGACGCGAGACTCGCGTAGAGGGGCTGTCTCTGGTTCCTGCGCCTTGAGACGCTCGCCGAACGACAGCTCTTCAGGCTCGGCGGTGCCGTCCTCGATGGGTCGCTCTGCGCCATTCTGGGCAGCGACGGCGGGGGCCGCATCGTCGTCGGCGTCGGACTCGTCGCTGTCTTCGTCGGCGCTACTGATGTCGATGACCTCTGGGGCTGCATCCTCCATGTCGACGTCACCATGGCCGGCGAACCCCCCGCTCACGACGGCGGTGGCCTCGTCGACCCTGCTTTTCCGGTCGTTTCGCACGCCATTGGTCTTTGCGGTGACGGCGGGCTTGCGGCTCGGGGCGCCATTGAGCAGCGACTTGAGGCCGGCCGACTGGGACAGCTTCGCCTTCTTGGTGGGCGGCGCATCGCGGGCGGCTTTGGGGGTCGCGCTGGGGGCGCGGGCGCGCGAGGACAGTGGAGCGGGCATGCTCACGGGGGCATGCAGGCGTGTGCGGTGCAGTGCAGCGAGGTGGGCGGGGCGGTGCGCGCGGAGTGGCAGCCTGGCGGTCGCGGTGAGGATGGTTGCGAGGCCCAGCGCAGGCTGCAAAATCTCAGGCAGCGCAAAATATTTCCGAGCACGGGCCCCCGGCGTGCCACGGGCGCGCCTACCGTCGACAGGGATCCGGGGCGCGCCTTCAGTCGCGTCGCAGTGGCTCCCCAGGCGTCGACGAGCGGGCGGGTGTGGACGACGCTGCACCCGCACGACGCGGCGAGCGCCCTGCACCGGCGGGCAGCGTGCAGCCGTGCAGCGCTCGCGGGCGCGGGCAGCAGGCGCGATGCAAGGCGCGGGCACGTGACGGGTGGCTCCTGCTAGTGTCGCATTTTCAGGGGCGTCCGCTTGGCCAAGAATCGGCGTGTCGGAGAGAATAAATGGAAGACGCATCCCACACCTCTTTCAACTTCACAAGACCTTTTCCCGACCCGCTCCCTAACGCCGCCTGCTCCGGATCGCCCGCCCACGACTCGCGCCCCTCCCATTCGACACCACCCCGCGCCCTCGCCGCGCACCCGGCTGCTCTCTCGCTTCCTCCTGCGCGCTGTCCTGCCTTGCTAGCGCCTGTCCATCGCCGTCATCCACATCCGTGCGCACCGCCGCCGCGCCATCCTCTGCGGGAGCGTTGTTGGTGTTGCGCTGCCTCGCCGTCGCGCGCACATGCACTGCTGAGCTGCGCGCCCACCGCTTGCCACACAACAACGCGTCGCCGCATCCACATCCGTCCGTCACTCACCCCACCGCTCCGAGTCTGCAGGGTGGCCGGAGCCCAAAGGTACGTCACGTGTGCTATTTCCCTTTCCGCCTCCGCCGCATATATATCTCGCGCGCCCCGCTCGGTTTGCTCGCAAACAAGCCCGGCTGCCTCGCCGCCTCTCACCTTCACCAACCCACGACGCGCGTCTCAGCGTGACTCGCATGGCCTTTACTTATCCAAATACAGCTGAGACCCGGGAGCCGTGAACCCATCGATTGAGCAAATCTTTGCATCGCTCAAACCAACGCCCACCCATCTGCGCGTCATTCGTCTATGGCCCTATGGGAGTAATGACCTCGCCTGCCTTCGACGAAGCCCCTCTGGACTTGAAAGCGACGGCAGAACCTTTGGCAGACGCCATGGCAGTGGACACTGAGACCAACGGGTGAGTGCCTGTTCTCTCGCTCCTGATGCTGCGCCTTCTACCTCGCTTGCACTCGCTAACGCCATGATTAGCGTCCATGCTGTATCCCTCGACACTCAAAAGGATTCAAACGTCAACGGCAACGGCGAGCACCACCCCTCTGCAGATGCGGCGCCCGCGCTAGATCCTACCACAAACGTGTCCAGCGGAATCGACGGCATCTCTCAGTTTTTGCCCGATAGTCAAGCAGACAACAACTCCTTGTTCGGAGACTCGGAAATGCCATCAGTCACAGATGCCCTCGAGGCCCCAACCTCGGACGTCCGCGATGAAGCTGGGCCAGAAACTGCGCAAGCTCAGGCGTCCGGCGCGAGTACGCAAAAGGTCCCGGAGACGCAACTACCTGAAGCAGAAGAGTCTCTCGGTGGGCCTGTGCAATCAACCGACTCACAAGCAAATCAGGAACCAGACTCGACCGCAGCTTCGGCCGATTCGACTGGCGCTCCCACCAAACCGTTGAACGACTTGAAGATTGAGACCCAGCAGTCAACGACCCAAGCTTCGGCGTCGCCTACTGCGCTTGATCAGGAGATGGAAGACGCGCCAACGTCCGGCAAAGTACGACCTCGCGAGGATGACGCCGACATGGAGGATGCGCCCGATGCGAAACGCACAAAGACTCTGGATGAAGGCAGTGAATCCGCCGAGTTCAAAGTGCCCAATCTGCCGGCGCATTCCGAGCAGCCTAATGGTGCAGCGCCGGCAGTACCTGCAGCTGCACAGGCGACACCCACGCCTCCTCCAGGACAAGAATCTTCTTCGGTCCAACAAGCTGTGCCCTATAAGACATGGCCATCAGCTCCGATGACCGAAGCCCAAAAGAAGTTCTTGCTCGAGCGCATTCGCAACACCAAGAAGATCAAGGTCTCCAATGCTTTCAAGGTGCCCGTGGATCATGAGGCCTTGAACATTCCCACGTATCCCACTATCGTAACGAAGCCGATGGATCTTGGAACAATGGAACACAAGCTGAAGACGAGCGCGTACACATATGTGGCAGATTTTATGGCAGATTTGGACCAGATTGTGACTAACAGCGAGCTATTCAACTCCACTACTCACCCGGTCACGCATGACGCCTATAATATGCGCGCTTACTTTTTAAAGGGCACAGATAGGCTTCCCAAGGACGGCGACGAGGCAGCAAAGCCCTTCAAGCCGGCGAAGAAGCCCACGGTTTCTGCGGCACCAAAGGCGCGGCGCGAGTCGAGGGTGGGACCACTTGCCAAGTCACCACCAGCTTCGGCTCCCGCTACTGCCTCGGCTCCCGCTTCTGCTTGGCCCTTGAATGCGGATGGTTTGCCCATGATCCGGAGGGATTCCTCTAGCGCTAACGATCGTCCGAAGCGCGAGATCCATAGGCCTCCCTCCAAGGATCTTCCGTATTCCGCTGCGAAACCTCGAAAGAAGAAGTACCAGCTGGAACTCAAGTTCTGCGAGAATGTCCTGTCGGAATTGCTCAAGCCCAAGTATGCCAAGTTCTCATGGCCTTTCATGACCCCTGTAGACCCGGTTGCTCTCAACATTCCCTCGTACTTGAAGATCATCAAGAAGCCGATGGACTTTGGGACCGTCAAGAAGAACCTGGATGCTGGTGTTTATCAGAGTGCCAAGGACTTCTACAATGACGCGCAGCTTGTGTTCCTCAACTGCTTCAAGTTCAACCCGGAAACGGATGAAGTGAACAAGATGGGCAAGCAGCTGAACGAGGTTTTCAACAGCCTGTGGAGTGAGAAGGCCGATTGGCTTGCGCAAAATGCGCCCGATGCGGAACCCCAATCTGCTGGTTCGGGCTATTCGGATGAGGAGGAGGATGAAGATGAGGAAGAGGACCCTGCACAGGCTCAGTTCCTCGCCATCCAGAAGCAGATTGCAGCTCTCAACGAGACCGCGCAACAGCTCCTGCAGCAACAGCAGCGCAAGGGTACGTCGCCGAAGGCTCCTGGCAAGAAGAAGTCGAAGACGGCACAGCCCAAGAGCAAGGCAGGCCCACTCAAGGTGCCTCCACCTGCAAAGCCGATGAAGTCGAAGCCCAAAAAGGCTGCCGCTCCTCTGTCTTTTGCCCAAAAGCAGGAGATATCTGAGGGCATCAGCACACTTGGCGACGCTGATATGAGACGCGCCGTCCAGATCATTCGGAATGGTTGCCCCCACCTGGCCAACACCAACGACGATGAAATGGAGCTCGATATGGACGAGATCAATGACGATACGTTGCGTGAATTGTTCGCCTTCATCAAGAAGGTTCGAGGGCCCAAGGGTATAGCGGCAGAGGACGATGACTACGAAATGCCTCGTCCTGCGGCACCGTCGCGTCAGAACACTGCTCGGCCGAAGAAGAACAAGCCCATGGGCAAGTCGGAGCAGGAGGACAGCCTTCGCAGGATCCAAGAAAAGATGCAGTCGTTCAATGGGGCGGTGTCGGGATCCAGCCAGTCGCCACCTGGTAAGTCGTCAGTAGCATTTGAACCCGGAGTCGTGGCTCACGTGTCTCTAGCCAATCAAGAGTCGAGCGAAAGCGAAGACGAGGACAGCGCGTCCGAGAGTGAGGAAGAGTAGGGTCGCTGCTCTGCCCACACTGTTTTTGGGTTTTCTCCTTCACCCGTAATTAGCTTCTGCCTCTCGCGTGCACTTTGGCTGGTTCTTGCATAGCCTTCGGATGCGACACGAAACCTAACGACCCTGGACGACCGGCCACCTTGCTTCTGCTTGTCGGCGTCCGCAAATCGACTGACGCCATGGGAAAACCTGATCGGATCGTCAGTCTGCGCTTGATGAATGCGAGGGTGGGCGCTTGATTCTTGACCACGGTGTGACACACGCAACCCACCCCCACCCCCTTACCATCGTGAAAATACCGCATCCCTTGTACACTATTCCTGGTGTCCGAAAAAATGTGCATAGATTAACCGACCGGCAACGGGGTAACGACTGACGAGATTTCTGAATCTTCTTTAGCTTCTGGATTGGTGAAAAGCGGCTGGCCGGAGCCGTGGCGGCTGCGGATTGATTGAAAGGGAACTTTGCGCGGGTCGGTATTTTAGTGTATGATAGCTGCCTGGCTGTGTCTAGCAGTCAGACCGCAATAGCAGATGATTCCATCACTCTGCGCGAGTGTCGTGTGCCTGTGATGTGCCACTGCCCTTGACTAACTCTTTCGGTGGGTTGATGAACTGGGTGGAGATCGAAGGACGATAATGTTGGCCGCGGGTGAATTTGAGTCGCGAGAAAGCGGTTTGAGGATGTGGCAGGGGTCCTTTGTAGACATCAGCGATCGTGAAAAACGAAACAAAGGAGGGCTGGGGGCAAAAAATACTGGTATCGTGGTGTGCGCAGTAAGACTCCCTGGAAATCGCTTCCCGAGCAGGAGGAATGCGATAGCGCAGCAGGCGATACGTATATGTGGCGACAATGCACGGCGGGATCAGAATATCTGTGCGTTTGAGAAGGACTCTGGAGTCAAGCGGGCGACAAGTCCGAAGAAGAGGTTTAAGGAGGTTCCAGCGTGGGAAGACGACGAGCGCGGAGTCAAGGGTCGTCACTTGATGAGAGGCCGCCGCAAGTGGGTTTCCCCCATGACCATGCGCCCAACCAACCACTGGCCGCCTGCACGGGCCCGTGCGCCGTGCTGCAGAGCTCGCGATTCGGCCCAGCGTCGAGCTTCGCGAAAAACAGCTCGACGCGCCGCACTTCCTCGACGTTCCACGACCGCGCAATCCGTCCGATATCCCAATCGCATACACCCGTTTTCCTCGAGTACCGTAGAACGGCCGTCAGTCCAAATCGATAGCCGCCATGGCAGCGACGGTGCCCGTCAGCGAGGTCAAGAGCAACACGCGTGAGAGCAGGACAGCCGCGCATTCGCACATCAAGGGCCTGGGGCTGAAGGGTCCGGATGGCCGTGCCGACACGTCGGGAGGTGGCTTCGTGGGCCAGGCCGCGGCTCGAGAGGTACATTCACGCCTACCGTGTACACGACGTGCGAGAACAGTTACTGATGGATGGTTAGGCATGCGGGCTGGTCGTAGACCTCGTCAAGGCGAAGAAGATGTCTGGACGCGCCGTGCTGCTTGCGGGAGGGCCTGGCACGGGAAAGACGGCGCTTGCGCTTGCGGTGAGCCAGGAGTTGGGAACCAAGGTGCCGTTTTGCCCGATTGTGGGAAGTGAGATTTACAGCGCCGAGGTGAAGAAGACGGAGGCATTGATGGAGAATTTCAGGCGGGCGATAGGTATGTGGCGCGTTTTCGTGGTTCAGGCGGGACCATTTTGGATCCCACGCAGCATGGGGTCGTTGCGAAGGCTGAAGACACGCTGACCACACGACGCAGGCCTCCGCGTCAAGGAAACGAAGGAAGTCTACGAGGGCGAGGTCACGGAGCTCACACCAGAGGAAGCCGAGAACCCCCTCGGCGGCTACGGCCGCACCATATCGCACCTCCTCATCACGCTCAAGTCCGCGCGCGGCACCAAGAAGCTCCGCCTCGACCCCTCAATATACGAAGCGATACAAAAGGAGCGCGTACGCCTCGGCGACGTCATCTATATCGAAGCCAACACGGGTGCGGTCAAGCGCGTAGGACGGTCGGACGCATACGCCACGGAGTTCGACCTCGAGGCGGAAGAGTACGTCCCCATACCCAAGGGTGATGTCCACAAGAAGAAGGAGATCGTGCAGGATGTCACGCTGCATGACCTGGATGTTGCGAACGCGAGACCCCAGGGCGGCCAGGACATCATGAGCATGATGGGCCAGCTGATGAAGCCTAAGAAGACGGAGATCACGGAGAAGTTGCGGCTGGAAATCAACAAGGTGGTGAGCAAGTACATTGACCAGGGCGTCGCGGACCTGGTTCCGGGTGTGCTTTTCATTGACGAGGTATGCCATCCCCTTCCCTTCTCCCTCCCGGCCTCTATTCCAAAGTACATTTATATCTAATATGAGACGTCTAGGTCCACATGCTCGACCTCGAAGCCTTCACCTTCCTCAACCGCGCCCTCGAATCACCCCTGTCCCCCCTCGTCATCCTCGCGTCAAACCGCGGCCTCACACACATCCGCGGCGCCCCCAACCTGCCCCCCTCGGCCCACGGCATCCCCTCCGACCTCCTCGCCCGCCTCCTCATCATCCCCACACACCCCTACACCCCCGCCGAAATCAAATCCATCGTCAGCACGCGATCACGGACGGAAGGCCTCCAGCTGGCTCCCGCTGCTTTGGACAAGATTAGTTCGCTGGGTGAGAAGGTAAGTCTGAGGTACGGCCTGCAGTTGCTTGCGCCGGCGAGCATTTTGGCGAAGGTGGCGGGACGGCAGGGCGGCGTTATTGAGGTGGGCGATGTGGAGGAGTGCGAAGGGTTGTTTTTGGATGCGGGGAGGAGCGCGAAGAATTTGGCGAGCACGGAGGGGTTTATTGCGTAGGAGAGTGAAGCGTGGGAGTAGGTTGCGTGTACTATAAAACGGACGGCGTTTCTGCGCGCGCGACTCGGTCTGGGTCTGCGGGCTGGGCACTAATGGGTTCCCAGGATGGGGATGTAGGTCGTTAGGAGGAATCTTATTAGACTAAAGAAAGCCTAGTCTTGAGCTTTACAGACTCCGATTGTTGACTCCTTCCCAGCTGCCAGAGAGAAGCAAATGGGCGACCGGGCATAGGTGCGGCATGGCGAATGGTGTAGTAAATTGATCCATTGACAGACTTTCTTTGCGCTATCCTGGACCACGACGAGGGAACCAGTCCATCGATGTATACGTTCAACGGCGGAGCTTCCCTACGTCGACCCAGATACCGGTGTTGGCGCAAGTCGTCAAGGACGTGAACGCACACAGCCCCAGGCCAGAGGCCAATGCTCTTGGTCTCCATACCAAGAGAGCTCTGCTACCGTATGCTCCGCCCTTACGCTGAACTTCTAGCCATGTTAGGTCGCCGGAAAGATGCGGTAGGAGTGCTGCTTCTAGAGTGGGCGTCCTAGCTGTTGAGATGGCAGGAAATGGGTTACGAACAACATTGCCACTCATCACTATACTCGCTCGAAGCTTGGGTGTGTGCTTCTTTTGGGCAGTCTGTGTTTTTCCTTGATGTTCGTTGGGATACCGCTCCGAGATTTGCGTGAACGACCAAAGATTTCAGACGCTCTTGCGTATTGCCTCTCACGCCGCTTGGATCGGTTGAAAGATCCAGAGCGGTCGAAACCTGAGCTCGCATGGAGCGTTGGTGCTACTACGAGATGTTGAAAATGTACGCAAGCGGAGTTGTGATCGTAGAGCCTCTGTCCACAGTTTGGACATGCGTGGACGAATCGCCACACAATGTCTCGCAAGGCAGTGAACAATCGTGAAGCGTCTCCCGCAACCAACACAAAACGAAGCTTGGTCAAAGATCAGAAAATTGGAGATGCCCTCCAATGATGCGTACGGACAAGTGCCTGTGGGCCCTGGCCTCTGATACAGGTGTGGACCCTTGGTCGCAAGCTTAGCGAATCCTTGCTGCGGAGGAGGGGCAACGCGCCGCGGCGGTCGCCGAAACCCTGCGCTCGCTTCCTACCATCGAGATAAGGGCAAATCGCGTCTACACTATTGGGCGGATCATGCGTTGCTTTTGGGGAGCTAGACTCTGTAGCGCCTAGATCGCCGTAGGTATGCCGCGGTCTACGATGGTCTCCATGCCTACTGCGGGCAGATTATGGTCGTTGCGGTCCCCACCCCGCGGCATTGTCTGGTCCTTTCCTCTCATGCGTCTATGAACTTTGAGTGTGTGTTTTCTCTACATCGTTTTCTTCTTCTTCTTGTGCGTACTTGATTTCCCCAAAGAATGGCCCCCGGACTGGTCTCGCCGCAGCCCGCGGTGTCCAACGATGCGGTGCGCTCGCTCGAGGAGGTTACTGCGAGCTACGACGACACGCTGCGGTTCTACCTCAACGGCACAAAGGTCGTACTGGACACGGCGGACCCGGAGGTCACGCTGCTGGAGTACCTGCGCGGCATTGGGCTGACGGGGACGAAGCTGGGCTGTGCTGAGGGCGGGTGTGGTGCTTGCACGGTGGTATGTTATGTTTGCCACTTCTGACGTGGAGATTGTTCCGAGCCTGGGTCGCATGGTAGAACATGTTAGCTGACAATGATCACAGGTGGTCTCACAGTACAACCCCACGACGAAGAAGATCTACCACGCCTCCGTGAACGCGTGCCTCGCGCCGCTCGTCAGTGTAGACGGCAAACATGTAATCACCGTAGAAGGCATTGGGAATGTCAAGCGGCCACATCCCGCGCAAGAAAGGATAGCAAAGGGGAATGGCAGTCAGTGCGGCTTCTGCACCCCAGGAATCGTAATGAGCCTGTACGCTCTCCTCCGCAACAACGAGGCGCCCTCCGAGCACGAGGTCGAGGAAGCCTTCGACGGCAACTTGTGTCGCTGCACAGGGTACAGACCCATACTTGATGCCGCACAGAGCTTCAGCATCAAGACTGGGTGTGGAAAGGCGAAAGCCAACGGCGGGGGTGGATGCTGCATGGAGAAGAACGGTGGCGGGGGCGGAGGGTGCTGCAAGAGCGGCGGAGACGACGACGCACAACCGATCAAGAGATTCACGCCCCCAGGATTCATAGAGTACAAGCCCGACACGGAACTCATCTTCCCCCCGCAACTGCGGAAGCACGAGTACAAGGCGTTGGCGTTCGGGAATAAGAGAAAGAAGTGGTATAGGCCGGTCACGGTGGAGCAGCTGCTAGAGATCAAGAGCGCGTACCCTTCTGCCAAGATCATAGGAGGGAGCACCGAAACGCAGATCGAAGTCAAGTTCAAGGCACAGAACTACAGCGCGTCTGTCTTCGTCGGGGACATTGCCGAGCTCCGACAATTCTCTTTCCACGATGACTATCTCGAGATTGGCGGGAATGTGGTTCTTACGGATCTGGAGGATATCTGCAGAAAAGCGCTTGAGCATTACGGCGAAGCAAAGGGCCAGACTTTTGCGGCGATATTGAAGCAAATTCGGTACTTTGCTGGACGTCAGATTAGGAACGTGGGAACGCCGGCGGGAAACCTGGCAACGGCGAGTCCAATCTCTGATCTGAACCCTGTGTTTGTGGCGAGCAATGCAACACTGGTTGCCAAGACTTTGAAGGAGACGACGGAGATCCCGATGTCTACGTTTTTCAAGGGTTACCGGTTGACAGCGCTACCTCCGGATGGCATCATCGCGAGCTTGAAGATTCCGGTCGCTAAGGAGAAGGGCGAGTTCATGCGCGCATATAAGCAGGCCAAGAGGAAGGACGACGACATTGCTATTGTGAATGCTGCACTGCGGTTATCATTGAGCGAGGATGAGGTCGTGGAGAGCGTGGATTTGGTGTACGGCGGCATGGCGCCCACCACCATCCCCGCGAAGAAAGCAATGGAATTCCTCCAGGGGAAGAAGTTCACAGATTTGGCGACGCTGGAAGGCGTCATGGGTGCTCTTGAGGAGGACTTCGACCTGCGCTTCGGTGTCCCTGGCGGTATGGCCACGTACAGAAAGACCCTTGCGCTAGGCTTTTTCTACAAGTTCTACCACGAAGTCCTGGCTGAGCTCCACACGGAAGCTACCGAAGTCGACACTCAAGCCGTTGGCGAGATCGAGCGCGATATCAGCTCCGGAGAGAAAGACCACAAGGCCGCTGAAGCGTATGAGCAGAAGATTCTGGGCACGGAGAAACCACACGTGGCCGCGATGAAGCAGTGCACGGGCGAGGCTCAATATACCGACGACATTCCCGTCCAGAAGAACGAGCTGTATGGCTGTCTCGTCCTCTCGACCAGGGCGCACGCCAAGCTCCTCAACGTCAACCCGGAAGCCGCGCTTGATCTCCCCGGCGTGGCTGCCTGGGTGGACCACACTGACGTCGCTACACCGGAGGCGAATTGGTGGGGTGCACCAGTGTGCGATGAAACGTTCTTCGCCATCGACGAGGTCTTCACCGCCGGCCAGCCCATCGGTATGATTCTCGCCGACACGGCGAAGCATGCGGAACAGGCTGCTCGCGCTGTGAAGATCGAGTATGAAGATCTTCCGGCGATCTTCACGATCGAGGAGGCGATTGAGAAAGAAAGCTTCTTCAATCATTTCCGGCACATTCAGAAGGGAGATACCGAAAAAGCTTTTGCGGAGGCGGACCACGTCTTCACAGGTGTTGCGCGCATGGGTGGACAAGAGCATTTTTACCTGGAAACGAATGCCTGCGTTGCCGTGCCCAAGCCTGAAGATGGCGAGATGGAGATCTTCAGCAGCACGCAGAACCCTGCTGAGACTCAGGCCTATGTTGCGAAAGTGTGCGGAGTCGAGGCCAATAAGATCGTCACTCGTGTCAAGCGCATGGGTGGTGGCTTTGGTGGCAAGGAGACTCGGTCAGTCCAGCTTGCAGGTATTGTCGCATGCGCTGCCAACAAGACACGGAGACCAGTTCGATGCATGCTGAACCGTGATGAGGACATTCTGACGTCGGGACAACGCCACCCTTTCCTCGGACGATGGAAGGTCGCTGTCAACAAAGACGGCAAGATTCAAGCGCTTGATGCCGACGTCTTCTGCAACGGTGGCTGGAGTCAGGACTTGTCCGGAGCGGTCGTCGAGCGATCCCTATCACACATCGACAATTGCTACTCAATTCCTAACATACATGTGCGCGGACGTGTAGCCAAGACGAACACAGTTTCCAACACCGCCTTCCGAGGTTTTGGTGGACCCCAGGGCATGTTCATCGCAGAATCATACATGGAAGAAATCGCCGACCAGCTCAAAATCCCCGTCGAGAAGCTGCGAGAGATCAACTTTTACTCCCCAGAAACCAACATGGTCACGCACTTCAACCAGGAAATCAAGGACTGGTACGTCCCGCTCATGTACAAACAAGTCCAAGAATCCATGGACTACGCCAACCGCCGCACCGCCATCGAAGAATACAACAAAACGCACAAGTGGAACAAGCGCGGCCTCGCCCTCATCCCCACCAAATTTGGCATCTCCTTCACCGCCCTCTTCCTCAACCAAGCCGGCGCCCTCGTGCACATCTACCACGACGGCTCCATTCTCGTCGCGCACGGCGGCACAGAAATGGGGCAGGGCCTACACACCAAGATGACCATGATCGCCGCCGAAGCCCTCGGCGTGCCCCTCTCCTCCGTCTTCATCTCCGAAACCGCTACAAACACCGTCGCAAACTCCTCCTCCACCGCGGCCTCGGCCTCCTCCGACCTCAATGGCTACGCCATCTACAATGCGTGCCAGCAGCTCAACGAGCGCCTCGCCCCCATCCGCGCGCGCCTCGGCCCGGACGCTTCCATGAAGCAAGTCGCGCACGCCGCCTACTTCGACCGCATCAACCTCTCCGCCCAGGGCTTCTACAAGACGCCCGACATTGGGTACGTCTGGGGCGAGAACACGGGCCAGATGTTCTTCTACTTCACGCAGGGCGTTGCCGCCGCCGAGGTTGAGATCGACACGCTGACCGGCGACTGGACGTGTCGACGGGCCGACATCAAGATGGATGTCGGGCGCTCGATCAATCCTGCGATTGACTACGGACAGATCGAGGGCGCATTTGTGCAGGGGCAGGGACTGTTCACGACGGAGGAGAGTCTGTGGATGCGGAGTACCGGGGGGATCTTTACCAAGGGACCCGGAGCGTATAAGATTCCTGGATTCAGGGATATTCCGCAGGTGTTCAATGTTAGTTTGTTGAAGGATGTCAACTGGGAGAATCTGAGGACAATCCAGAGGAGTAGGGGTGTTGGTGAGTGCTTTCCTTCCCTTGGTCTGATGATGCGTAGTTGCTGACAAGTGTTTGTGCAGGCGAACCCCCCCTCTTCATGGGCAGCGCGGTCTTCTTCGCCATCCGCGATGCACTCAAGGCTGCGCGCGCACAGTTCGGCGAGACGAGCCTGCTCAGCTTGCAGAGCCCGGCGACGCCTGAACGCATACGGATTTCCTGCGCAGATCCCATCCTCAAGCGGGCGTGGGTCGAGCCGAAGGAAGGCGAGAAGAGTTTCTTTGTTAGTATCTAGGGCTGGAATTCAGAAGGGGGAGTGTATGATTATTGGCTTAGATTGGCTGGGGTATATGACATTTATGAAGAATTGAATTGGATTGAAATGAAGCTGAGGAGCTGCAGTGGCCCATATTGTTATCGTGAATCGCTGGAAAGGAAAACCGCGCCTGAGCTCTGGGAGGCTTTTGACCATGGTCTTGTCTGAGTTCTAGTTCTAAGGTATGATGAATACTACGTTAAGGCATATGCATTGTTGACACGGTGTTGCATCCGCCACTTAGTCAAGCAATGTTGAACGACTTGGAAGCAACCGATTCAAGATACCATTCGGATGGGCAATGGCGCATCAAAACTCGCCATGGTACCGCATCGCCGCCCGTTCCGAGGCCTTCAGACTCCTTGGTAAAAGGACTCCTCACTCCTATCCACCTCGCAGTCCCAGCCCGGCAATGCACCCAAGCCTCTTCCGTGACATCTACCGGGTCGAACCCATTCGTTTCCAGGAGCTCTCGGGTGTACAGCTTGGTCCCCGCAAATACAGCATCATCTTCTTTGTGGAGCGGGTATGCGTCGATGCGCAGGCATTTTATGATAGTGCCGTTTATCTCGGATGCGTCGATGGCTTTGAGCGCTGGACCGAAGCCTTGTTGAGCCGGGATGACTGTGATGCTGCAAAGCCTGTAGCGGAATATGCTGAAGACCACTCCAGCTGCAAGCATGTTGAACTTGTTGCATGTCTAGCGGATGTTCTTGAGCGCATTGTTGGCCTCGCCGAAGGCAGCAGAGTTACCATGCTCCCGCAGATACTCGGTACTCAGCATTCGCAAGACATGCCAGAATAGCTCGGATGGGGCCACGTGCGGACTGCAATGGGTTAGTTTCTACTCGCTGCTGGTTGGACGCAGACTCGCGTCTTGTACGTTGCCACCTAGATTTGTATGTGCGGCATCTACAGCATGCGCAACATCCTCATCGGCCATGGCCACATCGTCATTGTACGGCGCAAAATGGTCTTCACCGTTGGTGATAAGGGCATCCCCATCGTGCTGGAAGGGCAGACGGTTATCAATCTGCTGTGCTGGTTGTGCGATTGCGCGGATGTGTTGTAGAGCTTGCACTACCGGTAGTTGCTCTTAACGAGGCAGTGGCGACAGATCCGTCTTCCTGCGAAGGGTCTTCTTTTCCACACCCGGCATCGCCTATTCATATGGCACACACGTCGGACACGACTGTGAAATATCTTTGGATCTTCCACAGCCCGAATCGCAGCTTAGCCCACGGTTTGAACCGGTTTCGAGTTGCGTTGTCGTGAGCTATGTATCCCTGAAGTTGTTAGTCAGCATGTCTTCGTTGGGTTATGCCTCTCGAGCCTCCTTACCGAGCGTCGTAAAGTTGTACGAGTGCGCTTGTTTGTACCGGCGCGGGATCAATTAGTAGGCCAGCCTGGATATGGGCGCTTGGGTCGTCGAACTCGATGCTGCGTATGTGTATTCGTGTGTCGAGGGGGTGCACGCCGAACTATGTCAGCCAATTGCTGTCGGCCGTTAAAGAGAGCGAAGGGTGGGCAGGATGGTGTCTTTGGCATTCAAGGTCGAGCGAGAGGTTGTCGAGTAGCAGATTTCGAGGGATTACCGAAATGCAATTTATGTGATGATAGTTAAAAAGCTAGGTAAGCGAAAAGAGAAAAGGAGCCAAAGAGTGCGATGTGAAATGGTTGATTTTACTGTACCAGTAAGATTTTACGTGCTCTGAACAGAATGATGCAATTGGTGAGGTGGTGCTGTTCGAGAGCGAATATACCATTTGAAATGGCTGTCAGGACAGCTACGCAGTATGCACGTCTGGAAGGGTTTCGAGTTGACTTTAGGTGGTTATGGAAACCCAGCTCTCAGATCGAGAAAGTATATTGCAAGTCGAACAGGTGCAATGCTCTCTAGAGGCCAGCGGCCTTCCATAGTGATAGGCGCCTTCTAGCATCTACCATTGATGTTGGAACCATGGCAGCCATGGCAGCCAGGCGGCCACATGGATCATATAAGATTTACACCAATCAGCTTGCTCTGATGTGCACAATTACCCCATGATGTTCTTATGTGTTAGCTTTCAGCTTCCAAAGAATAGTCTTGTGTCCTGATCGCAATACAAAGAAGTTCGAACACAGACTTCGGTCTCGTAGAAGGAGACTGCATGCCATATGGTACTTCCGGATCAAGCATACAGGTTCAAGATAATGTATGCACGGAGTCTGTTATTAGAAATCGTTTTGGAATGAGATAATAAGTGACGGTTTGAGATGAGAGTTTACTACCTGAAGTGCGTGTTGTAAAAGGTTGATTGATTAATGGAGGTGTATAGAAAATATATCTATAGGCTGAGAGAACAAGATTTTACCATGGTAGGCTAGATAAAAGCTGTTGTAAACCACAATAATGACAACATAGAAAACCACCCCGGACAGGAATACACTTGGAGATACCACGAGAAAGAAAATATCGGCCACACGATTGTGAGGAGAGATATATACAATCCAAAGACAAGCCGACTTAGTGGGAAGAGATATCGTCAGTGTACGGAGGTGCCTTTCAAAAGTCCTTGCCCACCTTGGCGAGCAGGGGTGTACGCCCCATTCCGAATTTAGACATATGATATGTCCAATTACCTGAGTCTACGGAGATTCCTGCCCTCCTTATACTCGTTGCCCCCTTCTAACTCAATGATCTTCTTTATATGGACAGGAATACGTTCAATCCAAGCCTGTATCTTCTCCTGAGGTAGATCTCGCCAGCACTGCTCCCATGTACGGACAGCCTCTGCTCTGCTCTTTGGCGCGCCTTTCTTTGTAGTAGCTCTCTTCATCCATGGCTAGCAAGGCGCAATAGCGTTTAAGTTAGGAGAGTTGCCACACCAGAGCAGCTTCGCAACATTATGGATGCTATATATATATAACTCTGGACGTGATGATCGTGAGAAGGCGCCTTATCTTCTTATACATGTCTGGCCGCTCTACTTTGCACTCCTTTGCAAAAGGTATTAGCTTTGGTAGTAGGACCAATGTCTGGTACCAATACTAGTCAATACCTGCTCCTCTGCCTCGGCTGACCTTTCCTATCTTCTTGCTCCATATCCATTGAGGTTGTCATCCAGGCTTATTACGTAGATCAAGGCAACGTATTCTAGTTTCAAGCTCCCACTGCGCCTTCATAATAGGCTCTAGCTCTTGATTTAGCTCCTTAATTTGAGTAGTAGCAGCCTCCTTCTCTTTCTTTATTTCTAGTGCCCAATAGTGACATAGGCCTTTCTTATCATATGAAAAGCATCCCTAGAACATAAAATCAGAGTATCCTTTCCACCTCTCACAAATACAACTTCGAACAAACGCGTTAAGTTATCAGCCTTCCACCATATCCTGTATCCTCCACGCCTATGAAGGAGAACTACAGACGTTTCGTTTGACTAGATAACAATCTTCCAGTCCTCAATTGTCCAGTGTTCATGCTGTAGGCACCAATTATACCGAGCCTCCTTCATTTTCTTCGTCAACCTAGGCTTCCTCGTTGGTTTCGTCTTCTTGAAGCCTGCCTTCCTCATTGGTTTCGTCTTCTTGAAGTCTGCCTTCCTCAGGATGCGCTAGAAAGTTGAGGCGGAGATATTGAATCCTTCTTAGCTGAGCGCGCCAGCGACGTCAGCGCAAGACTTCTCTCGTCCATAGTGATTAGTGCGTACGCTGTTGACTACCTTCTATACAACATCATCCTGCTTTAAGGGCCTACCAGATCGATGGCCATCTTCAAGGTATTTATTTAGAAGCTTAAGTGGCCGCTGGCATGGATCGAAGCCTCGTTCAACAGCTCGCGCAAATATTGAGTTAATCGTTCGCTTTGAAATCCCTGTCAGGTCGGTGATCTCGTCATTTGGCTTGCCAGTAGCCTTAAGAGTGACTATTAAAGCTCGAGTAGCAATATCGTGAGGAGCCATAGCAAAGATAGTATTACATAGAGAGCAAGTAGTACAGAGGAGTATTATGAGCTTGAGAAGCAAAGGCCACGTCAGCTCGGAGATGCTTCTGAATTCGGAACGTGGCGTATACCCCTGCTCGCCAAGGTGGGCAAGGACTTTTGAAAGGCACCTCCGCACAGCCCTTTCTATAACGAAGCTTTACGTCACAGACGTGTCACAGCTCTACCATGTTTTTTACTGGTTAGTACCATCTTCACTGACAACAGTCCAGATTCTGAGAGTTCTTCCGGAAGGCGCGCGCGTCTCAGCAGCGAAATCAGTATGCCCAGGTGGCTGTACAAGCGCGTGTCATCACCATGCCTAATTGGGTGGCGTGCATCGTGCAAGGCTTAGGTTCTTCACGTCTGTCTCGACTTCACGTTTATCTTCGCGTCCGCAGTATCGAGAACCACCGATTTCCAGCCAGTATCAATGAGTACGAAAGGCCAGATGTCACACGTACCTCTGGGAGACGGGGACACTCCCCAGAGGTATACGTGCTCTCCTATCTCCCATGAAGACTAGATCTGTGTTTTGGAGATCTTTCTCATCAAAGACCGTATAGAATGCCGCATCCGACAGATCTCTTTTCCACTGGAGGAGGATTACGCCTTATCATACGTGTGGGGTGACGCCAAATCAAAGTTCTCGGCCGTTGGATTACTATATAATGCATGTTTAAGGGCGATCTTGCCACATATATTTCCAATACACAAGGTTTTCTTTCTTCGTCTTTTGTAGCATATGCTTGAGCCATCGTGTCTGTAGGATTGCCATATCTTTGCAATCAATTTTCGACACCTGACAATGAGATCAGCTTCCAACAGCAGTCGCATGCAAGATGACTCTCAAAAGTTTCATTGCTCAAATTGATTAGTACAACGATGGCCCACTTTCTACCTTCGCATGACTATCCAAATACCTATTTTCCAAACCCCTTACAAGCTGCCACCCACTCCGCAGCCGCCTTCCTCACCACCCTCTCCACATCCTCTCTCGCCTCCTTCCTCTGCCAGTCCTCATCCTGCTCCGCAGTCAGCTTCTGCGTTCTCCCATCATGCTCCGCTATCTCTAAATCCCTCCCATACCGCCTCGTCGGCGCCCAACCCATCGCCTCCAAAATTTCATCTTCAGTTGGAATCCCAGCGTGCGAAGACTGCTCAGCCTCGATATGCGGAAACATAGAAAAGCTCTTCTGCAAACACGCGCGTTCGAGATAGCGCGCAAACGGCTCCAGCGCGAGCGAACTCTGCATATTCATCGCGATACCCTTGTCCTCCTCTTGCTCTTTCTTCAATTTGCCTTTCTTATCCCCTTTCGCCACGCTCTCCGCGCAGCCAAACTCGTCCTCGTGATGTCCACACGTACACCCTCTTATCTCCGTATCCAGCTCAACGGCCCCGTTCTCCGACACGTGGTACGACTCGCTGCGCGCCAGGCCCCGCGTCATCTTTTTGCTTGCTATAGCACCGCGCGTGTTCTGGTATGCCCACACCCCCGTTGTCTGTGTGAGCCCGCCAAAGGTGACGACGAGGGCTACATCTATTGTGGCTGCGATGGGAAGCAGCGCGGACGCGACGAGGGCTTGGTTGCGCGATTGTTCGCGGGTGCGCAGTAGGGTGCTCACGAATTCGGTACGGATTTCTTCGGGACTTAGGGTAAGAGAGGGGGGATGGATGAGAGTTAGATGGTCGAGAGCACGTGGTCTGGGGGTGCTGCCCGTCGAGGAAACAGATGAAGCCCGATTCATTGGAGGCATTCCAGATATAGTGGGTGTTGATAGCGTCGATGATATCGAAGAGGTCTCGCCAGAGAGCTCGGCAGGCGGCGATGCAGCGGGAAGCTCTTGTATGGAATCGCTGTTTCGTTCTAGGGTCGACGACACGACCGCTGTAGGACCTACATCCTCGACGATATCCTGTGTTGTCGATGTGATAGCACCTCCTGACACCCTATCCAAAAACTCCACGGTCGAGGACCTCGTTTTACTCACTCCCTTGTTGATCAAGGAAGTCCCCTTTGCTTTCATGCCCTTCCATGTTACTCTCGACGCATTCGTCATCGTAGCTCTCCGCACATCCTCTTGCCACAGCCTTTGGGTCTTGTGCCATTGCGACTCTTTCTCGCCGGGTGCCGGCTTAGAAAGAGGTGGAAGTGGCGGTGTATATATGAGGAAGCGTGAAGGTATGTCTTCTGGTTTGACGCCCTTTAATTGGGGTTTAGGAAAGGGAGCCAGGTAGGCGGTGGTTCTCCCTGGCTCGCGTGTGTGTTTTATTGGGGTTGTGGAAGGTAGTATGGTGATGTTCGGAGAGCTGCTACTTGAGGTGCCTCGATCTAGAGTTGGTGGCTGTTCAATCTCAAACCCAGCCTCGCGCGCTTTTGCAGATGAAAATGATGTAGCAGGCGTGAGTTGATTTGGTGATGGGACTGGTCTTCTCGGAATAGTAGAAGTAGAAGGCTGTCGTACTTGGAGTGGATCGGGCCACAAGCTCCCATCGACGGGACTTCCCAGCATAGTGGAAGGCGTCGGAGGACCATGGCTTCCTAATGCAGTGGAAAATGTCCTCAGGTTTGTAAATCGCTCGGTCCTCTCCGCTGCAAAGTGCTCAGAGACTTCAGGAAAGTCTGCATGCGGTGCAATCACAATCTGGGGGCTGTTTTCGGAGCTGTATTCGATGGCTGCAATTTGCGGTGCATCTCTTTGTGTCTCTTCATATTCTGAGTATTGCGGTGGGGCCTCGTCCAGAACATCGTTCCCGTGCGTATCGTCCAAAGGACCTCGGCGTTCCGTGATACTGGGTGTCGCTTGAATTGATGACGCTCCGACGATGGACGCCGCCGGCGTTGCGTTCAACGATCGGCGCGAAGTAACTTCCAACGGATTCTCCACGAATTGTGGTGCAAAATCGTTCTCTCGGTCGAGCATCTCACCGGCCATCATTGGCTTTCCGACTCGAGTCGTCATGCCAAAATAATCTTCGATGTGACGGTTGGATGAACGTCGTGAAAAGTTCGGAGACAATGCTCCAGACACTAGGAAGCTAGACTCAACCTCAGTCAAGCTCTCAGGATCGTACCAGCAATCTGACACCCCTCCCATCCTTATATCTCAGTCCACCCTCGCAGGCCCCTTGCCCAATAACGCCAAACGCACCATTTGGCCCCACGCCCGCCAGCATGGAGCAAAGTTCGCCCACAGTGGGATCTGCGCTGGGGCGGAGCAATGCGCGATTCGCAACAACGGCCGTATGAGGCACTAGCGCGGAACGTGGCCCCCGGCTCCGGCTGTTCCTGGTCGTTCAACGCAAGCGCTCATTGGACGGGTCGTGGGATGTCGTTCAGGATGCAAGGCAGATGGGCAGGGATTCGCTGTGGGCGGGGCTTTGCGATGGCGCGGTAAGAGGCGTCAGCGGTGAAGAGGGCTGGAGGTGAACTGGGCGCAATCGCTGTACTGCTATATGTCAACCGGGAGAAGGAGCTTCGTTGCAAAAGACCAGAAAAAAAAATTGAGCGGTGACGCAGCGTGAAGACGCTGACAGGAGTGACGAATTAGGAAAGAATCTTGCGATTCGCTGGGCCTGTAGAGCTCTTTGAGCCTAGTGATTGAATGTTGACTTCCTACCATCGATATAACTGACAATCTAGCAATGCTGTCAAGCATACTATTGCTCTATAAATTATGTTCATCTGACCAGCCCGACCGCAACACTGATCGGATCCTTGTGTCAATCACCCAGATATTTACAACACTTCCCATGCGCATCTTCCATCTCTGCTCAACCTGCAGGCCAAGCCGACCGCCTGCCTTTTACCGCAACCTCTCGGCTCGTCGTGCTTCTTTGCATTCTGATCATGAGGCAGAGAGATGAGATGGCGGTCAGCAGTGTCGACGTGAAATTCCTGATCGTGCACGAGTATTTCATTCACCAATCGTCTTTGTCATCTTCATCGTCTGCGAGCCATTAGCATCAGCATCTGTTACAGAGAATCATGCACTTACCACTATGACTAACTTTGGCCTTCCTCGCTGCAAGCGCACTTGCCAATGCGCCAGCCAAACCACCAGCTTCAGGACCCGGCGTTGCAGGCCCACTGCCACCCGATGCTCCTGTGGATGGCTCTGCCCCAGGAACTGCAGCAGCACTTCGGTCTCGTTTCTCTTGATCCGAGACCTTCTTCAATCGTGCACCACCGCGAATATCGGCCAACAAACCACCTCGATCAGCTGGAACCTTCGGTAGACCAGCACCAGCTGGCATAGGCGGTGGAGGTGGTGGACCAGAGCCGGACGGCATCGGAGGCGGCGGTGGCGGACCAGAGCCAGGAGGGAGAGGCGGCGGCGGAGGTGCGGCACCCGAAGGTGGTGGCGGCGCTTTCCCGGGCATTGGAGGCGGAGGAGGTATATTGTTCGTAGGGGGGAGTGGTGGCGGTGGCGGCGCGTTGTTCGTTGGTGGGAGCGGCGGCGGGGGCGGCGCATTGTTCATTGGCGGGAGAGGAGGTGGCAGTGGAGGTGCGCTGGATGATGGCAAAGGCGGGGGTGGTGGAGCTGCGTTTGTTGGTGCTGCCGGGACAGGACGGGACACGGAAGGCGGTAGCGGTGGAGGAGCATTGTGGGCTGGTCGCGGCGGAGGGGGTACTGGTGCTGCAGCAGTTTTCGGTGGTAGAGGAGGGGGTGCACCGGAAGCACCGGCAGGAGTATCGCGTGCTGGAGGGGGTGGAGGAACTGGTCCTCGATTGGGAGGCGGCGGTGGTCCCGAAGGTACGCGATTGCCTGCGAATGGCGGAGGCACACCAAATCTCGGCGCTGAGGGTTTGTCGCCGTCTTCCACAGGCGTCTTCGGGGGTCGTGGAGGAGGAAGTGGTCCTGGGTTTGCGACATTGGACGAAGCTCGGGCTCTCGCTGGCGGCGGCGGGGGCTCGTTGGCAAGCTTGCCGGCATCGGCAAACGGAGGCGGCGCACGGAACTTGGGTTGCGGTGGGCCGGGCGGTGGCGGAGGAGTTGCTTGTCGCGGAGGAGAGGGCGGCGCCGGACTTCCAGAAGAAGCACGATTGATACTGGAGGCGTCTGTTCGCGTCCTGCGTGCTGGCGGCGGTGCGGGCGCAGGACCGCGTTTTGAGGACGTGCCGGTATTCTGAGGGCTCAGAGAGACCTTTGATGGCGGCGCACTCGGAGGAGGGGGTGGAGGAGCCCGGGCCTTCTTCTCTTTTTCTTCCGCCTGAACCTTTTCATTCGCCTTGCGCTGCTCAATGTACAGCTTGATGAAATCGGCATTCTCCTCGATCTGGTCCTCGGTGATGCCCATGGCCAGCAGCTCTTTCAGCAGCGGTTGCCACGACGGATCGCTCGTATCGATGGCGGAGCTTCTCGCGCTGCTTACATTGGACTGGCTCGTGGTGGTGGGCGACGTGACGGTGGGTGGGATGATAGACTGCGGTTGGTGCGCATGAGACGAGTGCCTGTGTCCAAAGATGCCGCCCAGAAGACCGTGGCTTTTGTGGCCGTTTGTCGGCGCTCCGCCTCCAGTGCCCACGGCCGCTCCGAACGGCTTGTTCTTGGTGTTCTTGTGGGCGTTCTTCTCGCGGTCGTCCATCTTCTTCTTGAACGTCTTGGCCTCCTTCTCGTCGGCAAACGAGAGACCGGCAAGGCAGTCTTCGAGCTCAAATGTGTGGAAGAAAACGCGGTCTTGGTTGTAGGTAAAGGTGTCGTAGATCTCCTGGTCCCAGATGACGCCGCGGCTCGTCGGCTACTTCACATCAGCGTCTCTTCCTGCAGTGGCCTGCGTGCACGTACCGAAATGTCCACCAGCTTGATCCAGAGGGTGTTGCCCACCAGGTCGTTCGCCAGCACGGCGGCGCCCTGCAGCCCCGTGTAGGTCCATGTGTGCTTGTCCGGGTAGGCGACGTACAGCTTCGCGACGGCGACGGCGAAGATCTTGTTGTTCTGCTTGGGCACGGTGCGCTTCACCGTCTGCTTGTCTTCGTCAGACAGTATCGAGGGCATCTTGTCGCGGTCTGGGCGGCGTGTCAGTAAAGCTGCGATGCGATGGGTGGGCGCCTGGGACGCAGCGCGGCGGGGGCTCCAAGCTCACCAGGCGGCACATACAAGCCGCGCAATGCTGCACTCGGGGCAGCGGCAGCAGCGTAGGGGCGCTTGTAGACCAGGCGACGGCGGCGCGCTGAGGAAGAATAGCGGGAGCTGCGGGAGCTGCGGGTCGTGGAGCTGCTGCAGTCGGGCAGTGAATGGAGTGAACAGACGTCAACGCTGCTGCGGCTCATAGCGAACCGAGTAGCGGGAAACGGCTAGTAGTGTCACCGCCAAGAAGCCACCTTCGAGAAACATCTTTACATATATACCACAGGCCCCGTGCCGACACCTCACACGACACACCGCCACGTACCGCCTCGCTAGCGGGAACCATCGTGACCTGCGGGTGACGGGGTGGGCTTGCTGTCCCCGATGACGCCGAGTTGTTGTTAGCCTCACTATACACGACACACGCCGACCCTCCCACGTCCTTCCCTGCACATTCGGCCATGCTGTGGAGACCTCGACTGTCACAAACGCTGGGAAGAGGTCGGGCGCCAACAGTTGACCGTGGAATTTGGAGGTTTTTCACCGCTGTTGCGAACCTCGGATTTTCAACGCCAATCACGGCGCATGAAGACTGAACCACCCATCTCGAATGACGTGCATCGGTCCCACAATGCACTCTGCAGGGGCCGAACAAGTACATTTTGACAGGCACATCTCGGAAGACCTTGACATATGTCATTTGTGCATTGCATAACTATGTTCTGATATCGCGACGAGCACTAACCCTCCGACTCTCCAGCCACGCGGCGTGCAAGAAATCAGTCCACCATCCTAGGCACCCCACCAATAAGTGAAGTCCAGCGGTCGCCTGAGCGAGCTCAAGCATCAATACCGTCCTGGATTTATAGTGGTCTTGCATGGTCCTGATGGCGGAGTGCAACGAAATCAAATTCATGATGAGGACGAAGGCATATTTCAACCCGATTTCTAGTTTGCAAACTGGAGAATCCGACTGTATGGCTCAGTCCTGCGGATTCCGAATATGGCGGGGGAGCCTCGTTCGCTTCGCATTGGGGTGCAGTAAGCTCAAGCAGGTATTGTCCGCAAGGCGGCTTTTCGTCGTGGCTTGGACTTGCGGATGACTGCCATATCGCCTGGGTCTGATCAATTTTAGGAAAGGTATCCCTGCATTTTTGAGATTGCCAATGATGTTATGTTTAGTTGCCAGCGAAGTTGTGTAGGTCTGAATTGGGGAGTGCTGCGTTTTTATACTGATGGGTATCGGTATTCTGGGAGTTGGCGGTGGGCGCACTTCATCGATTCGCTACGAAACTTCGTTACTAGTCTCCACAACGCCAATCAAAAAGGTGGACAGCAAGACTTCGGGCCTGCCAAAAATCCCGAAGAAAGCATGGAACCATCGAGTTTTGGCGTTGAGACAGTTTCTCTGGAACCATTACCCGCGTGTAGACTGGCGGTCTCTCTTTTTACAACGCCTTTCGTCTTGCTTGGATATCACCCGCCGATTTGAAACCCCCAAACATCGGCAAGATCTTCGTCATGCCGACCCTCTTTCAACCACCTTAGCATAATCTCGTCCTGTCTCTCGGTCCAGATGACATCCTTTCGTCGCGGTGTCTTGAGGACGTTATCCGGCGTGCGATTCGACTGCTGCTTCAACTTGGTCCACCGGCCTTGCACAGCTTCACCCGAGAGAGATTCATCAGAACACCGATCTGCTTCACCGAAAGCCCTGGGCGCCGGCCTTCAATGATTGACTTGTCCGTCTCTGCAGTCCAGTCCTCGGCGGCCGAGGCTCGTGCATTGTGGTACTGACGGTAGTGAGTCTAGACAGTTGATTCAGTGCGATTGAGAGCGATTGCAATGTCGGCCCAAGACTTTCCTTCCATGTTACGGAGGCTGTCAAGTTGATCATCCCCAGCTTGTGTCCAGACGCGCTTGGCGTTGGATCGGGGCGATTGCTGGCCCATAATGATTGATCTGGCTAGATTGCATGCAATTCCGTGCTCAGGTAAATAAGAGCATCGCTGTCTTGAAGCAATGTCTCGTTCATCACCATTCCGAGACAGGAGTGCACCCTATTCAGGAGCCATCTGGAAGACAGAACAAAGAGTCTCAACGATTAGCCACCACAGTACCGTAGAGTATGTAAGGATTTACATATTCTCCACTGTATCCAAAGTGTTCCATTTCGTAACTCGCTGATGACTCTGTTTTCGCCTGCCAGCGACCCTTGCGAGTTTGGCGTGGATGCTCTTCAGATGAAACTGTCATGATTCGCTACACAGTACGTGGCGCAGTTGGGTGGGCTGGGCAAATGGGGAAGTTGCAGCCTGCAGGCGTAAACAATCTCGAACTTCAGCCTCGTCCCACCCCTCACTCCGACAACACGTCGTGAGCTTTCTCACATACTGTTCTCAGCACGATCTAGTTGCTGGAGAACGCCGACTGGTATTGTTTTGAGAGCAGAAATGATACATCGCGGATCCGCTAGCAAAATGATGCAAGTTGAAAGCTATGGCGGCCAAGCTCGCGCTCCTTTCAGTATCGACGTCGCGATACCATCCTATCCGGCTTCATATCCTTCTACGAAACCACCACCGGCTCTCGAAAATATAGCAGCGGCACGAGCTAAAAAGCATTATCACAATTGGGAAAACACATTCAGGCGAGCTCAACAACATCACCATGATGAAGAATACATCTTTGCAGAGCGATACTATCACAAAGCTGTACTTGAACACGAGCTCATATATAACCTTGGCGGCGACCGTGAAGGAGTACTAGAGATTGCAACATATCTATGTGCTTCTCTGAACAGCCAGAAAAAGTATACCGAAACGGTTCAGATCGTGACCCAATGGCTCGAGTGCGCAGAAAGTCAACAAAAAGACGATGACGCTCTGGCTTTGAGATTCCATTGGGTCATAGCTCTTTACGGTCAAAACGATATGAATCAAGCAAGAGACGAATTTATGAATTGGAAGTCTGCGATTTTGGCTTGGCGAGGGAAGAACGACAAAAGGACTACGGAAGACCTTTATGTAATTGCATATACGCTGTTCAACATCGGAGCATTTAGTGAAGCTGAGTACATGTTACGGGATATAGTGCCGAGCCTTGGGAAATGGCCAGACGCAGGAGCAGACGCATCTGCCTGGTACCATTGCCTGAGTCTTCTCGGGGTGGTGTATTGGCACACAAACGAGTTACAAGATGCTGAAAAGGCATTGAGAACTGCGGTCGCAAGACAAGAAGAGAATACTCTTGGTTTGAGTCCTTGGGATGTTTCCTATACCGTCCTGTGGTTGACGTCAACCCTCGCAAGACAAAGCAAGTACGAAGACGCCAGGACTCTATCCGAATCAGTAACTCAGAACGTGGTCTCCGCCACTGACGATACCATATTAACAAACCATCGAGACATTATGGCGAATGTTGAAGATGCTATACAATCGTCGCAGTCAGTAACGAACGCCCGTTGGCAGCTAGATACCAGTGGGACAGAATTTGAAACCGTTCTCAAGGAGTATACCTCGCATATCCTTCAAGAAAACATACCGAGCATTCCTTTCAACACATTGAGCACCAGAATGGAGCCTCTCGAGCGACTTGATATTTTTTTTCATAGCCGAAGAGTCGGATCCTACTCGTATGCCGAAGTTGCCGAGATTAGTCGGCTACTAGAGATTTGCTCGATTCCAGTGGCAGCCAAAGCGCCTCGAACATACATCGTTTTACGACATATGGAATGCTTAGACATGCTTGAGCGTCTGGTTGATGCCGGTTTCTCAGACTACCGATTTCCCGTGTCAGAAAACAACCTACCTGACATATTGTCAACTGCTCAGAAAGAGGGATTTAACAGGCTTCAACGTCTTATCCTAGATCCTGCCATGAGCCTTGAGCGAGCTGAAAATGGTACGCATCAAATCATTGCAGATGAGGAATCCGTCCCTTTTCGAAGACAAAAACTTCTTGGAAAGGGGGGTTTCGGGGAAGTTGACAAGGTCTTCAGTCTGATCACTTTCAGAGAGTACGCACGTAAATGTGTGTCTCGGCCCTCTGTATTTCGAAAGAAAAGCATCGAGTGTATGCGACAACTCGAAGAGGAGATACAGATTCTCAAGCGTTTGAAGCATCGGCACACTGTGAAGTACGTGGGCAGCTACACAAGTCCAGCTAACTTGGGCTTAATAATGACCCCCATTGCGGATCTAGACCTTGCTGAGTATCTCCAAGTTGCTAATGCTGGTCATCACATCGAGCTACGAACATTCTTTGGATGCCTGGCGAGCGGACTTGCCTATCTCCACCAATCAGGGATCCGGCACAAGGACATCAAACCGCGCAATATCCTGGTCCACCATGGGAACATTTTGTTTGCGGATTTCGGGCTCTCGTTCGACTTTTCTGGCGCAGACGGCGATACAACGGTCAGTATGGTCAATGGCATGACGCCCCGATATTGCGCTGCAGAAGTCGCGGACTGCCGACCGAGGAACAAATCTGCTGATATCTGGAGCTTGGGCGTGGTCTACCTCGAAATGACCACCATACTCGCAGGCAAGGACGTCGAGTTCATGCGAAGGTTTCTTGAGACACATGGAACAGAAGTAGAGCATGTGCAGAAGAACGTAGATGGACTCACTGACTACCTGATCGAGCTTCACAAGCTAGTGCGTAAGCAAGACCATTCGCCATTGCTATGGATCGAGAACATGCTCCAGATGGACCCTCGGAAGCGACCACATGCGGCTTCACTCGTGGAGACCATACTGGACGCACGAGGAGAGTCAGGAGTTTCGGATTTCTGCGGTATGTGCTGTTCTGGAGAAATTGAGACTGGGGGTTGATCCAGACAAAATGATTGAGTAAGAAGTCCCTTTTCCTCGTTGCTCATGGTTCTTACGAAACGCACAGGATGGACGGGTCTGGTCGGATGCTAGTGATGATAGCGAGGCGTTGGTCAGCCCAAAGGTTCTGGACCCTGCATGGCAGACGAATACGAACCACCAAAACGGCTACAAAAGCATGCAGCGACTCTCTAAGCTCGATCGCGCCACCACATTCAATGTAGTGTTGAACAACTTTATTCCCAGTTCAAAACCAATAGTATGCCTGCTTCCATGCGCATCGAACTGTTCCCAGCATCTTTGGACGTCTTCCTCGACTTCTACACGCGGATCCTCAACTTCGCACTCCTCCAGCGCAAAGGAAAATACGCCTACTTGAGGCGCGACGCTATCTATATAGGTGCTATCGAGTCACCCACGCCAGACACGCTCGCGGACCGAGCCTCGTACAGACAGCCGAACAGGGGTGTGGAGATTGTGCTTGAGGTTGACGATGTCATGGCTGAGCGGGATAGAGTGGTAGCCGCAGGGTACAAGCTTGATGCTGATATTGCGAAGCAAGAATGGGGTTTGATGGATTTTAGGGTAACGGATCCGGATGGGTATTATATTCGGATTACAAGTCGCGGTGGCAACTAGATAGAGAGGTCAGTGAACTTGAATTGAGTACAAGTTGGGTACCAGATGATCAAATCGGGTTGATGAGCGCCACCTGCGGGGCGTCAATGGTGCGCCCTTTCCAATGTTTCCGAAAGCTTTTCTCGTCACTACCTCAAAACCACACAACGTCCATTTCGGACTACGATCGTCAACATCTCCTTGTGTCATCAGCTGCAACGTATGTAGCGCCAAGCCAATCTTCGTATTCGTACCCCTCACATTAGTCCAGGGCGCCGGATAGGCCACAATGGCATGCTTGGCAGCCCTACGTACTGCCGACTAGGCATCAACTTTCCTCGCCAACACAGAAGCGCTTAGCGGCCTAGTTGAACACGGGAAGGCTGTGATTGAATTCGAACATCAACGAAACTTCTTAGATAAGCGTGCAGAATGTTCACAGATGATCTATTCGAAGGCTGGTTGTCAGTGCCAGGAATAGATGAACTCCTTGCTACCGAAGTAACAAACCAGCGAGAGGAAGCACCAGCGCCTTCCTGCTACGCTGAGCAGAGCACGCAAATGAGTCCTCAAGGAGTGAATGGAGTCAACTCTACTGGAACGATTACCAGGCAATTGGACAGGCCGCACCTCGAGGAGTTTGTCCACAACATTCCACAGCTGCCCGAGGCCGGCCCACCACCAAGTGACGCCACCCGTGCCGAAACAAGTGCTCGCAGAAGGCGAGAGCACACCAAGTCCAGATTAGGCTGTATCAGCTGTAAGAAGAGGAAAGTCAAGGTGAGACTCGTCTTCCGATACACACTTACAATACTGATATGTTGTTTTAGTGCCAGGAAACATGGCCGTCTTGCGCAAATTGCATCAAGCGTGGATGTGAGCACTCGTATGCTCCGAAAGTGCTCTATTTTGACTCGGGTACACAGGCATCTGCACTTACCCTACAGCCTTTAAATACACTCAACATGAACGTATTGTCTCTGACGTGCTCAAAACGCCACGACGGCCAATCCAAATCTCCGTATCGCCGATGCACTCCACGTACAGTGCGAACGACATGCGCCTCTTCCATCATTTTATAGTTGCCGCTCACCCCTGTATACCCTGCGAATATGAAATGGTTTGGATCAGAGACATACCGAGGTTTAGTCATCAGGTACGTGTAACATGATGCAAGTCACATTGAAGCTGAAAATCCTAGTACGATTATCTCATGCATGGCATGCTCGCGATAGCTGGTTCCCATCTCGATATGTTCAGTGACGATCCAGGGAATCATAGAGCATTACTGTATCGCCAAAAAGCCATAGTAGGCCTGGAAGAGGCATTCACAAGATGGCCTACCTCCGCAGATGAGGCTCACGTTATGCTTGCCACTTCTTACCTGCTTGCTTTTCAGTCATCATACTTAGCCGATGGACTCCTTGACCATATACTTTCCTTGCGGGGATGCGCTCTGCTCTCTCAGCTGATTCTCACCAATCAAATCAAGGGCGTTTTCACGATAGACACAGGGATGTATGGGGCATGGCTGGAGTGGAGAATGGAGAGCTTTCCAGTCTTCGATCAGGAACTTGCGCGCGAGGCTTTGCGATCTCTCGCCCAATTCGCACCATTCCTAGCATCTTCGAAAGCTCAAGCCATTGAGCGTGCCATGGTTGCTCAACTAGTGGAGATACTTCGGCCACTACTAGTTTCCACGGACCTAGAGACTCGTCCAGAAAACGCACAACCAGCTGCACCTGAGTCCAATGCACTTTCACAACCGCCACAGGACGAACACATCTCGACCAGCTTCCCAAAGGCTGCCACAAACCCCCTCTTCCCAGCCAGACTAGCTCTCAACTTCGAGGACATCACCTCCTGGAAAACCATCGCGGAAGTACCACTCAACCCAAACCCCGACCCACGCCGCAGTTTCAAAGCCCTCATGCTCAGCCTCGTCATCCTGACCACTTGGCCCCGCGCGCAAGTCCTCGCGCTATTCTCCCCAACAAGGACCCTAGGCAGCGTCCTCATCGCGCACTTCTGCTGCGTGCGCTTCATCACCTCGCCCCTGTGGGCGCCGGAGGCTGCCATGCGGACTACGCCCATGCGAGCGATGGTAGAGTGGTGCGAGAAAGTGGTTGAGGCGGTGGCGGATGATGGCGAGGTAGAGTGGACGCGGTTTGTGCGGTGGCCGCGGGCGATACTACGAACAATGCGGTGTTTGCTGGATCAGAGGCGTGGTCTGACGTTGGGCATGTTGCATGAGGCGCTGCGTAGAGATCCGGGGGCTTTTCGGGAGGGGAGGGCTGTGAGGCTGTGAAGGGGGTTCGGGAATAGGGTATGGTGTGTTTGCACTTGACTGCCTTGACTTTCCTTCTCCGTGATCTCAGCATAGAGATTCATTAATCTATGCCTTGTGTCCACGAGATACGCCGATACATTTTCAGTTACCTAGCTCGATCACTATGGTGAGCGGTCGTGCTCACCACATGAAAGTAAGCTGTGAAGGTAATATGCGCTACAAAAGCTGGTTTTATTCCACGCCACGCCCGGCGCAAAGGTTGCACAAGATGAACTAAAAAGCGTGAAAATGGAGGAGCCTATGCGCCCGCGCCTACTTGTCGAATGGGTTGCCTCAGAAAGGATTAGATGCTCATTCTGGGCCATGTCGCGCACGTGCGAGTCAGAGCGGTGTGATGGTCATTTGGCTTGAAGTGTGGTGACGAGGTAGTACCTTAGGCGGAGCTGGGAAAGAAACGATCACATCCGCGCCGTTCACATTGAAAGGAAGCGCCCCTACAATTTGACATCGACAGACGCAGAGACTCTTCATGCTGAGCACATAGACGACGCGCCACATGGAAGCGAGATCCAATACGGTCGCACAGCATAGCCTATTTTCACCCTACAATGTGATTGGAGGCACGTTTCGACTCGACGTTGCCGACATCTCGTAAGACGATCATTCCCGCAGTAGCGCAGCACTCGGCCCCGACTCGACAGATTGACTTCGAGGCTATGTTGAAGCAGGCAGGCACGATGGACGTTGGGGCGGGCCGTCGCGACATTATCCTGCGGCGCAGTCGACGCCGCAAGGACGCGGGTCGCCGCGGGACGGAAGGGGCGTGGTCCCGTGCCGGACTTGGGAATTAGGATGCTCAGCGCAAGACATTTGGGGGTTGGGCTCTGCGAAGATCGCCGGAGTGCGAGCCGCGATATGAACGACGTGTCGAATGCGGATTGCAAACAATTGCAACTACCGCTTCGAGCGCTGGTGGAGACTACGCTACGCCGTATTGTAGATTGTACTGACGTAGGGGAGGAGCCCCTATCGGCCTGCAAGGTACGCGCCTTCAGCAGTCCAGATCTAAGCGCTCGGCGTCTGTGATGGTTCGGGAACAAAGTTAGGCTGCAGGAACACGTTCTGCATGCCCTCGAAGAGCTGCAATTGCAGCCACAGAGCGCGTAAGAGGGGGTTGTGCCTGGATTGCGAAGCGGGGCGCGGGGTGGATGGATGGTTATGCGCGTAGGGCTGGCGGCAACGTAGGTGGTGTTCAGCATGCAGGGTGGGCGGGTCGGGATATGGGTCGCTGGGCGCCTAAATCACGGTGTTTACATGCCTCAAGCGGTTGCTAGGACACGGTGAGAGGCCGACTTGAAGACCGTGGGCTGTGACAGTGCTGCTTCGAAGCAGTGGCAATGATTTGAGATGCGTAGGCTGGGCCGCGTGTTGGGCTGAAGCCTGGGAGCCATTGACGGCACGGTGTGCTACAAGAACGTGGTGCTAACGTGGACCAGTGGATACACTGTTGTCCCAGATGCTCGGTATTGTAGGAATCGTGCCGTACTACGATGTCACTGTCGTGTTGGGTAAGTCACTTGAGCTTGAGTTGTTCAAGCTAGAGTGGAGGCACAGCGCACCGAACGCTCCTTCCATCCAGATCTCCAACAGCTTCCTTGTTCGTTGCTGGAAGATAACCTGTTCGGTCACATACTTCGACAGAGATCGCATGTGGAGCCAAGGTTATCGCGATTCCCAATGCACAGCGACACCGCCAAAGCTTGATTGACCGCTAGTACGGATTTGGATAGCTGGGCGCTTACCTGGCACTCCACAGCCAACCGACTACCTTCAACACCATTCGACCCCCGCTTTGTATGCACAACCTGCACATTCCGTCTCATGCAACGTCGACCCCCGTCGCCATTCGCTGAGTGCGCGCAGTCATGCGAACGCGCACACGCCGCAACGGAAGAATGGCGACTCCGCACTGGCGTCCTGCTGCCGAGGCCGTACGCGAAATCTGGCCCTGATTCGACTGCCATACTACGAGATGGCGCTCATGCGGAACCACTTCCCGTTCATCGGTCGCAGACGAGGTAGACGGACACTGTTGGGCTTTGACTGCAATCAACTGCTCACTTTAGGGCTGACATGAGACTGCATTCATCCGGCCAAAGTCACGGTGTGTCTGCCGTGCGGCTTTGCATGATTGCAAAGACGTCAGTCTCACCAACGCGCGGTAACGCGGGATGTCGAATCCATCCGCTGCATCGACGCCGCCTCCCGCTTAGCGTAGTCCGCCAGTAGTCAGGTCGCCCCACAGTCATTGGCTTCGCGTTGCGCTCGCCACTCACAGACAGGAGCTGCATGGTGCTCAAGATGCTGGTGCCCCATCGCGGAAAGGGCCCCAATGCGAGCAGGGAGCGCGATATTGCCCGTCCCTTTTCGTCAATTTGCTTCCTCGGCACCCTGACCGAGCGATCATTATCACATCTTGGTCCAATAGCGTAGAGACTTGTGCGGTGCGAGCGGTAGAATCAAAAATGCTGTTGGTTGCGGGTACGCAGGCACCCTAGACCCTGCAAACGAGCTCTCCACTTCAGCAAGGGACATAAGGATCGCTAGCGGCACAGCTCCCGCCCGCCATCTGATCATCAAAGCCCAAGCGTGGTCCATTTGTACTGCGCTTGTCCTCTCTCTCCCAAACTACAAATCTTAGCATCAGTTGCGCAAGTTGCTGTTGGAACGAAAGAGCTGGGTCTTCGCTATTGTGTCTCGAACAACGTCGCACAGGGTTCTTCAGCCTTCCGCAGAAACAACACCAAACCAAAACCCGAATTACACTGCATCATCACCGCGCACCCGGAGTCGTATTCGATGTAGTAAAGGATCTAGCCCATTACTTCACGCGTTGCCTACCGACGTCAGCGTTCTGGCGCAGGTCAACCGTCCGCTCTCGAATTTGCTTCTGCTGGCAGAGGCGTTCCATCAGCCGGTTCTACGGTCTCGCATCCTTGTGGACCAAGTTTTCAACATGCCAGCACTTCCGGAGACATTGGTGTCAGGGGCGGGCGTTGCGTTGGAGCACTTGGAGGCCGCGATCTCACTGGCCGAGCGTGAGGTGGCTGGTTCCCTCTCGAATCTCGTACGACGGATAAACCTACCAGTCAATTCGACGAGTCCGCCAGGCCTGATAGAGGCCAACACGCGAGATCCCTGGAACAAGAGCGGCAAATATGCATTGGCCTACGTCTATTTCTGCTTACCACTGCTGGTTGTCGCTGGCCTCATGCGGTACTACCATCTGTTCACGGACAAGATACGGACCGCTCTCCACCAAGAAGAGGTACTGAAAACCGCGAAGATCGCCTCCCCCGACTCCGACTACGAGATGTCAGTTTTGTATACTGACAAGTCAACCGTGAAGTTCTTTCCACGCGAGGGGCCACTTCCTTCCCCTCCAAAGTCGCAATCCAGTGTTTCGTCACTCGGGTTCATCAACAAGACCGTGGCCTGCTTTCGCTTCATCTTCTACCGCCCGATTCGAGAGATCCAGATCCGGAAAGGATGGAGACCGCTGGTGTTTCCATCGCTTGCTGCCTGCGTTATCGTAACTGGTGCTCTGGCTTTGGGAATCTGCTACACGTTCATTCCACAGCCACTTTTTTGGAAGAGCATCGCTTTTGGATCACCGCCCGTGGCGATCCGATCCGGCATGATGGCGGTTGCTCTGATGCCTTGGATTGTTGGACTATCGATGAAAGCAAACATCATCACCCTAATCACCGGGATTGGCCACGAGCGACTGAATGTGCTGCATCGGTGGGCAGCATACTTGTGTCTGCTTCTTAGCATCATCCACACCGTGCCTTTCTACATCACACCAATCTGGGAGAAAGGAGCTCGACATGCGTTCGAGTCATTTTTCAAGCAGGATGGATTCTACGCCTACGGCACTGGCGTTGCGGCGCTAGTGCCGCTCTGTTTCCTTTGCGTTCACTCCCTCGAGCCATTGCGCCATTGGATGTACGAACTGTTCGTCTCCCTCCATGTACCTGTCGCCATCGTCTTCCTCGGGATGGTGTTCTGGCACTGCCACAACTACCTCACATCCTGGAACTACCTCTTCGCTACTCTAGGCATTTGGGTCATGTCATACTTCATGCGGGTCTTCTACCTCAACTGGGCCAATCCATTCAAGATGTCATGGCTAATCGGAGACGAAGCGGCCGTTACCCTCATGCCGGAGAACGCGATCAAGATCACCATACCTACCCAGATGAAATGGAGACCTGGCCAATACGTCTATCTCCGAATGCCGGGCATCTCGGTGTTCGAGAACCATCCATTCACGATCGCTTCCTTGTGCGACGACGACTTCCCTTCTGAATACGGCGAGGGCTACCGAGACATGGTCTTGGTCTTTCGCCCCTTTGGAGGCTTTACCAACAAAGTACTGCGTAGCGCACTCGAGCATGGTCCGTGGCACACCTATCGCGCGTTTATTGACGGGCCTTATGGCGGCATGCAACGACGTCTGGAAGCTTTCGATGATGTCGTGTTGATTGCTGGCGGCAGTGGCATTACCGCGATTGTCTCGCAACTACTCTCGTTGATCAAGAAGATGCGCGATGGAAAGGCGGTCACGCGAAAAGTGCACGTCATCTGGGCACTGAAGCGTCCCGAGACACTAGAGTGGTTCAAAGAAGAGCTTAGGATTTGTCGCGAATTTGCGCCCCCAGAGGCAGTAGAATGCCAGTTCTACATCACAACCGCGAAGCGTAATGCTGGCGGGACCCTCGTCAGCGCAAAGACACCTACACGACCTGTGTCGATGTTCTTCCACGACAAGGTCAATGATGCTTTCCAGAATATCGCCGATCACCGCGTTTCGGGTATCTCGTCGAAGCGCCACTCGGCACTCATCCGCGACGAGGCGCAAGGTGACGCGGAAAAAGAAAAGGAGCTTCGCGCCGAAAACGAAGACAGCATCACCGCACTCCCGCAAGGGCGAATGGTTCCTGTGAGCCGCACAGGGTCCCATCTTAGCGTGCCTCAGTACAACCCGTCGAATCCAGACCTCATCACCTCTGTGCCGCAGCCCATCGTCGCCCGCCGTCAGGACCGCAACCTCTCCCTCGACATTAGCACAGCGCTTCACTCGCATCCGGACGCAAGCGTCTACCAGCACAACATCGCATCTCCCACGGCTGCGCACTCGGCACAGGGCTTCGACTTTGGATTCCCATCTACTCCCACGGAGTTCCAGAAGAATCTGATGCGATTCGCCTTTTTGCCAGCTGCGGTCAAGAAGAAGGACGGGTGGTCAACCGAGTACGGGCGGCCAGACCTAAAGTTCCTGCTCCGGGAAATGGGACGCAACTTTGGACGAAGAACATGCGTGTTCGTATGTGGACCCCCAGGAATGCGCACAGCTGTCAGCGAGACGGTCGCAGATTTGCAGAGGAGCGTCTGGAGCGGCAATTCAAGGGACGAGATTTTTCTGCATGCCGAGAACTACGCGCTATGATTGGGCGCTTTAGCATGCCTGTCCTGTTTTTCTTTACGGTCTTTGGGAATTGTGCATAGCGGGAGGATTGGACGTTTATACCCCTTTTTCTTTTCCCGGTCGATATCCATGAGTGGATTTCCGTTGTCAGAGGAAATATATCCACGCACACGCGCGGCGACAAGAGTCGTCGCCAGCAAGATGCGGCTGTTGCGCCGTAGACATAGATAATACAGACGCTTCAAGATACGCGTTACCATGGCCGTGATCCAATGCAGCTACTGCCACGCTTCCGCTCAGTCGGCCCAGCACACGAGCTGACAGCAGCTTTGCGTTCTTCCGCGGACAGGGGGCGATGCCATGTTTGGGTGTTGCCAGGCATGAAGCCCCTCGGCAGTCGCACGCGTGGGCGAACACTCACAGCGGCTAAGCCAGTGGGTACAGTGTGTGAGACGGCGCGACTGGCACCTTCTGCATTCGGCAACAGCCCCTCGTACGCCCCTCGGGCGGTACTGTGCGAGCTGGAGGGGTAGATGGATGTGCCGCCCTGGACCCGGCCCGGTGGGAGAAGCTGGAGGTGGGCAGCGGGCGACGCACGGCGGCGCCTGAGGGAGCCCACGGCGGGCGGGAGGGTGCAGTTTTGGTGGGCATCGCGCGGGCTGCGCGGCGCGTCGAGCAGGAACGCGCGGGTGCTGCAGCGCGCCGCGTGGAGCGCTGGGTGCGCATCAAGGAGGCTCTGCGCAGTGCAAAGACGGCACGGTTGCTCCAGAGGAGCGACGCAGGCGGGCGATTGGGGCAGGGCGGCGTGCAGCCACCATGTCAGGGTGCCGGTGAAATGGGGGTGTGCGCTCGTTCGCACCATCGTCTGGGCTTGGCCGGCGCACCTCTGGGGGCCTCTGTGCAACATATAGGCGTCGGCACGTCCCAATCGGCGGCGCATCGTCATCTCTTGCGCGGGTCGGGCCCATTTGCGCGCTCCTCGTCTTGCATCGGGCGGGCTGCATGGTGTGCTCTGTGTCCGACCATGGTGTTAAGAGAGTGTGATGTCCACCTCGATCCCCGACAACCAACTGGGCCTCTCGCAGAGCGAAGTCCAGCTCCTCCGCCAGCACCAGCAGATTGCCCTCTCCCAGCAGGGCTCCTCGTCCTCGCGCGCCGCGTCGCATGCCTCGAGCCAGGGCCGTCTCCTCCTGGATCCCACAAGCCTGCAGGCGCTCAGCGCCCACTTTGACCGTCTGATGTACTCGATCCAGCAGCGCTGGCACTACGTACGTCTTGCTCCGTCTATGCTATGGGAATGCCCAGGACAACACGTTACACGAATTGGTCTGCACAGTCATCATGATACTGACTGTGCCCGTAGCTCAACCAGCAGACGCAGACGGCGACAACCCTCCAGTCGACCCGCGCGGGCGCCGCCATCCAGAACGCCGACGCCGAAATCGCGCGCTTCCGGGCCATTCTGCGCGAAATCGACGAGCTGCAGGTCGAGTTCGACAAGGTGCGGCGCATCGGCGAGATTGTAAAGGGCTTCCGCGCGCGCGTCCAGCACCTCGAGCGCCGCATATGACACGCCCTATCCCACCATGTACTCCACGCCACGTTCCTTTGCTTTCACGATTCACGACACATCAGACCTCCTCGTCCTCGCGGACACCAGCGATACCCGTGTAGAGTTTGGCCTCGCGGCACTATATTATCTAGCTTAGCGGAAGGGAATGGGAAAGGGATGGCAAGCGCAGAATGAGCGGCCTCGTGGCGTTGGGTGTTATGTGTCACGTTATTCCTTTGCTTCGATTTCTGTGCTCCTGTTTCTCCTGTCCTTTGGATGCACCAATTTGCTTTTTGGGAGCCTCCCCATGCACTACGTTGTACATGGATGTCCCTGCCCTCGTAACCCCTTCAATCTTGCCCGCTCTGGCCTGTTGTTGCACCCACTTTACTTCTTTTTGGGGCCTGCGCCGTCTCCTTTCGTCACTGCGTGTGGGTTTCTTTTGCGGTGCTGTTCCGGCGCGGGAGCGTGGGCTGATAGCATAGCTTACACCGAGTGAGTAAAACGTGTGTGGTGCTACGCTGCGTCTGCTCACCTGACCAGCTTGTGCGATATGCCATCCACGTCCTCGTATTCCCAGTGTAGCCGCAGTCGTAACTTTGCTTCTTGTACGCGTTAGACAGCGGCCAATTGCTAGCTCGGCCGTTCATCTACTTGCGCAGAACGGTCCACAGACGGTCCGAGCATTCACTCCATAAGATCAAGAACAGGGCGCCATGTAGGTCTTCGTCCACCCATGACAAGTCCACATGCAACCCGCCCTTATCCGGCTCGCGCATGGCACAAACGAGCCGAGTGCGCAGATGGCGGCTGCACGTCAGCGGTTCGGGCGCGTGTCAAGGTGTTGCACGACGTCGGAACGGAATCAAAACTTGGAGTTGGTGGCGTGTGGAGTCGAATGCGCATTTGCGTGTCATGGTAGCCTTCGCGTTGATCTTGCTCTCAGGGTGGCCAGGAAGCTTGGGGATTCTGAAGTTCATGGTCATCTTCGAGTTCGTTCTGATAATGTTGAGGTGGGTGATGTTTCAAATGATATGGACTAGTTCGCGTTGACTATCCGGGAATAGATACAAAGGAAAGTTGTTGGCTTTACGTAGCAGATTCTGAGAGGAGTACATGCATACTTCGACCTCCTGGAAAGAGATTCCCAGTTGGAAAGTGTCCAATCTAGACCCTGGTCCGTTGTCAAAAGCCTGCCAAACCCGTATAGTTGAGAGTTACCAGAGACCGCGAACACGCTCCCATCCAGCTCGGTTCCTCACTGACATAGTACGGGGCTTCATAACAAGTTGAACTAGTCCCATAAGAAATCCGACTATGCACAACCCAAGACCTTTTTTGATATTCTCTCATGTAATTGAGAATACGAACATGAGCTCGGGTGTCGAAAACGTGACCATCACCCCACCATGCTACGCAAGCATCACGACGACTTTTAGGCTTTAGTTTCTCGTATCCCCATCAGCTGATTTCGCTACCAATAGATCGAAAATTGTATCAATAATACACTCTCACGCATACTCTCCAAGCTCGCGTTGTCTGCCCATTTTCAATAAGGCGCAGCGTAATGGTCAGCACAGCAATGGATATTTGAACTGGGACCGGCGTACTGTACGACGCAAGTCAGTCATGAGATTTTCGCGATCCAGTCTGCGGTATAAGAGCATGCGCGTGTGCATGCACGACGACTTGGAACGCAACGCTTGAAACCCCGACCGATACATCCTGTACTTCGTCAAGACCCCACGCCCAATCAAACTCCACACCGCCAACGAGAAATGAACCTCCTCTCAGTCCTCCTCCTCACCCCGTTCGCCCTCTCTCTTCCCTCCCCCCACCCACACCGCCAACATCACACCTTCCACCTCAGCAACCTAACTTATTCCTCCACACTCCTCTACAGCACGCCCTCTCACCTCGCCGTCTCTTCTGCAACCTTCTCGTTCGCTTTCTCCAACCCCGCAGCTTACTCCGCGAAATGCGTTGGGTACAGCAGTGGCCAAACAAGCGACGCGGGATTCTTTGCCTGGCCGCAGACATTCACCTGCACGAACGAGGAGGCTGCGGAGGGGAATGTGACGTTTGTTTGGCACAGGTATGGTGATGGGGGTTTGGGGGTGAACCAGACCTGGGAATGTGGGGGGTGAGTGTCCAGTTTCTTCCCCTCTGGTCAGTTGGTTGAGATGTTGCTGACGTTGAGGTAATGCAGGGACAAGTATCTGGGGACTGCGACGACGGATGTGGGACTCCAGTGCCAGACCACGTTCTGGCAGAATCCGAATTTCACGTGGCCGAATCCGGGCGGGCCGTACAGTACGGCGGACACGAGGTGCAATACGTTGGATTTGAGGGTAGAGCCGAGTGTGAGGAAGTTGGAATAGGAAATGTGTGTGGTGCGGGTGCCATGTGGCTGTGTTCGATGAGCGACGACCTCGGAAATCCCTGGATGAGACATGACTACTGCAGCAATTACCACCATGGTCTATCAACATAATCATAATAACTCTGCCACGCCCTCCACCCCGCCGCTGTGTGCAACTTTTCCATGCTCATCTCGCTGATCGTGTCCCAAAATTGCTGCAATTCGGGATCAGTGAACCCACCTGCCGGGACGGCGGTCCGCACTTTCAGCATCTCATGGTCCTCAATGTGCGAATGAGTCCAACGGCGTGGGCACACTCGATACCACCACTCCACGCATATCGATATTAGCGGAGTTGGTGACAATGTACGGCGAGGGAAAACTTCCCATTGGTAGTAGTGTCCACATAACAGAGAAGGCTTCCTGGTTCTGGATCGCACAGCACGGTTGAACTCCATCTGCAACCAATTACGTTTCGAAAACTCTCCATCTGGTAGGAAGAGGTCGCGGACTCGTTCTTCTGATGTGTATCTCCGTGTTTGCGTGTTCAGACTCTCCAAGTTGGGCAGCACGATGGACTGGACTAGTCCGATGGCGCTGCCGAGATCCCAGTACTTGGAATCCGAGTGTCCTTCGCAAGTAAGGGTCAAGTGGTGAATGTTGCTCTTCCATTCGTTGCCATAGTGCTTGAAGAAACGTTCTGCAGCGGCGATCGACATCCTGTAGCATATTCGTCTTAGAACCTCAGCTCGTAGCACGACACAGGTCTCTGCGAGTCGCAGATCGTATGCATCTGCGTGCTCAACCTGTGTGCACCTCTCTGGATCTGGAAAGGATCCGGAGAACGGGGGCCGACTGCATAGTTGTGGGAGTAATGGGTCAGGTGCTTTGCAGCCCTGGAAGACGTAGTGGGGTCCCGAGCTACCTTTGTGATTGGTGTGGGAAAAGATGACGTGGGTCAGTTGAGATGGATACAGGTGATCATAGATCTCCTGGCGGAGCTCAGGAGGTAAATTGAGAAGAGTTGCCCGAGTATTTTTCGGACTTTTGAAAACAGATGACATGTATGCACTCGGCACCTCAGGAGGCGGAGGATGTACACTAATGATAGTGCTTGTGCCGGAGCCGAATTCATCGTTCGCCGGGGCCGGTTGAGATGGCTGAGGCTCGAAATTGGTAATGAAGCCTGTGCCGGGGAGATCTGTCAACGCCTCGCTCATGACGCCGGTTGGCAGCGCACATGTGGCAGCATGTGAGTCTTCGGGGGAGATATGGTCGTCCTTGACTTTTGTGCGTTCATCGATTAACGATGTTCCACTCCAGGATGCCTGCTCATCCATGATCAATGTCTCAATGCATGGGTACTGCGAGACCTTGCGAGATGTCGACGTGGTGTTGTGCCTACCATTCAGCGGTATTGCATGATCTCAGTATATATGTAGCTGATAGAGGAGACTATGGGTCTATGGATTTTATCGACCGCCGTAACTCTATATAGACCAGAGTTGAGTAGGTATTTTTTTGCCAATGATCCGGGAGGAAGTGAGAGCGATGTGCTTGGAAATAGCTTAGTTGGTGTAGGCAGCAGCTATCGTGGCTGTGCCGCTGCCGCGCATCAGCTTGCACGTGCTTTCGTCATTCAAGGCTGAGCCAAGGCGCAAGAAGGAGGTTGCTGGGCAAACTGAAATTCCGGATCAGCAACACAAGTAAAAAACGAAGCACACGTTCATCCTTCTATGCTTCAGTAGCTTGTTATGCATATTGAGTTTGGAATGACCGCTCCCATAGTTCATGGATGCCTCACGCTGACAGAAAATTGCGATGCTCGTTATCGTGCAAGATATCCGCACGTCCGCTGTTTGGACGTGTGTCAAAGGGTTGCACAACGTGGCGTGCAACTACGGGTTCCCAAAGATTCAGGAAAGCGAAAGTATGGTTGGGTGCTGTATTGCACTAGCAACAGTGTTCTTGGACCTCAGGTCAAGCGCCAGCACGATAACGTGACCATCTGACCACGCAAAAGACCCAGCCTCACGCCCCCAACAGTGTCCAGGCATCTCAATACGGAAAGATTACTGCGAAAACGATCTTTGCTCCTACCTCGTCAAGGGCTTGGCAGATGCATTTCACAACGATGGACCCACAAGGCAGCGGCTGGGACCCTTGTCGTGCGTGACATCCACTAATGCCCCATCGCTAATCACGCAGTCCTTGCAAAAGATATGTGCCGAAATTTGGACTAGCTTGGATATGTATGAGGCTGGAAAATGCTGCGACCACCACTTTATGCGGTCTGCCACGGAACTGTGGTCCCAGCTTCGCGTGAGTGTCGTATCTTCGACTTTTCCCTTGCATCTATCTGACATGCTGGAAAACTCTGCGCCACCAAAGCTTTGGCCCGAAGACCGGGACGATCGTGTAGCCCGAGGTCGAGTGATTCAGATTCGATCAACACCTCCAATCGTCGCACTCCAACTCTTGACAGTGCTCAGGCCTGAATTCAACATCCAACGGTTATTCTATCAGTTCACTAGTCACATGTCGCTCGCCGGATCTTATCGATTTACAGCATATGAAGACTCTTGGTCTTACACGATAAAGTACTACTACTTGGGCATGGGAAGACCTCTTCATACGAAGGCCAAGAAAGTGGTATCCTCCATGCGAAGACATTCGGGTTTTATATTTGTGGAGGTACCTCAAGCATTACTCTCAGTAGCAGATTCTGACCATGAGCGTCTTCCTATCGTATACCAGGACTGCGGGGTACCCGCATATCGGTAGCAGATCCAGTCATCTGTCGGGCATATCCTTGAAATACTCTGCCCGAAATGGATGGACGTGCTTGGTTCTATCCCCTCAAGACCAGTTCTGGGGCACTGGGGAGAAGGATGATTTCAATAACGATATAAATGTTTTTCTCTGAGTAGTCGACCAAGAGCTGGCCGGAGTCAGAAGCGAGCTCAGGAAGGTCTCGGAGCACATGGGAATTCTTGCGGTCCCTTCATTAAGTGCTTAGACTGAGATTTGTGGCTCAGAACCTAATGCTAGCTAGGATGGATTCCTCTTCAACGAGGCCTACCGCGACTCTCTAGTATTTGAGGGTACGGGATACAGTAATTGGAAGACTTACTTTTCGGCAGTCCAATCCTTGAGAGCCGTTCACGACTCCATCAAGTCGCTCCTATACGCTTGGGAGAACTTTGAAAACGAACTCCTTGGAGAAGATGAAGAGGGCTCTGCCACTATAGAGAGCCAACGGGCAACATCGCCGCTTTCCTCAAGGGAATCAAGGAAGAGGTTGTGAAGCTGAAGGAACTACACGCTCCAAACATCACCCTTCATAAAGAAATTAAGTCTCTGCGAGATGAAGTAGGATTTTCCTTCTATTTCGCAATCGATCTCTGACATCTGTGCAGCTTTTCAACGCCTCCACCGTCCTTGAATCCCGCACCAGTGTCCTTCAAGCACGAAGCGTTGAATTGCCCACGTGTATCTCCATGGTCTTCCTACCAGCCAGCTTCGTAACTTCCGTCTTCAGCATGGACACCCTCAGCTCATCAGTGAACATTAGAGAATTTGCAATCACCCTCGTCGCAGTCTGCGGCGTGACGTATGTGATGATACTGCTGTCTAGACTAGCGAGACCTTTCAGACCTTCGAAAGCTGCTCCAAAGCGGCTCCAAAGCGGCTCGAAAGACGGGCGGCGAGAACGAAGATCATAGCACGAGCACGTCGCGTAAGCCTTTCGCGCGAAAGCCGCTGAAGTGGACCAGAAGAGCAACAGATCCCAAGGCTGGTGTTGACTTGGAAAGGAATCGGCAAACCTAGTTGGCACTCCACAGAGTTACTACACAGAGATTTACGGCTTACAACTCTGGGGAAGCTCGCGACGGGTGGAATCTTGGTGGGCAAACTTAGCGACATAGGTGAAGCAGACGCCTGGATACGGGCATAGTACAAACCTGGATATACTGGAAGTATTGGTACGATATATATGTATTTATTGGACTTTTCTTTCACATACGACCATAGGACACTGAGAACTAGGCTTCCCGTCCGCTCAGCCATATATAAGCAGTGTACCGGCGAATTAGTAATATCGTGGGTGACCAGATGTGAATCCTCGCTGTTGTATGTTTTTGTCTAGGTATTGTATGCAAATTTTTGCCATGTGGGTCCTTATCACGTGACAGTGATCCCGAAGGACCTGGCAACCTGTTTTCTTCATGTATCTAATATGCAGCTTAACAGCGTCATTATACTTCCTATAATAAGTCTCTGCAATTGTTTTTGCGGCATACTCTGGATCGTTTCTCCAAATTGCACAAGGATACTCAGGTCATCTTTACTTTAGTCAGTCACCATCAGGGCATGCTTGTGTCGGTTGAATGAATAATCCAGTACTAGCGGTGTTGAAGATAGCACTGACTGAAATCCTAGGACCTGCGTGGGCTTGGAGCCATTTCGTATGTGAGTACACTATCCCAACTTGCCTCACACTGGCAATGACGGAACCGCGGCTGCATTCATGCCAACCCTGTGGCGGCGTTAGTACGAGCGAGATAGTGACCGTGATACTTGAAGTACTCAAAATGTTGGAATATAGCTGAATGGCCTATTGATTGGCCTGCTTGGCGCACAAATTAGTTGGATGCATATAGGTCATCCAGAGAAACAAAACGGAAGAACAGATCTTCTTGTTAATTTGAGTACAGTTAGAAGATCGATCAGGGAATTCACATGAGTGATTTGAAAAATGGAACGGTGAAACGGCATTGCTCTATCTACTCCACTTTTTTTTTCGCGCGACTCATTCTGATAGATTCAGAATCCGAAGACGCGTGGAGGAAAGCTTTGCGTTGCGACACAAGGGCTCAGACTGCGGTGTACTTTCGAAAAATGGAAATTGAACCAGGGTCGAAAGGTCCATTCGAAGGATGGGACCCCGTCTTGGACCAGTTCCAGGTCAACACCAGTGCTCTCGAGTTCGGGAGACTTGCTCGGGACTCGTATTTGGATCCCATCTTCTTTGCAATCTTGCATCGTTTGGAAGTACTGAATAGATATCCCCAAGATACCTCACTGATAAAAAATTCGCCAGAGTACACTGTACATATGGACTCTACGCCGATCCTCGGAGCTGCTCGAGATGAGTCAATGACCATCTCGGCAGTCAGACCGCGCGAGCATATTGGCGTGTCGCAATCTAGCTCTATAAACCCTACCACCGCGGTAATTAACTTTATCGAACATAGGCACATAGACCTCGAACAGCCTTTGACAAGACCGAAAAAAAATTCTTCGTCAGAGATACTGTAGTCAACTATGATATGCTTTCCTTCCTCGGCAAGGGAGAGGAGAGAATACACTCTTTCTCGACGAATAGCGCATGCTTGATCTGGAACAGTCAAGAGGAGTGTAACCAGTGGCTTTTTTCGAAGGCCTTGCGTACTACGCACAAGCTCCAATTTCGACCGGAGTCTACGATTGATTCTTTTCGGAGATTTGGCATTTGTATGGAGCTTGTGAAGCCGGGAAGCATCAAATACAGTTTCAGCTGCCAGGAGACTACTTTTTGTTGACAACGCTAACTCTTGAGTAATCCAAGCTCGTGTCCAGTATTTGTGACCGCTAGTAGTCGCCAGCCTGATCTGAGTTCCTGAAATTTGCGAACAACATGGGAATTGCACAGATCAACGGCGGTCAGAGACTTGAAGAAGTCCGCGAGTGGCTCACTATCACCAAGCCAGACGAAAACGTGTCTAGCTGCTAAGCACACTTCTCCATCCATCTTACCTGATGGCTGCGTTCGTCCACGCTGTTCTGATCGATGCTTATCGCATCGATCACACAGTGTCTTCCGCGGAGACTTGGTTCGAACAACGTTCAGGAGCGCCCGTAAGTTCTCTCGGATGGCAAATCTTTCTCCGTTAATGATGACCCGTCTCGAAGCAGGTTCATCTCCCCAAATATACGAGAGACATGTATATATGCTCTCACTGAGCGTCTGATTATTGTTCAATCGGCACTGCAGAAGGCCGCCGGGAGAAATGGAAGGCAAAACTTGTAGGAGACGGATGGACGGCTTGCTGTGATCGAGGGGTTCGTGCTCGCAGTTTGGGAGATCGGGTTCGCCTTTGTTTTGTTGGTTGCCACTGAAGAAGTGTTGAGATTTCGTATGTTCAGATTTTCCATTGGTCTCAGCCGCGCGTTTTGGACGAGCTTGTGTTGCTTTCACAGTGGTCTTTTCCCGAGGACTCTTTCTAGTAGGCTTGGCGACCTTCATCTTAGGTCGCGGAGTTGTCTTCGATTGCCTTCATGTGATAGTCATTGGTCATGGATTATGCTGGTGTTGGTGTTCCCTCTCAAGTCTGTGGCAGGAAACAGCTGCAGGGTTGTAACGCCTCGCCTTGTCAGCTGTGGGGCTTTGAGACCTTGCATTCGCGATCGCATGCGATTGGTCACCGTAGTCGACAGCAACGAAAGCCATGATCCTCCACACATCACTATCCTTTCGTATAGTGATCAAAATGACTGATACCATGACATGCCTGTGGAGGATATTCGACTATAAGGCGGATAAGGCAAAGAGCAGCAGCACATCACCACACATCCATCGGACGTTCTCTTGAGGATCGAGAGCGATGCTGCGTCAAGAAGTTCCTGGATTCTTATTTCCTTTCATTTGCACCGTCTCATTCAGCCGTTTCTTTTTCATCGCCGGTGGAACCTTATGCGTCGTGTTTCGAGCGCGGCGGAAGTATCAGCATTGTCATCTCGTTCTTCGTCAATAGTAGCCTTTAGCCTTGAAGCCCCCCTCTCTTTCTCACTGGACAGTGGAAGTTGGGTCGGTTGATTCACACAGTATCACCTGTTAGAATCATACGTTTGAGGGCGCGTTGCCGGATCGAGAGCCGCACCCACACTTCTTTGGCTTCTATCCATAGTTAAAAGCGACCGCTTAAGCCGTCGGGCCACTCAAAGTTCGTAAGCCGCGATCACTGATGAAATGTTGAGATAATGTGTAGGAGTGATGCATTGTTTAGGGGCACCGGAGCTGCTGTACGGTATAGCGTCGGATTAGTGTGGCTCTTGCCTCGGTCGATGGGCACCTCCGTAAATATAACAACTTCATACTTCACGTATCTACAGTGATATCAAGAACGGAGAATCAAGGCCATTACAGCTTTCTGTGATCAGTTTAGTGTAGAGCATTGCTATCTTTTACCTCAAGACATAAGCTAATTTCGCTAGGAGCAGGAGCATATCAATATCTTTATCATAGAGCCCTCGATTCATTACAGTAGACTCAATGCTGCCTATCTTGCAGTGACGAAACACCTATCTATAGTGGAGATACCTGTCTCTATCTGTTGACATGGACAGTGCGGAACATGGTTTCCATTCAGCGCTGTCGCCAGGAACGCGGAATTTGGCCGTCGCGATCCCAGACTTGAGGCTCAACCCATGCGCCAACTAGCAACGTGCCCCTGCAGCGACAAAGCCAGGCCTACTTTAGGAGACTAGGCCCCTATGATTGCTAGATTACGATTTGCTGGACATACAACGGCCCGATCTTAGCTTGAGGATATGCGTTAAGGCCCTGTTCGCGTGCGGAAAGTGCCCGCGCTCCGGGGTTCCCCACACGCACCCTGGTCGCTAGTGCTGAAGTGGATACAGGCATATCAATGCTCCAAGACCTGTGTCTGAGTATCGACAGTTGCGCAGGCTGTGGCTTCTATTAAAGCTTGGTCTTGTTGCACGGCCTCTCTGACTCTATTGTACTCCCTTCAAAATGACGGCTACCAAAGTTATCGACCAAAAGCCTGACTTGCAACAATCTGATGCCGCCAGCTATGGCAATGGGAAACTGGAGCCAGTGCTCACTCTCGACGACGATGATAGACTGGCGCAGATCGGACACGCTCAGGAGTTGAGGAGAGACTTTTCCGTCTGGAGTGTGATGAACCTGATCCTTTGTTTGATGGCAACCTGGGAAGCACTCAGCACGGTCATCTCAACGGCATTGACGACAGGAGGTGCCCCTTGTCTGTTCTGGAATCTGTGAGTCCTCTCAAAAATTCGAGCTTGGGGGATCAGGAAACTGACATCTTGTAGATTAGTGTCCGTTATTTGCTCGATAGCCATCGCACTGTCTCTAGGAGAGATCGCTTCGATCTACCCAACTGCGGGAGGTGAGCCGCTGGAACATTCCATCCTGTACCAGAAGAAAGCTAATAGAAGATAGGGCAGTATCATTGGGTAGCCGCGCTGTCTCCACCAGCGACTCGTTCTGTCGCCTCTTGGTCCGTTGGTTGGATTAACGTCGGAGGCCAGATCGTCCTCAGTGCAGCTGCTGCATTCGCGGGCTCGCTACAAATTCTCGGAGTTGTCATTCTGAATGATGACACATACGCGCTCAAGCGATGGCAGGGACTGCTCCTATACTGGGCAATCCTGATCTATGGTGCTGCGATCAATATCTGGGGCTCGAGGCTCCTGCCCGCAACGAACAACATATCCGGTGTCATCCATCTGGTGGGATTGGTGGTCATCATGATCGTGCTAGGCGTCATGAGCGAGAAGAACACATCCTCGTTCGTATTCCTCGAGGTCACAAACAGCAGCGGCTGGAGCAATGATGGCGTCTCCTGGTTAGTGGGCCTTCTGTCCACCGTCTACCCACTGCTCGGCTACGACGCCGCCTGTCATCTGTCAGAAGAGATTCCTCATGCTTCTAGAAACGTACCTCTTGCCATGATAGGCAGTGTGACGGTGAACGGAATCATGGGTTTGGGTTACTGCATCCTGCTCTTGTACTGCACTGGTCCGCTCGACGAGCTCCTCTCAACGCCGACGGGCTTTCCATTTATCCAGATCTTTTACAACGCCACGAATTCGTACGCCGGGGCAACGATCCTGTCCCTGTTCGTTATCATCATCGCGATTGCTGCCACGGCAGCCATCATCACATCAGCCTCCCGTACCTTCTGGGCCTTTGCTCGCGACAAGGGGACGCCGTTCTCAGGCTACTTCGCGCACGTCAATCAATCGTCCCAAATACCCGTCCGCGCGGTTGTTGCAGTCACCGTGGTGCAGATGCTCCTCGGCTTCATCTACCTCGGCAACACCACTGCCTTCAACGCCATCATGTCCATGTCCATCCTCGCCGTCTACGCGTCGTACCTCGTCCCGATCATCTATTTTATGATCTACGGACGACCGAAGCTCGCAAAACACCAGCTTGGTCATTTCAAGTTGCCAAAAACTCTCGGTTTGTGCCTGAACATACTGTCATGTTGTTGGTTGGTACTGGCAATGGTGTTTAGTACGTTCCCGGGCGTTATGCCTGTAACGCCGCAGAACATGAATTACTCATCGGTTGTGATGGTGGGTTGGATGTTTATTGGGTATGTGTATTATGCCATAAAGGGGCGCAAGCAATTTGAAGTGCCGGTAGTTACCAACGAAGCGCGAGGGCTCTGATAGTCTCTTCAAATCCATCTGAGTGGAGTGAATTCCATAAAAACATTCTGGTTCCCGTTGATGCTCAGCGATTCTTGAAGCAGAACATATGCAGTGGGTTTGTTCGATAATCTAAAGCATTCATTCGACAGCCAGTAAGGCCATTGAACCTGAAGTGCTCGGCATTGTCTTCCATGGTTTTGGTGAGCCATGAACGGCCGCGCGCTTCTCCGGATTCCTCGATCCGAAAACTTACTATTCGGCACAACTTTGGTCTCCGGTACACTGGAATGTGACGGCGACGACCTGTTGGTGGTTGTTAAACAGAAAGTCCAGAACTTCATGACGGTGGGCTTTGGGCGGATTTGACTTCGCTCCGATTGGCCCACCGAACCGCGGCTTCGGACAGGGCAGGAAGCTGCACCTCGCTGTCGCCTCATCTTTGCCTCCACCCACTCGAACATCACTAACGATTGTTTGTGCTTATCAACTTGACCTCTTCACCATTATCATCACGATGCAGTCTACACGCACCCTCCTCCGCCTTCCACGCCACCTCTCCCGCCGCGCCATCCCGTTTCGCGCTCTCAGCACCACCACACCGCGCCTCTCTGCGCCATTCCCCACTACTCCAGCGCCGCCACGCCTCCCAAAAGAAGAGCAAGAGATCTTCGATCGCCTGCAGAAGCAGAGCACCGGGGCGTTCAGCACGCCGCGCGACGAATCAGCCGCCACTCCCGCTACACCCACATCAGTCTCTTTCTCTGCCGCAGATGTACGCGCCCGAATAAACCAGTCGCCCGATAGCAGCGCAGGCGAGGTGAGGAGGATACCAGAGGGCGAGGAAGTACACCCCAATTTGAGGAGAGGTGCGCCTCCGGAGTTTGAGGGCGATGTCAACCCAAGGACTGGAGAAGTTGGTGGGCCGAAGGTAGAGCCTCAGAGGTGGGGAGCTACGGGTGATTACAGCTATAATGGGCGAGTTACGGATTTCTAAGGAACACGTGCATGGGTGCAGTCGAAGGATTTAGACTGGCGAGAATTCGCCGTCGGGGGGCGATGTATGATAGTGAGCCCTTGTACAGTAAATGGATATGTCAAGAAGAGCTAAGTGTCGAATCGACCAAATTTTCAACGCTATACACTGGGCCTGATGCCGAAAATTCACTATGCAGTGGAGTTGGAGGCTCAATCTCAAGCTAGTAGAGTCTTCGTTTGCCCGGCTCAGCGATTGTTCACGATGCACGTGGGACACGCTTCGGAAAATCGAGTGCGGACTCGAGGACCGGCGTACCAAGTCATCCCCGCCTAGATGCTCTGCTCAAATCTCGTATAATCAATGTCGCACGAGAGGGGTCCAAAGTACATGTAGATTACGCGGCACTGGACATATAGGATGGTGATACGGAGTAGAGTAGACTCCAAGTAAGACGTACACAGGGATGCACACGCAAGACTCTGGAGGCTGTGCTAGCGGAATGCCGAGTTTTGGCCTCGTGACAGAAGGCTTGTGTTGACCTGATGTCCCAGGACGATGGTACACAGATCGTTCCATGCCAGATGATCCGCGATGTCCAATGCAAAAAGAGGAGAATGATGAAAAAGATCGCGCATTGGCGTATGTGCTTGGCGATGTAGAGACTAATCCATGGATGCATGCTGAAGCGGTGATGGCGTCCACTATTTCGAATGCAGCAGATTCGATAGTACGTTCTTACCCAACGGCAGTCCGAGGCCTACAGCACGCGTGTTTTGACCAACTTGCGATTTTCTTCGCGTCCACGGCTCTTTAAGCGGTTGTTTCTGAGGTCGGCGGCACTGCGGTCGGGCTCTGTTTCTGTTTTACCCTGTAACGTGGCACAGAAGTGCCTGAGCGTTGATTTGTTTCGCACTGTCAATCTGCCATTTGCAGATCCCCCAAGTGATGGAAGGGCCAAGGACGGGGTGCACTTGGCATCAACTGGACCTCAGCAACAACTCCCGAGGAGCCAACTGCCACATCTTGCTTTTATCTTCGTGACGTTTGCACCACAAATCTATGCCCTCATGTCCGCGATGCGTTCCCGCGTCAGAGCACCGTCGACTGCGCCACGAGCAATTTGCGCGGCGTGTCCGCGAACAGGCCAATAGCATCGCCAGCAGAGACGCACGCGCGGGACGGTCTGGACCCTGTGAGCTGCATTTTGGGCAGCGTGTCTGCTGCTATCGTGGTCGGACCAACCCTGAACTCGCATGGTGCACATGTACCTGTCCCGGCGTGATTGTCAGGGGTTTACAAAACTCCGTCCCCCCCGTCACACAACGGTGTTGCGGCTTAGCTGCGCAACCAAAGCTTAAGCGTTAGTGCTGCACTGTTGTAACTCGGTGCTGGTAGATAAGAGTCTCTTCGCGTCTTGACGTGAGATTCTCCACATCCGTCGTGTTCCCGTTGGTGAGTGCGTATATGTCCCTTGTGGTACCTTGCAACTAAACTGATCGTAGGCTTGAACCGCGCTCCCTTGTCTCAATATGTTAGGCTAGTGCCACGATGCATTCAATGAATGCGCATTCTTGAGTCCTCATTTCGTTCGTTGTTCAAAACATCCCTGCGTCTTGCAAAAGGCCTCCACTTTGTCGTCAAGGCAAATCGCTCTTTGTACTTGTCTTCGAGCTTTCCTCTCCTTAGCTGTACAGCTGCGCTCGCCTGTAGTGTCCGCTTTCCCTGCATTTACAGATGCACGTTTTCCTCTTTCTGCTCGCCTTTTGCGTGAAGCAATTGGTTGCTGTCGAGCTTGTTGTCGATCTCGGGTATGCCAAGTATCGCGGATTGGACTTTGACAATGGCGTTACCCGGTGGGCGGGCATGCGGTATGCACGAAGCCCATCCAGATTGGACGGTCTGCGCTTCACAGCACCTCAAGACCCTCTCACGGACAATGGCGACATAACCAGTGCAACTGAGGTATGCACGCTACACTCCGTCACGTTGGAATTGTTTAACACAATGACAGTTTGGCCCTCTCTGCATCGGAACAAATAACCCGGTACTATACGAAGTTGGCGGAAAGTGGTCCGAAGACTGTCTGTTCGCCAATGTTTTTGCGCCCACCAATGCAACCACCAAGAGCAAGTTGCCTGTTTATGTTTTTATCCAGGGTGGCGGTTTCAACAACAATGGTAACGCAAACTTCAACGGAACTGATCTAGTTCGCGCCTCGGGGAAACGGATCGTGGTAGTCAATTTCAACTACCGCGTTGGACCCTATGGTTTCCTCGCCAGTCAAGAGATTGTGGCTAACAAGACCCTGAGTCTGAACAATGGTTTGAAAGACCAACGCCAGCTCTTGAAGTGGGTAAACAAGCACATCGATCAGGTTCGTTTCACAGATCTTACCTCCCTTGTGCGTGACTGACGAAGTACGCAGTTTGGAGGCGATCCCGGACATGTCACCCTCGGCGGTGCCAGCGCAGGCGCAGGTTCTGTCGTCTTCCAGCTTACAGCCTATGGTGGACGTGACGACAAGCTGTTCCAAGCTGCAACGATCGAGTCTCCAGCAACGCCCCCGCTGCGCAACGTAACCGAAAGCCAGTTCCAATACAATGCGCTTCTCAAGCAGACTGGCTGCAAGAATCTGCAATGCCTAACAACCATGAACGTCGTCGACTTCCAAAACGCAGTCCGCAGTATGAACATACCTTTTCCGGGAGCGAAGAACCCTCCAATCTACCCGTTCAACCCTACGATAGATTACGACTTCGTGCAGGACTATACGTACAACGAGTTCAAAAACGGTCACTTTGTAAGAGTGCCCACCATTATTGGGGACTCGACAAACGAGGGATTGATATTCACGACAAAGTCCGTATCTTCGCTGCAAAAGGCGTATACGTTCGTCGCAGACCAGTTTGTCAACCTGGATACTAAAGACCAAACGTCCATCGAGGGCGTGTGGCAAGGCCCCTCGGATGTCTCCAGCGACAGCCGCTGGCGCAACGTCGCCGCAGACATCTACGGTCATATCCGGTACATCTGCCCGGGCCTCAACTTCTCCTCCGCATACGCAGACAGCGCTTCGGTGAGTACATGGCAATACCGTTGGAACGTCGGGCCAGCACTGCACGTCGGCGAATTGGGTTCCATTTGGTACAACGGGACGCAAGCCTCGCAGGTTTTCGTGCAGCAATACTGGATCTCGTTCATCCGGTCGTACAACCCGAACAAGTATACGACGAACTACTGGACTAGCGACGGAGCCAAAATGACCAGCCCGAAGTGGGAGACATTTGGCAAGACGGGCAACGGCAGGAGGCTATTGTTCGATGACACGAACGTGGTGAAGATGGAGAACGTGACGGACAAGGAGGTGAATAGGTGCAATGTCCTCTCGGGCATGGGACTGCAGCTCAGACAGTAAGTATCCCCCCTTTCCTTGCTGATGAGGAGGTAGCAAGGGGTGTTTAGCAGTTTTGGCGGACTGTGGAATGCAGATGCACACGTGCTGACTCATTGCAGGGTGGCGGGCGCTGCCCCTCGGGTCGGATTGGATGGGGTAGTCCTCGGACTGCCTCATGTCGTGATACTCATTGGCCTGCTCCACTGGCTAAACACCTGAAGGTGATGGTCAAGAGTGACCGAGGTCACTTCGTATCGTACCATGAGGGAAGCTGGGCACAGTGCCGCCAAGGCACGTGGACATGCAAGCGCTGAGACGAGATTCGAGCTCGAGACGACTTGCGAGGATGAAGCACTCGACGCGAGGAGGGACCCAGAGCAGGATGTTGGACCCGAGGCTGCGCGTCCACGATGCAGCTAGCCCGGGCTTGGGTCGAGGCAACGGCGGAGGGGCAGCGCGGGGATGAGGAGCAGAGGGTGAGGGAAGACGGTAACTGCTGCGCGTGGACGGTGAGCGAGGTCGCGTCCTCACACGACATGCATGTAGATGTACACAAGCAAGCAAGACGCGTAGTCACGCCTGCCGCAAAGGCGCCCGAGTCCACCCTGCATCCACTGAGCAATGTCGCGCATGGACGGTCGCGCGGGCTGAAACACGGCGCATTCAGGCTGTGGGGCCGCCTGGTGCTGAGACAGCGCAGCCGATGGCAGCTGGATCGCGCGTATGATTGACGGAGGCCCTGTCTGTGCGTCCCTGAGGCTGCAGACACCCGCCTCCCCAACAGGCCAAGGTGAACGATTTCGTTTTTTGACGGCTGTCCCCATACACGCTGTACAAACAAGAGCAACGGCCGCTGTCGTGCCGCCGTGCCTCCACCCGCCCAATTGGCACCGCACCGTGCCGTACGCAGCCCATCGACGCCTCGCCGAGTCGCGTTCCCCCAGTTCTCGTGTCTCGACGCCCGCCCGCATCAGGGGCACGCCCGCCGCCGCCGACCTCTGTCACCGCTGCTACGCGCTCTGGTGACTACAGCGCCGCCCAAGCATCCCGTGATGCCCTCGCGCCTACGGAAGCGCCCACAGCCCGACCCCAGGTGCCATGCCCGGCTGGAGACCGCTGCCGCGGATCGCCTTCGCAATATGCACATACCCGTTCCAACCCTCGTCGCCCGCCGACCTGCCCCTCGAAATCGGCGACGAGCTGTACATTATTGAGCAGGGCGGCAAGGACGGCGCCTGGTTCCGCGGCTACCTCGTTGCGCCGCCCTCGCTGCTGGCCGGCCTGACGAGCGTCAAGGGCCAGACGCTCGAGGCGCGAGTCTTCTCGGGCATCTTCCCGCGCTGCTGCGTCGAGGTGCGCGAGGTGCTCGGCGAGGGCAAGACGACGCCCACGCCCACGCCTACCGCAGACACCACCGAAGGCGCCGAGCAGCGCAGCAATGGCGCGCACAGCCACGACACCAACGGCCTCATCACGCCCACGGGGAGCACCAGTGCCACGCCGCCCTCCAAAGCGTCGGCCTCGCACGCCAGGAGGGCCTCCAGGTCCGATGCCGTCTCGCTGCTGCCCTCGTCCGCAGCCCGGCCCCTCTCGCGCCGTCGCTCGACCAAGAACCGCGCGGGCAGCCACGGCTCCCAGTGGTCTGCGCGCGCCGACCACCTCCAGCAGCTTGCGCTGCCGCTCTCACCCGTGTCCCCGACGTCCCACGATCCCACCGCCCCGCGCCCGCCTGCGCCGGTGCCCATGCTCAAGATTGGCGACGAGACGCCCACCTCGACCCAGGAACCACTCGTCGACGAGATAGCGTCGTGTCTGCGCGAATGGCACTCCACCAAGCTACACGAGCTCCTGCTTGCCCGCAAGTACAGTGCGTTGGACAAGATGTCGGGGCTGGTCAATCGATTGGACCAGGCCCGGCGCCAGCTGTTGCACAAGGTCCTGACCCATAAGGAGCTGGATCAAGTGCGCGAGGCCACAGTGTGGGATCTCGTCGCAGGAAACAAGATGCTCTGTGGGGATGTCATAGTGCGCAGCCCCTCGCAGCGGGGACGCATACTCACTGGCGACGATTCCGCCATTGAGGTCACCAAATTACAGTCCATGATGAGCCTGCTGGACGGCCGACCACTGCCGCACGCTGACGAGCACAACCTACATCACCTCTTTGTAAGCTTAAAACGCGTCTTGGGTGACGTGGCGCACAATGGCGCTCAGATCAGCATGCATCTATGCCACAAAGCACCCGGCGCGGCGCCCGTACCACTCTCCGAGGCCTACTCTTTTGACTTGACCGCGCGAGATGGAACGCCTGTGACCCTTTCCGGGGATAAGCTGAGATCGTTGTTTGTGGATTTGAGCTCGACCGACATCGGCGAAGGCGCGGGTTCTGGGTCCAGCCTGTATCTGATCTTCAAACTCCTCACGAACGAGCCTATTCGCCTGGCTGTATCCCCAAAGGATAGCCTGTCGCGAGATGGTACGCCTCCCGGTACTAATGGGATACAGCCCTCGCAAGTCGGGAGCATTAAAGGTGGACGTCGTAGTGTGATGTTCGGCTCCAAACGCAAAGAATCGACACACTCTAGCACCAGCTCGGTGGACCTTCGAACCACGCCATCTGTGGACACTACTCGCAGTGAAAGCCGAGACGGACGACCTGGATCTGCCGCAGTTACTAAACCTAGATCGAACTCCAAGGACCAGAAGACGCTGAAAAGAGTTGTAGCTGTGGGCGTGCACCGTGTGGATCAACTTCTGCGGTCGAAATCAGAAGCTGATCAGAACATCGATCTGTGGTCTGTGCCTCAAGCACTTGATGAAATCACCGAGGAAGATGTTGGTTGGGATGATTTCTTGAATGAGATCTACCCGAGTCCTAACGGAAAGTACACGAAGCATTCTTCGGTAAAACGCATGACTGTGCACCTAAAAGCATTTGCACACTCCGATGCGGAAGTGCTTATCGAGAAGACGCCCACGTTGCTGCACAGCATCAAGCCGTCCCGAAAGATTGGTTTCTCTGGAGCTCCCACAAAGCCACGGAGTGACATCTACCTGACCCTAAGCGAAGCATTCCTCCCCAAAAACGCATTCCTTGCCCATCCGAAGACTGGCACCGTACCTCTGACCACGACCTCGTCCATGAACAACCTCCAATTAACCATTGAGGTTCGGAAATCCTCAGGCGAGCGGATCGAAGGCTGTATCTACCCTGCAGGCAACAGCGCCGGACATACCGCATGGAGAACCACAGCTGTGGAGCGAGGTGAGAAGTGGAATCTGACGGTGCGGTTAGCTATCAAGCCTGAGGAAGTCCCCGGATCGCACATTGTTATGAGCATTGCCGACGCCCCCGGTTTCCCTTTCGCTCTATGCTGGATGCCGCTGTGGACCCAGGATGCATTCGCGCGGGACGGCGATCACGCTTTATCCCTATACCGTTACGACGAATACACCTCGAGTATGATCGCCGGTAAGGGTGCCTATCTTGGTCTGCCGTGGAGTGCGAGGAAAAAGGATGATCAGGTTATGGGTCCTCTGGCATCGTTGCACCTGAGGACTTTCCTTTGCAGTACGAAGTATTCACAAGACCCGAATCTTCTGGGCCTTTTGAAATGGCGAGATCAAGCTGGTGGTGATCTCGTCGGTCTACTGCGACGCTTTCCCTTTGTGCCGGAAATCGAGGTCGTCAAACTTCTTAACGAGGTCTTTGAGGCTCTTTTCGAAATCCTCGTTGAGTATGCCGGTAGTGATGAGTATGAAGATCTCGTTTTCAACGCACTGGTCATCATACTAGGCATAGTACACGACCGACGGTTCAACCTTGCTCCGCTGGTTGATCAGTATGCTGAGACAAAGTTCAACTATCCCTTTGCGACGGCATGCCTGGTGCGCAGCTACACGCGTTTACTAACAAGCCCGTCCGACCCTGACTCTTCACGACGGTTACGCGCGACATTCAAAGTTGGCAGGCACATCCTAAAGTTCATCATGAATGCCCGGCAACAGCAGAAGGAAAAAGAAGCAGGCATCGGAATCACCACTCGTAACCCGACCTTCGCGAAAGACATCTATGCAATCTTCAAGTCACTGGAGCTCCTCATGGGCAATCCCTCTGCTGTTCTCATTGGCACGAAGACGATTCTGGTCCAGAACTTTCATTCCTGGCTGCCGGAGCTCACGGTTTCAATGACGCCAATGGAAATTCTCAAGCTTACGTCCAGCTTCATCGACTCTTGCGTTGCGGCATCCGGAAAGCTCATCTTGTACAAGTTACTGCTGATCCACCACATTGCCGGTCTAGATATCTTCAAAACACCGGACACCAGGAAGGTGCTTCTCTCCAATATTCAGAAATGGCTTGCGCCGCACTGGGGCAAAGTCGAGCAAGTCACTGATCAGTGGAAGGACCAAGTTCGACTTTGCTGTTCGGTCGTTGCGTCACTAGTAGAAGAGCTTGGTCACGACGCGTGTGAATATATCCCCAAATTGGTCGATTCGTACCGCGCAATTCAAGCCACACCGCGGCCTACTAAGAAGACTTTGTCGCTCCTCTTTCCGACGGCCTACCCGTTTCCCACGCGGCCTACCGCGGTGCAAACACCCTTCGACGAAGCTCTCATTGAAATTTCAGCTGTACTCGCGGCTCTGTCAAGCCTGCCAATCAACATTGACCTAGACTGGCCGAAGGAAGACCTTGCCAGTTTCTTGTTCTCCACCTTGCAAGTGTACATATCGATCTTAGACTGCGAAGCATTCCCGAGCTCCTGGTTGAGTGTTCACATCTTCCACCACAGAGCCACGATGCGAGCGCTGGAAAAGCTTTCCGGCGTGCTGATGGACTCTTTCTTGCCACATCCCGACGAAGCTGACTCCTTCAACACCGATCTTTGGCGTGCGTTCTTTGACGCCCTGTTGAAGCTGGTTGGCAGCGATGCGTTGGCGTTGGAGACTTTCCCTGAACAGAAACGACGAGCGGTGTGGAAGATTGCCGGCGACATTCGTGAGCTTGGTGCAGACTTGTTGCAACGCAGCTGGGAATCAATCGGATGGGAGGCCAGCAGTGAAGATAAGAAGCAGTACGGCTTGGAGAAGATGGGCGGGTTCCAGGTGCAATACGTCCCAGGATTAGTCGCACCAGTTGTCGAGCTCTGTCTCAGTGTTCACGAGGGCCTTCGCAGTGTCGCCATCGAGGTTCTCCAGACCATGATTGTCAGCGAGTGGACTTTGAGCGAGGACCTGTCATTGATTCAAGCTGAGATGATTGACTGTTTGGACCGCCTCTTCAAGACGAGACCGCTAACTGAAGTGGTCCTGCAGAAGCACTTCATTCAAGAGCTTGTCGACCTTTTCGAGCCGATGGCCCAAACCTCTGATGAAAACCTTTTCACGGCAGTCAAGAACTTGATCACGACGATCGACGAGCTCTTGGATCTATTGGTTGCCGTTCACAGCACCGAAGCAACTGGCGAGGTTTTCCACATCATGGACACGCTCCATTTGATGGAGTTCTTGAAAGACATGCAGAAAGAAGACATGTACATTCGATACGTTCACCAGCTTGTACAGCTCCAAGTGGATGCGCAAAATTTGACGGAAGCGGGTCTTGCATTACGACTACACGCTGAGCTTTACGAGTGGGATCCTACAACGATCGTTGATCCGTTGGTCGACCCTGCCATGCCTGCGCAGAGCTCCTTCGACCGTAAGGAGCAGCTGTACTTCCAGATGATCGACCACTATGAGAACGGCCAATCATGGGACAATGCGCTCGGTTCATACATGGAATTGGCTACGCAGTATGAGCATAACGTCTTTGATTTTGCGAAATTGGCTAGGACCCAGCACGCCATGGCAAAGATTTATGAAAGCATCGCCAGGGGTGAGCGTTCGAATGCACGTTACTTCCGTGTGGTGTACAAAGGGTTGGGCTTTCCTGTCAGTTTACGTGATAAGCATTTCGTCTTCGAAGGTTCGCCAAACGATCGCCTAGCTACGTTTACCGACCGTATGCAACAGCAGCATCCCGCGGCACAAATTCTCACTGCTGGGATGGAACAAGATGTCGAGGGTCAGTATCTACAGATTTACCCTGTCAGCGCTCAGAAAGACATGACGCACCCAGTCTACCAACGGGCGAAGGTCGCCCAATCAATCAGGGACTACTACTTGCTCTCGAGGCCGTCCCATTTCACGACTGCGTCTCGACGCACCGAAGGGCCATCTAAGGATGTGACGGTTGAGAAGACGGTTTACACCACTGCCGAGACCTTCCCAACAATCTTGCGGAGAAGCGAGATTGTTGCTGTTGGTACTGTCACGCTGACGCCGCTGCAAACTGCCATCGAGCGTACAACGCGAAAGACTGTAGAATTAGCATCTCTAGAAAAGAAGATAGCTGGCGGCGAAGAGTTGCTCTTTACAGAGCTGACACGAGAGCTGATGTTCGCCGTCGATACAACCCAGGACACCAGTGTCGCTAGGTATCACGAACTGCTTCCAGAACCCCGACGTAACTCATTTGAGTCGGATGAGGAAGATGCCGAGGAAGTCAAGGAACCCAATCTACTGGAGAGCGCGCTCAAGGTTGCATTGGTCGACTATGCTCTGGTCATCCGTCGTTGTCTAGCCTTGTACACGAGGCCAGCCCAACAAGCGACCAGGGCAGACTTGAATCAGCGTAGGTATCAATGGCCTGATGGAATGGTATGGTCATGCTAAAGTATCTACAGGCCTCGAGATGGCATTCCAAGACGAATTGGCAAACCTCATGCCAGTCGTCGTACCCGTGCAGCAACACGTTCGATCTCCCACAGGATCCTGGCTGGTGTCGGCGACGGCTACATCGCCCATGACTAGTCCATCGCTCGGCACGACACCAAAGATGAATGGTACACGGGTCACCTCTCCTATACCAGATGCAAGACCAGCACGTCAAGACAAGAAGCGGATGAGCCTTTCTTTCTTCGGCATAGGAGCCCCTGTTGGCGAGGAAGACACGAAACAGTCAGAGAAGGAACGCAAGCAAGAGAAGTCTATCGCAGACGACAGCGTAGATGCTGCATCGACTAGCGCATCATCACGAAGCCGTAGCAAAGACCGATCAAAGCACCGGCTGAGCCGCAGCCTCGTATCACCCGGGTCGCCCGTGCCTGAAGCACTGCCTCATTTTCCTAGCCAGCCGGCATCGAGCCAAAACAGCCTGGCCAAAGTCCGGAGCCGTGCAAGCAGCCGCGGGCAGAGTGTCGACAGCAGACCGCCAACTAGCAAGAGCATCAAGAGCGAGAGATCCGAGGGGCAGAGCATGAGCAGCAGCGTGAAGAAGCGCTTGAGCAACTTCTATCTGGGAAAGAAGAGCAGCAAGGCGAGCGTCAGGGGACGCGTTGATGATACCCTAGAGGAGGAGTAAGATTTCCATTCACCGTACCGACTATTATCGCCACATTTGCTTCAGATGCGACTGACATCCGTCGTCGTTTAATCTTTTGAAAAATTAATACAATACCACTTGGAGGGGCTTTGGCACGGTGGCCGCGGCATACGCGCCGTATATGTTTTCGTATGTTGGATGGATAGATCTATGAGGTCGGGTGGGCGGCACCCAGGGAACTTTCTTAGGGTTGTGTTTTGTAGCGATTTGAGCGTGGAGTGGGTGGAAGGTGCTTGCAGTGTCCTTTTGTGCTTTCTGTACAGGCTGGCGGTGTGCCGCCGAGATCTTTTGTGGTATACCCAATCTTCTAGTCGAGAAGTTGCATAAAAACAGATTACGCTTCGGATTACCTATGATAAGGATGTGAATGTGAATATGCATTCTCGGCCCCAAGCTCACCAGAGTTGGAATGTGTCGAAATCTTCGCGCCACCAACAGCTCTTGCGTAATAAAGTCACCATCAACCACAGATTACTCTACACAGCCACCAAGGAGCCAGGAACGCGCCATTGAAGCGCTGATTACTCGCGGCTAGCGAAGATGCCGTAAACGATGCAGACTTCCACGACCGTGGTGACCAGACTGGCTACAGTCTCCCAGATCCCCCCCGTTCCTCAACCCGAAGACGCCTGGTTGTCTACACGAGGCCTCATATTTTCTGGCACCTTCAATCCAGGCATGGCGCTTCCATCTCATGGGCGGATGCCTCAATCACCTAGGTAAACGATTGGCAAATCCCATCCCGCAAGGTAACGACTCTCCATTGGTTTTCGAAGAGTTCTCCCGGGTGGTTTTTACGCCTGGATTTCATGCCGAACGAAGTGGACAGAAACAACAAGTTTCCTTTTCTTTTGGGTCTTCTTGGATGCCCAGGCGGAGAGTGCAGCAACAGCTGGCTGGCGCCAAGGATGGCCTGACGCTTATCGATTATTGCGGGACCGAGGCGGTAAAAGCGGGCAAAATTGTTCAAATGCAGTGTGCCTCGCGAAAAAGTTCGCGCAGCCGACCGCAGCAACACTCAGCAAGCTGCACGCCATGTCACTTGAAGAGAGACTGGTCAAGGTGCGGGACTCCCCCAAGGGCTCCACTCAGTATCAGGTACGAACTTGTCCTTGAAGTGCAAGCCATGTCGCTCATTTTTTCCTCCAGAATGCGTTGGTCCTCACAGCCATCGAGGACACGCTCAAGCAGCAGAACTCGGAGCCCACCCCGACCGCATACTTCGCCGCGCTCCTTGCGCTCCTCGTCCGCCAGGTTTCCAGCGACGGCATAGCGAACAAAGAAACTGCGACATCCGTCATCTACCTACTCGACCTCGTGACGCCTCACGTTCCAGCACCGCTACTGCGATCCAAGTTCGCAGGAATTCTTCCGAGCCTTGCACCGGCTCTTACGCACCCAGACGCCGAGGCTCCGCTCCTCAGGTCTGCCATAGGATGTCTTGAGTCGCTGCTCATCGCCCAAGATGCGCGAGCGTGGGAGCTGCCAGCGTCGCAGGCTGGACCGCGAGCTGCTGTCGGTGGGCTGCTGCAGATCGCCGTGGATCCCAGGCCGAAAGTGAGGAAGCGGGCCCAGGATGCGCTTGCCAAAGTGCTGAACAATGCGCCACCAAGCCCGTCGCTGGACCACCCTGCTGCCGACATGTGCGCAGAGACGGCGCTCAAGATGCTGAAGGACATCGCCCACGCAGCGGGTCGGTCGGCGAATCAGAAGAAGCGACAGGCCGTCGAGCAGAGCAAAGAGCCCGATCTCATGCATGCGCTGCAATTGATCAAGACCATCGCAAACACGTCCGGTGGTTGGCCGAGCAGGAAGATCGATGTCTTGTGCGAGCTGCTTCTCAATATCTCGCGCTCCAGCAGCGAGTATCTTACCATGGCCGCGTTCGAAATCTTTGAGTTGATCTTCGCGGGAATGACTGACGAAGTCTCTTCCGCAAAGCTTCCCCGCCTTCTTGAAGTCATCGCCGATCTCCAGCCCTCCAAGACCGACACGCAATTGCTGCCCCCATGGATCGCCGTCATCTCACGAGGTTACGAGGTTTCGGCTGCGATTGAACCTGAAGACACCTTCGCCAAGCTCCCCGAGCTATTCAACATGGTTGCTTCCTTCCTCGAGTCGCCGTCCCACAACATCCGCATTTCCGCTTCCGAGTGTTTGATTTCTTTCTTTGCCAACATTATACCCGACAGCGTTATTTTGGAGCCTTCAATCTACGACGAGAAGATTTTGGAGAAGTTGGCGCAGGCGGCGCAGAATCTGTTGAGCGTAAAGTATCAGGCTGCCTGGATGGAGGTGTTCAACATGCTCGGCGCCATGTTCGATGCCCTTCGCTGGCGCTCGGATCCCATCCTGAAGCCTGTGCTGAGGACTGTCGGGGAACTGCGAAGCAACGATTCCTTCGCGGGAAAGAAAGAGGCAGATAATGTTATTTCGAAGGCGATCGGTGCTATGGGTCCGGAAGTGGTCCTGGAGGTCCTCCCGCTGAACCTGCCGAGACCACCACCGGGCCAACAGGGCAGGGTTTGGATGCTGCCTCTTCTCCGCGATTCGGTGCACAACACGAAACTTGCGCATTTCAGGCAGGAGATGGTTCCCCTCAGCGAGCAAATGTTTCAAAGGGTCATAGATCACGGAAATCAAGAGAAGACTATGGAGATCAAGGTTTTCGAAACTGTTGTCCAGCAAATTTGGTCGATCTTGCCCGGTTACTGCGACCTGCCACTGGATCTTGTTGAAGCTTTTGACCAAGGCCTTGCGGAGATGTTGGCAAATCTGCTGTACAGCCAAGCAGATTTGCGAACGGACGTCTGTAGAGCTTTGCAGAACCTTGTCGACGGCAACAAGGCCATCGTAGAGCTCGAGGGCGAAGAGGACCTTGTTACCCAGGCGCGGATATCCAAAGCACAGGCTCAGAAGAACCTGGAGCACCTGGCTAGCTTTGCGAGTAACATGCTCGCCGTGCTGTTCAATGTATACAGCCAGACACTGCCGCAATATCGGGGTACCATTCTCAGGACGATTAATGCGTATTTGAGCATCATCCCGGCGAAAGTGAGTCCAATCCTAACACTCAATGCTGCTTCGGTCGCTAACAAATCACAGGAGCTCATGGAGACCTTCGAGCGAGTAGCCACCAGTCTTGAAGCAGCTGTGCCAGCAGAGGGGTCGCAAACGCAGGCGGATAAGCAGAAGCAGGGCAAGAAGCAGGACAAGATGCCGCCGATGAGCCATACGCTCATGGATCTCATAATCACCATCGCGCCATACCTGCCCCGGGATAGCTATCCCGCCCTGTTCAAGATGGCTTCCATCATGATCAACAGAAAGGAAGATCCTCAACTGCAGAAGAAGGCTTACAAGATGATCCCAAGGCTTGGAGAATCAGAGACCGGTAAAGCTGCACTGCAAGATCGCACCGGCGAGCTTCAGCAACTGCTCCTGCAAGGTGCGGAGCAAGCTTCCGGCCCTGCGCGCAGGGACCGATTACTCGCTCTTCACCAGATCCTGGAGTACCTTCCCCAGACTGATCTGCACTTCATCCCATCCGTTCTTTCCGAAGTCGTCATCGCAACCAAGGAAGTCAACGAAAAGGCCAGAGAAGCGGCCTACGAGCTGCTTGTGGCAATGGGTGAAAAGATGGCATTGGGTGGAACGGTCCTACAGAACAAGGTTCCTAACATGCCCGCGGATGCGCCATCAGTAGAGGCTTCATTGGATGAGTACTTCACAATGGTCTCTGCTGGTCTCGCAGCATCAACCCCACACATGATCTCCGCCTCAATCACCGCTGTTACCCGCATCCTGTTCGAGTTCCACGCCCGGGTATCAAAGGAAGCGATACAGAATCTTGTCGAGATTATGGACATGTTTTTGCAAAACCCCAACCGCGAGATCGTCCAGAGTGTACTTGGCTTCGTAAAGGTCGAAGTCATCTCGTTGCCAGAGTCAATTGTTAAGCCCCGTCTCAATACCCTACTTACCAATCTCTTGGTTTGGAGCCACGAACACAAGGCGCATTTCAAGGCAAAGGTGAAGCACATCGTTGAACGTATGATTCGCAAGTTCGGCATCGAAGAAGTTGAGCGTGCCTGCCCGGAGGCAGACCGTAAACTCATCACCAATATCCGAAAGACGCGCGAGCATCGCAAAAAGAAGAAGCTACAAGCCGCTGAGGACGGCGAGGAGGTTGAAGAGAAACCAAAGGGAAGATTCGAGAGCGAGTATGACCAAGCGGTGTATGGCAGCGAGAGTGAAGAAGAAGACGGCGACTCAGAAGACGAATTCATCAAGAAGCAAAGCACTCAGCGCCAAGGCAAGGCTAAGCGCGGCGAGACGTACATCGTCGAAGACGAAGACGAGCCGCTGGATCTGCTCTCCAAACGCGCACTCGGAAACATCTCCTCGACCAAGCCCCTGCGGAAGAAGGAGGCACCACAGAAGAAAACCAAGGCGCGCACGAACGAAGATGGCAAGCTCATCCTTGGCGACTCGGATTCCGACGACGACACAGGCACACGCAAAAAGGGAGGCAAACGTCAAGCCGCCGACGACGAAGGCGACGTCCTCATGGATGTCGACGAAGGCGTTTCGCTTGAGGCTGGCATCAACGCTTACGTAGATGCTATCCGGGGCCGCGATTCCGCGCAACGCGGCCAGAAGGGCAAGCTCAAGTTCAGCAACAAGCAGAGTAACGGCGGTGATGACATGGATGTCGACAGCGACGACGAGAAAGAGGACAGGCGCGCGAAGTCTGGAAGCGGCATGGGTCGAGGTCGGGGCAGCGCACAGAATCAGAGGAGAGGGCTAGGTGTAGAGAAGGCGAGGGGCGGTGGACAGGGCGGCGGCAGAGTCGATAAGGGGAACAGGAGTCCGAAAATGAGGGGCTGGGGAGGGCAGAGGGCACGAGGTGGTGGGCGCGGGCGGGGGAGGAATTAGTATAGAGGAAGGACGTGGCATGGAAGAAGGCGTTTCGATATTCATGAAATAAGATACCATTTTCACTGCAAAGACGTTATTCACCAATCTATGCATCACTTCGAACCACAAAGTCATGACTTTGAAATGGCGTCATCGACGTCGCACCCTCAGCCGATTCGCAACCACTACTCCCACTCACTATCAGCAAATTGCCGAATCTATAACACCTCACTCAGCTGAACCTAGTCATGTCACCACAACCCGCTACCGCCCCCCTCCTGACACGCTACCGCCCCCCTCCTGACACGCTACCGCCACCCAATCCTTCTCATCGCCTACGCTTGCATCACCGGTGCCGCGTTCCTGCGCGTGGCGCGCCAGCCGTACAGCTAGAGCATGAAGTGGGAACAGTATGAGACGATTTTCAAGTTCACGGCGTTGGGCGCGGTGCTGGGGGGTATTGGGATGGGAGGGCTGGGGAGTAGGAATGAGACGATGGGATGATGAGCTGTGAGAGTGATGGGAGTCGATTTGTCAAGATGCCACCACTGCTACTTGGGCCTACGAAACTACTTCATACTCAGGATTAATAAGTGCAGCGGGGGAGTACAAGGTGACGATGGCAAAAAAGGCAAAAGGAACAAAAGGATCAGGACGGAAAATGTGGAAGGAGAAGCCGTTGAAATCGGCAAAAGGAAAGCGGCGAACCAGAATTGAACTGGTGACCTTCAGGAACCACGAGTTTGGTGACTGCAGCCCGCTGCTCTACCACTGAGCTACCGCCGCTGAGTAATGAAGTTGGGAAAATTTGGAAAATTGTCGTATATATACGCAATACAGCATTGAACCAGGCAGGGTGATCAGATAGCATTGATTCATGTGTAGAGGGTGAGAGACCTGCAGCTTGCTCTGTGCGTGGCAGCAATGATGGTTTCGGCGAGGGGAAGTTCTTGCCACGTTGCCACATAATTTGGTCTCGCTTCGACAATATTAGTGGACCTGCCTATACATTTTCGGATATACGATTCTCAACGAACAACCCTAAGAGATCAACCCTAGATGGACACTATTCAAGGGTGATTTCTGTGGCATCAATCTATCAAAGAACCCAATGAAACTTAGTCCGGCGTCGTGCATGCCAGCCAGCCCATCTACCCATGCCCTCAAGCATCCAGATCAATGGCCACAACCCTCCCTCCCTCGGTGAACGTTCCATCTGCCTGCTGCCCACCCATCGCACTCACATACAGCACGCCCCTGTCGCGATACGTCCGTCCCAGCGCCGCCGCAGTGGGCCCCAAAACCGTCGCATTCCCCCCACCCAGTGTAGCCGCCTCCCCATCCCCACTAATCCTTACCACATCGTTCGCCGCATCCCGCGTCAGAAACACGGTCCCGTCATCCGTGACAGCGAGGTCGTCAATGACGCTGCCCAGCCCGCTCGCCAGCGTGGTAACGCGCCCCTGGGGACGACCCGTGTTCCCATCAATCGGCACGCTATACATTTTGGAGAGCTGCAGGTTCGAGAAGTAGAGCGTTGGCGTGTCTCTGGACGACGGGACGGCGTTCGGGCGCAGGATCTTGAGCCCGTTTGCGCCGAGGGGTAGCGGCGAGGAGACGTTGTTCGCCGTCGTGGCATCCTCGAGGACGACTTCGTGTTTGCCCGTCTTGATGTCCACTCTGCGGATGTTGCCGGCCCAGCTGTCGGCGAAGAGGAGGGCTTTGCTGTTTAGTGCTGCGATTCCGTTGATCTGTGCGTCGGGGAGATGCACAAGTTTGTGTACCTTGATGCTGGATTTGGTGGTCCCGCTGCGTAGGTCGACAGACCAGATGTTTGCGTCGCCGGTGCCGTTGGCCGTCGTGAAGCTGAAGTTGCCGGCTGCGACGGCGAAAACATCGGTTTCGTACTCGGTTATGCCGAAGATGGAGTTGGAGGGGGCAAAGGTGTGGAGCAGGGTGTCTTGAGTGGTGTTGGAGAAGGGGTCGAGGATGTGCAGCTGGGCTGGGACCTGACCCAAGATGCCGACAAGAAGGGATCCATTGCGAGTCGAGGCAACATTTTCAACCCAGGTAGGGTTTGGAAATTGGTGGATTGTCCTGACAGTGGCGGCCAGGGACATGCCAGAGACGGTGGCGACCGTAAACAGGCCCGAGGAGCGCATAATGGGAGGATTATTTTGGTCACAACGAGAAGGTCTTCCAGTGCGTCTCGGGATATGCGTTTCGATTCGTAGTGTTGGTCTCCATTTTCTTTATAGCTTTTAGTTCTGTGCCCACACATCTATCAAGATCCTAATTCCGTAAATTCTGCTTACGAGGTCCTTACAATCCTGGTTACATGACCTGCCCCCACTGCACACTCAGCGATCCAATAAGGCAATTAATACTAGCGGGAACGATCCTCCGGGCTCACTTTGAATGAACTAAGGCTTTAAGAGCGGAGTTATGCACAAAATGTAATGTTGTTTTCGAAAAGGCAGTGCTCTTGGATGACGGCTTGGACGAACAGCCTATTAGTCTAACTGAACTCGGCAATATCTGCTAGCGCTGAGTCCAGTCGCACTTAGAAGTTAAGATTCAAACTTCGCTGAAGGTGGCGATACGGCGTTATGCTTCGAGTCAAGCACGGAGTGCGGAAATGCGATATATGGTTGAAAAGGTGGTTTTCCAAGCGCAGTCTGCCAAGATGAGTGAAAGCACACGATCTCAAGCCATTGGTCAGTTAGCGGAACGAAAACACGGTATAGCGAACATGCAGCGCGGCAAGATTGCTATAAGGTACGATTTACCATGAGCCAGTATCTCAATAACCATGTTTCCCAAACTCCTCTTCCGTCCATTCCCAAAGTTTCCGAGCTAGACCCAGGTCTTGACTGTAGCTCGAGCCCTTGGTCACTATACCCACCGGCCTGTAGAACTCGCCGTTCTGGATCGTCGACCTGTCCGCCGTCGCCAGATGCGTCTGGGCCAGCGCTCCACCTGTTACGTCTTTAAAATGTCCAGGTAATATCGGCACAAGCTGCTTGTAGAACCAGAACATGCCCTTCATTATAGGTCCGGACACAAAGGCGTTGTACAAGTCCGTGATGATAACTCCAGGATGAACCGACACAGACGTGATCTGAGGGTAACGTGCGCTAAGTTCACGCGTGAACAAAATATTTGCGAGCTTCGATTGCCCGTAACGCCGCCAGGTGTACTCTTTCTCCAAGGCCGCCTGGTTAAAGATAATGCCGCCACTCGGTGCGGCGAACATACCCATGCTTGATACATTTATGATTCTCACGTCGGCGCCCGGCTGCTCAGCGGTCTGAAGTAGCACCGGCATGAGCAGTTTGGTGAACAGCGCATGCCCCACGTGGTTTGTGCCAAACTGGATCTCGTAACCTTCCTTGGTGAAGCTGAAAGGCGTCATCATGATACCCGCGTTGTTCACCAGAATGTCAAGCCGTTGCTCGCGCGCCTTAAACGTAGAGGCTGCCTCCGCGATGGAGGAGAACGAGGTGAGGTCGAGCGGAAGGTATTCAATCACAGCAGAAGGAGCTTCGCGTTGTATATCGGCGATAGCGGATTCGGCTTTGGAGGCAGTGCGCGCAGCCAGGTATATGCGCGCCGGTGAATGCGCAGCGAGGTAGGCGATCGTCTGCTTTCCTAGGCCGGCATTACCTATATCGCAAATCAGTTTCGATTCGACATGCGCGCACGAAAGGAGAACTACACACCTCCTGTAACGAGGACGACTTTGCCCGCTAGACTTGGTATATCTGTCGCGGGGTTGAACTGCGCACTTGGAGCCATTGTTGCTTCGACCAAGTATGGGAGGACCAGGTGGGGACCAACAGGAACTGCAATAGAAGCGATGTCTAGATGAGAGACCAAAGGCTGTGCAGCAGCGACGTGGGCGTTGACATTGTTCTACCTCGACTTGGAACGGCTAGGGCTTGCGCAGTAGCTCGTGTCGTGACGACAGCCGAGGCATCTAGCAGCAGTCGGGACGAACATTGCACCGTAGTCCGTTGCAACTTTGCGTGCGGTCCTACCACACATACTCGTCGTAAAGTCGTGATGCGATGCGCGACGTGCGAGACATGAAGTAAGACACGTGCAAAGGAAAGACCAACTAGTTGTGACGCACGCAAGCTAGCGCTTACACGCGATCTGGCAGCGGGAGGGGCGCTTGGTGGGACCGATCTCACGCACCACGTTGCTCAGAACACTCTGACCTCGCTCCAGTCGACCGTCCGTAAATCCAATCAAGGACACACGCAGCTTCAAAGTCGCTGCTGCCCGGTCAATGACCACATGTGCAGCTACAAGGCCAACAATTTAGTTTTCCGCGGGATACATTACCATGGCCAACAGCAGAGCTGGCGTGTAGTGTTTCGTATTTCTGCGCGTTTACAAATGCTAAGCACCATGCAGCATATACTATTCTGTCTTTGCGAACGCAAAGATACGATAGCAGACTGCACTCCTCACTACCTGCGTTATCGAAGCTATCGGACGTTCCTTGGCACGTAGATGCCGCATGATGGAGTCGCCATATCGACAGCTTCCAGGTATTGGCAATGAAGCCCAACTCCACGGCAGACAACCGTTGATCATCTTTCGCTGGGTTTGGACTATACAAGGGAACAGTACTTTGAACTGTGCCCACCCAGAATCTGACGTAGACGGACAACAGGACGGAAGCTTGATCGCGGCATGAACGAAAAGGAACACATATTTGAGAACGAGGAGAAGGATCCCAAAGGCATGGTCAAATGATTTGAACTGTATCCCTGCTGCCGGGTATTGACTGCGCCGACAACACATGCGGAAGCAATCATCCACAGATGTCGATGCCCTATTGCACCACAGATAAAGAGAGTTGTGCAGATGTGTAATACTTATCGATGGAATGAGCTAAAATCCACAAGGCCACGTGAGTGTTGATTGAGCGCAACGACAGATGTCACCAAGCCCGTCCAGGTTCCCCCTGCGTATACTGTGGATGTCCCGGATGTCCAGTGTACCCTGATCTACATCGACAATTCACCGAGCCGGGGCATTTCACTCGGCACAAAATATGTAAGGGAAGATGCACAATGAAATCCAGACTCGACAAGGTCCAATTCAATGTGCCTCCTATCTATGGACGAGGCTGGAGATTACCCTGAGGCAGATCGACTCGATGTGGTTCGTTCGATCAAATTACCGTGTGGCGAGTGACGAGATTACTGAGTCGTGGTTCGCTCGATCAAATTCCCTCTTCCTGAATATCACCGCAAGCCTGTGTCCGCAATATCGACGGGGCTTATTCCGCTAATATTAACAGGGTCATGATCTTCCATTGAGCTCTGAAACAAACGATTTGCGTCGAGCATGCGAACACGAACCACGCGAATACGGGTGCGCAACTGACCATAATGGAACGGCCCGAAGCCTCACCGCACTGTTTCCGATCTCGCAGTTGCATGGGGGAGCAAGACCCAGAACGAGACGGCGCCGGCTGCTCATGTGGAGAGAGAATGCGCACCAGCACCGTAGCTCTCAACCATTTTCCACCTGTAGGAGCGGACCCAACTTTGCTCAACCAGGTCCCTGGAGTCCGGAGCTGAGTGAGGTGAAGTTTGCATGGGGTATACCTTTTAGTTAGGAACAGTACATTAGCGTGAGCTGGGATAGGTCGCCGTCATGATTACATGATGCAAGGGCGAACGTCCTTGGGTTTCAAGAAGCCCTCGGCTGGACCACCTTTTTCCGGTATTCGGTAGACGGTACTCAGAGTGAGGCTTATCATTATCAGCAGGTCGCACGAGATGCCATTGGGCGTTGAGCTATCGAAAACGTTGCGCAACGTGCGCCGCCACTCCATCGACGATCTAAACATAAATCCCTAGAACTTCTAGAATCGCCAGTCGAGTCTATATGCATCCTTCAATATTGTTGAGTCGATACAATATCCGACGCTAACATTTGTACGCGAACCCGAGCGCACACCCATGTCACTCCTTCGTGATGCCCCTTGCATGGTATTTCCAAAATCAGCGACCTGCATGACATCTGCAGGTGCTCTGTTTGAGATTGGGGAAAAGGCGACCTGGTATCATTACACGGTCTATCGTTGACAATGGGATGGACTGACTCTCACGGGTAAAGGGAGGCGGTGAATGTCAGCGATCAGCTTGTCAGACAAGCAGGGGCAAGAAGGAACCGAGATGGTAGCATCTGCATGTTCTATTCTAGAAGGATAAAGACACCTTCCCGATACCTTCACAAGCTAGTCGCAGTCATTGAGATACCGTGTGGTTACACGAGTGGCGTAATAAGCTCCAGATGTCGTATTGCGCGCTCGAAAGCGCAACCTGATAGGCCTTGGGCAGGTCGCACATGCAACGGCGCGCACCACCATTCACTGTGCAGAAAGTGCGAAGAGCGCACCTGCGCCAACGGACAATGTACAAAAAAGCAAATGAGGCAATTGAGTGCCCTTTTTAGTAGTGATGGCACCTGTAGTGGATCACATTCTGCAGCAAGTGTTACTCCAAGGTCTGAGCACTTCCAAGCAGGTGCGTGTCGCGTGGCAGCTGAGCACGCTTGTGTCAAAGGAGAAGGTGTGTGTAACAAAACGCGTGGCGGCTCGCAGGATGACTTGCTTACTAGGGATCGGATCCGCGCGTGGGGATACTCTGTACATGCGTATGCAAGGCAATGCCAACACTGTCAATTCCAGCATGACATCCGGCCCTGAAGTTTCTTTCACAAGCTGCTGCAACTGCCACTGCGCCAAACTTACTCGATCCGTTGCCCATCCATCTCATGAATAAGGCGACACGTACGACTCTGACATCACCCTTGCAGCCCAAGAGGCAGTCCCACATGTTGTAGCCCCTCGGCCCGAGTTGGCCCCTGTCAGATCGGGCTCCACAAATCGGTGCGTCCGCACATGACACGCAACGTGCGCTAGCCCGCGATGACCTAGTTTAGACGCGTGCGTGCACTGGAGACGAGTCATCACCCACGAGGGTTCCTGAGCCGAAAACCAGAACCTTGATGTTGGAACCTAAGAACAGACGGCCAAACACAAGATTTCCCCATCCCCATCGCCGTGCCCAGCTCGCGGCTGCGGCGAGGATGCACATGCAAGAAGCGCAAACGCAAACGCTGCTAGAGTGCAAAACTCTTCGCTTCTAGCGCATCCCTGTGATTGAACTCTATCCTGCGTCGCTCAGTCTTCCAATCGTTCTACCTCGGTAGCTTGCTAACAGGCTCCATAGCTATTCCCGCTAGCTGCCGTCTAAACCTTTTCTTGACACTTTCCCCGAGGGCGGGCGAACGATACGAACTGCCGGAAGACGACCCCAGACCCCCGGACAAAACGACATCGAAGGCCCGGTCAAACGGTTGCTGGGATTCATGGTCTCGTCTGGTGCGACGTGTTGCAAATTGATTGAGGGGTTCTTAATCCACCGTGTTAAGGTTTCGTGGTGGCCTTCAACACGAACGGGGGTTCGCAGCTCGCTAGCTGGCGGAGATTGATGTCGCGAGCTCTGATATATGTCAATATTGGAGTGGAAACGGCGGGCTTGCTTCGATAGACGGTGAAGCTGCCAACGTGCAGGATGCCACGCTATCAACGTCCTAATGTCGATGTTCGCCCGAGTCGGCGAGCCAGCCACCACCGATGCCTCCGAACCAGGTGGTCGTGGACTACGCAGAGAGACCTCGGGGAGAAGGCAACGCGTCTGACCTGACATTGAGATGCAGTCATCCGCGGCGTTCACGCGCCCAGCGTCAAACAGTCTTTGGTGCATCAGTCTCGCAAGATCGTCGCCAGACTCGGTCGAAGGATTTTGCACCTGCTCCTCGCCTTGCATACTGCACGAGATTCGGGCGTCTCTGCCCCACATGTCCACCAATCCCGAACCAGCAATATCGCCGTCCAGCGTCTAACCTCGAGGCAGTTTGCACTCCACTCCACTCATCCGCCATTACGATCATGCAGCCCAGGTTGGATTCCCCTTTGATTCCACTTGACGACGGCCATGAATGTTAAAAGTTTGTTGTGCGGGGAAAGCCTCCTGCAATACCGAAGCGAGATAAATGGCGCCTGTCAGGTCTCATCGGTACCGACAGGACGACAAGCTAAGATCTGAACATTAGAGGCGGCATCGACCCCCGAAACAGCGCGGGTGTCACCGGCGCTGCCGGCAGAGACCGGGCGCCAGGCCACGCAAATGGCGCTACGGAATTGTCTCCGAAGGCCCAAGACGAAAGGCGGAACAAGCGTCTGGGGAAAACAGCTCTCAAAATGTATGTGAAATTTAGGCGGCCAGATACGGCCCACTGCTGTGCATTCCAAAATCCTCTCGCTATCGTACAAGCCCCAATGATTCCGATCCCGCTGGCTGCCCCAGAACATGTCCTACTCGTACACAGGAGCCCGAAAGTGGCAGGAAAGGCCGTGTTCCATGCCCGCCGCCATCTCATGCAGCTCGCAGCGGAGAAACCGAGAAAGAAATTGCAAGGGCCGCTGGCGAATCAATGCCGCGCCTCGCGAAACTTGATAAGTCCAGGTGTATCGCGCCACTACAATGACGACTTCGAAAATGATGCGAACGTATGCGTCCGTCCAGAAATGCTCCGATGATTTTTGTTCCCAAGCCCATCCCACGCGCGCGTCCAATCCTGGCTCCAATCGCGATCCCAGAAAACTTAACCCAATGTAACCCCTTGACCCCAAAATAGAATAGAACGAAATATAGATACTGTGAATTCGAGCAGCGCAAGCGTGGAAAATCCCGCCGAAGCGTGCGATGGCGAACCGGAAATAATAGTGCCTCGTCCTGAGATGTGGAGGCTGTAGTGCAGCGTAATTTCTTCTGCTTAAAAGTGGGACATGCCGTGATGGCTGTATGTCATGGGTGGGGCGCCTTCTTCTTGAACCTGGCCAAGATGTCCTGGCTCGGTGTACCAATGTCCACCAATTGGACGGCTTTGTACAGGTCCCTCCGGTCCTGGATTTTGACCTCCGTGATACGGATTCCAAGGTGGGGGGTAGTTGTAAGGATTCCCAGATATTATGGGTGCCGATAGAGGAGCCGAAGAGTGTGGTCCTAATGTGGTCGAGTGAATCGCCGCTGGGCTCGTGTCCAGTGTAGTGGGAAATGGATATGGCGCGGCTCGTCGGTATTCGTGTGATGGGACGCCGAGAGGCTGGTTCTGAAAATGTTGTGGTAGGCCTTCAATGTTGCCGTACGACATGGATCTACTTGGAGGCTGAAAGTTCTGTGGTGCCCAATTCTGATGTTCTTGATGGTTTCCAAAGGACATTGTGGAACTTGCGCTCTGAAGTGTCGCAGGTGTGTGCACACTCGAAACATTCGACTCGCTGCCGAAAACCGTACTTGCAGTTGTAGGAGATGGACGCCAGTAACCTGTGGAAGAGGACGGGCTCTCTGAAACAGACGAAGAGGGTAAAAAGGTAGTGCTCGGAGGCCACTGTGTGTCGATGGGCTGCGGGTATCCATATCCAGGTTGTTGTACCGGCACTAAAACCATCAGTGACCTGAAACAACAATCATGATCCAGCAAACTTACTGCCGCTTGATGGGGTGATGTGGTGTGCATCACTGTCGGATTCGCTAGATACATCATATCTAGAGCCAGAATTTGTCGACAAATTCCCCGGAAAAGGCGGGCGAAACTCATCCACTTTGGATCCTGTCACGGAAACGGCGTGTCGAGGGGACGAAATATTGGAAGGAGAAGGCGCGACGCCGTTCGCTTCTTTTGCAGCGCCTGCCTGTGCCCGAGACTGTTCCGGTGTCTGGTCCACGGGATAGAAGTTGCATTCTTTCTTCAGCCGGATGCAGTTTGCGCAACGTCCAGTGACTTCGTCATTTGCTACAAGGCATCTTATCTTCCTCCGGCGACAGTGTCCTGGATAGCTTGGTCAGCGACAACTTTTTGGGGCAGTGCTAGCCACCGTCTTGCTTACCGCACGCGACTGATGTACGATGGTAGCCCAGCTTGTTCCGTCGCTTGTCACCGGTAGGTGACAGCTCGCTGGCGGCCCCCAGAGCTAGGTTGCGCATGTGGGGTGTCGAAGATGAACGTCTGATGACAGTAGCCTTGTCTTTAGACGCGCGCCTCTTTTTGAGCAGTTGTTGCTGTGGAGAGGTTTCGGCAGCTTGGTCCGTTTGCGCCGAGTAGTAGTCAGGGCGCTCATCCAGGATTTCGGGAGATGTAGTTTCTGAGATAGGAAAGCCCGCGCCTGAAGGTTGGGCCAAAGGATTGTAGGACATTGCGTTACTAACGGGCTGCAAAAGCAACGCGTGGTCCAGCTTAGCAGCAACTATCTCCGCACGGCGCTCCACCCCGACAGCCATAAGAGGCACAGAGTAGTATCGCACCGGAGGATCGTTCTACGAGACTCGATATGGCATTGAAGGGTCCTGCAAATATCAGCATGGAGGGCGAGCTAAGACGGACCGATCCCCGCCATGGGAGCAGGTGGCACACATACCGACGCTGTCAAGTGCGGAAGTATTCCCAAACGTTGGAGCCCGCACCACCAGAGGTTGGCTGCAGTGGAGAATCACTGACAAGCACCGTGACGCGCAATGGCGCAGTGCATGAGATGCTGGTCGCCCAAACGCGAAGGTTGCAGTGGAGGGCTAGGATCAGGGAGCGCCGAAGGCCCGGTAGAGCGGCGACAGTGGTCTTTGAGGAAGAAGCAGCAAGGCAACTGAGCAGTGTGCTATTCACGTTCGGGGCACACAGGCAGCACCCACCACCGCAGGTCGGCTCGGGAGGCTCATTCGCAGTCGACGAACGAGCGAGCCAAAAAGCAAGAAGCGGCGAAGTGCGAGGGTTAGAGGATGTACGGAGAATGAATTTTGGGCGACGCTGTTTGGCTGCGTGTCTCAAGTGATTAAAAGTGGCGAAGGACAAGCAGCACACACGCTATTTCCACAACGGGCGTGTTGCGCTCGAGCAGGCATTCACTCGAGCGTGAGCCATCCATGGAGCAGGCATGCATGGCCTGCAGGCATCTCAGGGACCCTAGACCGCATGGCTTGGCCTGGCAGGTCGATCTTGCGCCGCTCTGGCAGGAATGTGCGCACCCTGCACTGTTGGAGGCGCCGCATGAGCCAACTGATGTGCGGGATGGATGAAAACTAGCACGGCCTTTTGTATGGCGCACAAGGCACCAGCTGGTCTGCCCTTCGGAGAGGTTCCAGCAGGGCCGGTGGGTGGAGGTGGTCTGGCTGTCACCGCGCGACGGACTGGCGCCGTGGAGCGTAGCCGCGGCGTCAGAGGTGCTAGAGCAGGCCGGCGCGTTTGTGCGTGCCAGCAGCTTTGGGCATGTCCGCGCGCCCTGACACGGTGGCGATGGGAAACGTCTACGCTCCGGCATCGAAGCGCCTGCTGAGAGAAGCAGGCAAGCCAGGCGCCGAGAGACGTCGAGCCTCATTGCCTCCGAACGCCATCTGCGCGCGGGAGTCTGCCGGGGCCTGGGCGTCTCCAACAGCGCTCGATTGGGCGAGGATGGGGATTTGGAGACGGATGCAGGGCTGCCGACGGCGCCAACGTTGACACGCTGGATGGGCGGAGGCGACGGCGCGGACGAGAGCAGCGTGCTGGCTCCGTGAGGCTAGCAGGCGGTCAAAACAGCATCGTTGAACGCTGCTGCTGCGCGTTCTGGCGCAATGGTGCCATGGCCGTCGCCTCGGTGCAGGGTGACGCCGTCATGGGCACGCATCTGCGACAGATGGCTGCGAGGAGCAGTCCTTCTCCACCGAGGCTCATCTCGCTACCACCGCGCAACTAGACGGCCACGCGCAATGCACGCCAGCACCAGCCCGTCGCGCGCCGCACGCCAGTTGTGTGCCCGCTGGCCGGCGACCGAGCACGCGCCGCGTTGCACAGCAGCCATCGCGCGATGTCACCGGCGCCGTGTGCGATGCGCATGTAGTGCTCGAGGCAGTCCCGGCAGCACGGCGACCATGCATGACGTTCACCGCAGAAGCGCACTCGCACGTGGTTGGCGGGGGGGCCGCACGTTCACCACCGCTCCGCTACCCATGCCAGCCCTGTCCAGACGCAGATGCCACCCCGACCTCGCTCTCGCTGCTGTGTGCCACGCAGCCCACCACCACCACCGCGCTCTCCGCTGCTGGCCGCCCTTGCCCACGCGATTTTGCTTCTTCGCCAGCATCTACTGCCGCCATCCCACGCAGAGCTTGGGGGCAGGCTAGCAGCGGCCCACTTGCCATGTCCCTGCAGAGGCAGCCAACATGGCCTGGGTCGACCTCTGCGCCAAAGTCCCGGGTACCGGCGTGCTGCCTCAAGACTCCAATTCCACACAAGAGCCTCTTCATTGCTTCTGGCTAAATGCATGCGCCGTGCATCCCCGATCGATCCGCTGCGCCTGCGCAGTCACGACTGCGCTGCTTGCCAGTTTTCGGCGGTACCTTGCCTGCCGAACAAGCTTGCGAACGTGCTGCATGGATCGGTCCGGAGCTTCAATCTGCACAGTCGGTGCCGACCAGCCTCCAAACCCAAATGCGCCCACCCTGCACCTTTCACTTCTTTTAGCCTCCGTTGCCCTGTCATTGGCTGTCCAGTCCATCCCCAACGTCGGCGCAAGAGGCGCTACCCACGTTGAGCAAGCATTGGCTCAACGCTCGTGGCACAGCAAAAAGCCGTTATCGCCATACCATCATGAGGATCCAAATACGATGCCTCTTTGACACCTTCCCTAAGCAGTCGCCAGTGCCTGTGCAGGAGCCCTTGCATATCCACTTGCTTTCCATGAGCCCGGTGCAAGCTACGCCCCGCCCGTGCTCATGTTGCTATATTCTGTCTCGGCTCTATTGGAAGTTTTAGCCAGATTCCATGGATATGCCTATTTGGGGCCAACTCTGAGCAGCATCCAGTGGTGGCACGGTACTTCACCTTGACAAAAGCATTTCATTCCTGCACCACGTTCTCGCACGAGCCCTCTTGAATACTCGGATCTATCAACTGGCTTCAGCCCTCGCATTATCTCCACATGACCGAACCTGCGACAGTGATAAACGATGCTGCTTTGCAGTCATTGCGTACGTAATAGTCATCACACCGGGCTGGCTACGCCGCTTACTCCAGAATGCTGACCGTTCGCATCTGTACATTAGATTAACTTCTGCAAGCCTCCGATATTAGATCCTTTAGTATGTGCGCGACGGTCACCAAGGTCAATATTTCATGCCTTTAAGCCGAGCGATCACGCGCAATGCTCCTCGAGAACATGTCGAACCATCGGTGTCGCTCGCCAAAGTCGCTGCACGTACTAATGCGTAACTCAAGATTCAGTCAGTATGCGGACAGACTCTCTCCTCCATGCAATCAAGGAGCGTAGGCCAATAGGTACTCCAATCACGATGTGCTTGTGATTGTTAAGCCATTTAAGCAAGCATATGAACAAAGACAGAGCTTAATTGCAGCGGAAGCATGGACCGACCCACCAATGCGGTCATTTCCGCAATGCCACGGTTCCTATCGTACAGAAACACACTCCCGGTGAGCGATTTTGCGTGCAGCAGTTTCAGGCGCGAAAAACTTGTGTTTTAGATCCCGCGATCTGCGTTGAACGAGATGGAGCATAAATCGGCGCCGCGCTGCGTCGTACAGTAGTTCCCCAACCACCGTGGTACACTAACGGGTGCCTTCCCCCACCCTCAAGCTCTGGCTTTGACTGCCTGAACGGGGAGCCCCACCATGGCACGCCATTCGTCATCGTGACTGCGCCGCAAGCCCACCGCCGTCGATCACAACAGCACCACACGATACAATACTTGCAAGCCTACGGATCCATTCGGGGCCTTTCTAGCGTCGAGTTACACCTGACTGGGAAATTCAAACGACTGGGACCTGTGCAGAATCTGAGCTTCGGCGCAACCAACGCTACCTTGCCGAACTCTACAGGCGTGCAAGGCAAGGCGTTTGTCCGTCTTTGGAAGTCTTCCTTATGTCATCTCAGGAAAGAACCACCAGCCCACTCACATTCTCCGGGCTGGCGACAGCGAATCGGAAAGCCGCCGCTTTCTCCGTTGTGGTCATTGAACACGCCACTATTCAGACGAATCTGGTTTGTCCATCTTGTAGAAGCCACCGGCCCTACTCAAGAATTCTCACGATGGCGATCATGAGGCCACTAACTTTTGCATAGTAGCAACAGCAACGTGCCAGCCACGTGGGCGGTTTCAGGGCGATTTTAGCCTACCACTGGAAGATCCCCTCCCAGTATGATCACCCGAGCAACTTGTCGGCCTAATGACTATGCTAATAGCGGCTGCGTTCTGCTATAGTAGAGGCGGTTGTCCGATCCGGGACCCGGTACCGACACCTGGGCCATGGATTGGTTTCACGGCGACTCACCACGCCATCATATTTTGGTGATGGCTCTCGGCGACTTCTGAATCAAAGGGGAAGGTGTCCCTGCAAGAACTACCAGAAAGACGGCGAACCCTTTCCGATGTACGTTCCGATGTAGGCGGACACTGGCGCGTCACACTCCTACGTGAGGAGTCTATCCATTAGACATTAACAGAAACCCACCATCCAGGCATAGGGGAAGTCTCCCGTATGCGAGTTTTGAAAGAAGCTTCCAGCCGCGACTCCGCTTCTATCGCGCCGTCAACCGCAACTGATAATTTGTATAGCGCAAGCAACACTTGAGTTACTCCGACCGCGCTACAGCCGCACAACTTTGCAGACACAGAATACGTCAGTTCTCGGATTCACCGAACCTGATATATGCACCAGCTGAATCAGTGCGTGTGTCGTGTCCTTTGGAACTTAAATTTCAAAAGAGTCAAAGGTGAAGATGTTATGGCTCGAAGCAGGGCGTTCACTAGCTGACTCCAGAGCATCTCTTGAACGTTACGCGCATGTACGAGCGCAGGTATCCGCCCATACAGTTCGCTTCCCCGAAGTCATTGCAGTAGCGTACCAACTGCCCAAGCATCCGCTTTGCCTGCGCTGGAATCGACTGCGATGTCATGTGATCGTCGTAGCTCCAGCACCATGTCGTCATAGTCTGGCCAAGAATGATCCGATTCGGATCAATGATGGCCCTTGATGGTGGAGCCCAGAAGGCCACGGCCCAGAATGCAGGGTTACTGGCGTAGTCGTCACTATTCAAAAGTAGGCAAAGTCGGGGACCTATGACCCAAGGTTTGTGTGGCTGTTTCATTTTTTGCCACCCCCTTGGCCTTTTATCCTTCCCCGCTCATTGTTCTTCCCCAAAACACCTGTTGTGGGGCCATCGGAACATCCTACGGTAGTTTTTGACCTGGAATACCTTTGTATGGCAATAATGCCACGTGGGACTGGACCCTTAACGATTGCTATCCATTTAAGATATCTTAAGCGGTAAATGGCATTTCGGAGTATTATCCTGCCAATTATAGATGAATTAGACATGGTCTTAGAACATGATATATCAGATAGTCTCCATGGCGACAAGAATACTCTGTCATGCAACCGCTGGTAGCCTAAGGCATCTGGCAAACGGAGCTTTAATGTGTGGGGCTCATGCTGCCAATGGCGACCATCGGAGCTCGCACTTTGTACTCGCAATGACACCAAACAAGATACATTCAATCCTTCTTGCATCGTCGCTGAAAGGCGGTCCCGTAGACTAGAGGCTGCAGCATGCGTACTCCCCACACGGAAAACAGCGCACCTACGCTATGGTTTGACATTCCCGTTGCGGTACTCCGCCGTCCTCTCCGTCGCGGTTTCAAACTGCGTTGCTATGCAGCACCATGCACATGTTCTCCAATGGCCACAGGATCACGCAGTCGAAGCTACCAAACTATGCATGCAACACAGTCTACCATGTTTCGCGGCACACTACCCCAAGCATGCACATGCACAGGAAACCCTCCGACCTTCAACGTTGAGAGCTAGCCACCACTAGCTGCAGCACTCCCAATTCGCCACCAAGCTGCCATGCAGCTGCCACAGCAGCGATCAACATTACGCTAGTCCCCAACACCCAGAGGTGCAAAGGCAGATTCCCATACCGCACCCATTAGGCATAACCCGTCTGCCGGCGCTCGATCTGGGACATGATGATCGTACGTGCATGCATGGCCGCCCGATGTGCCTGCACCAGTATGTTTGGGCGGCTAATTCTCCGAGCAACGGACCGATGCGCAGGTGTGATTGTGTGCGCGCCGCAGGCCTGGGTTCAGACCTGGCTCCAGGCAGCGTCGCTGTGTAGGGATCTGCCTGGCGGGATACTCCGCGGTTGCGCAGTGTTGATCTTGGCTGGTTAGAGTTGCGTTGATGGAAGCCGTGGTGAAGTGCCGGATGTTAGGTTGTACCTGCGCTCTTTCTTTTGTCAAGGTGGTTGAGGAGGGGTGGGAATGGACTAGGTGCATGGGGTCTGCGATGGTTGTCTAGGTTGGGAGTATTGGTAATGCTTGTGTAATGGAAATCTAGATCGCAGACATCAAATGCTTTTCGTAGATATGTTTCCGGCCAAGGGTAGGGGTAAGCTTATCGGTGAGCCAAAGGCACTATTGGATATTATGGTCTAGGGTAGCTCTTGCTATAGTAAGAGAACTTGATATTGTACAAAACCCTGCGAATTGTCTAGATTTGCGAATTTTGATATTCTACCATGAGGTCTATGCTGCTCCCTCGGCTGGCTATAAGTAGAAAGGTAAAGCACATATCTATCTCTCTCATTTATGGTTGTAGCTGCAGGTGTCGCTGTGCCGATCGCTGTCATGTATGTTATATTTTGTAAACCTCGTGTTTTACTCTCATGTAGGCGATGGACTAACAGTTAAGGCATGGAACCATTGAGACTAGAATAACGTGAGACTGGGTCTGCCTATATTCTTTTCTGGTTATGGTGTTCTGTTGCGCAGTAATATTTATGGTGGCTTCACGCGTTGCATAGTCACGATCAGTAGAACTCTTATGGCGCAAAGTGACTGGAACGCAAAGGTCAGTCAGTCCATTCCTCAAGATCCGTACCGAACAACGTCGTGGGGAGGATAGAGTTCCAGTGATGCGTTTCCTGGTGATGTAGTCGCGATCGACCCTGATGTGCAACGAGCAATAGTCACTAATAGTAGTTGTATTGAGGCGGAAGTCAGCACGTGGATTTGTTTCTGCATGAGACGCAGAAGACTGAGCCTATGAAAAAATGGTGCGGATGACCGGTCCTTCAGGCCAATGTACCGGGCGTGAATGCCGTTGCATTTTTCTTCAAACGCCAATACACTGTATCGATTGGATACGGTTCAAATAATTAGTGTCTCGACAATTATGTCGATGTGTGTAGACTGGTATTTCTCATACCGATGGAAGACTGAACCATGGTGGCAATCGCATGAAGGATACAAGGGACAGAAACGATTCCTGCAAGGCTGCGTTGACTTGTTGAGAGGAATTTTAAGAGAGCTCATTCCAGCTCGAAGTAGGAATTCTGCTTCTTCTACAGCTCAAGAAGTCATGAGGACCTAGCGGTTATTGTGTCGCATGTAACATGGAATTAAGTGACTTCAATGGGTAATTCTCCTGCTCCTACGATCTTTCGGCGCATGCAGTTGACTTTAGCAAGGTCGTTCTTGGATTGCTGCACAGGGAGAAATTTCTTGACACAAGTTCATTGCGTGTAGCCGGTGGAAGAAGAGCATGCTTGTTATGCCGTCATGTACCGTGTCCCTCTGTTTTGTAAACTTTGGTATCTGCTCAGGCCATTGATCTAATGCAGCTCCACAGACGGTGTGCTCCGGAGAAATGCGATGACCTTTCCTCAGCACAACATCAGCTGGCTGACTAACAAATGGCTTCAGATAGTGGGACTGGAGGTGACACATCGGACGCTGAGATACCCAGTTTACTGGACACAGGAGAAAGGAGTGCTACCATGATGAGTCAAATCCATAGGATTGTGGGGAAGACTACCAATTTGCGACGCGTAAAGACCTTTGTAGAGAAGATGATGGTGTTGAGGCTCGGCCGAGGCAAATGCACTTGTCGAACCAAGTCAAGCGCGCTCTTAGCGCAAAAGAATGTGCCCCTCCGAGTGCGGCAGGCCAGACCCACGGTCGTCATCCGCTTAAATTATCCGGAGAACAGCAGAAGACTCACCACTCAATTTACTGATCGGACATTCTCATTCCAGCGACCGCGACGTGACTCATTATCTTCTGAGTTCGTATATAATCTTTCTCTCAGAGCAATCGCTCATTCTCTTTGTCTCTATCCCTCAGCAGCAGAAAGTACCCCACCATGGACGCCATCAAGAAGACCTTCGCGCAATGCAAGAAGGAGGGCAGGGTAAGCGCAAACGATGGAGAGAATTTGGCCTGAGGACTGATCATGGATGCAGTCTGCCCTCGTCACCTATGTGACTGCCGGGTTCCCCACCGCACAGGAAACGCCCGATATCATGCTCGGAATGGAGGCCGGTGGCGCTGGTACGTTTCGAACGCTCAGAGCACCCCCAGTTGCTATGGAACCGTGCGATTGACAATGGCAGATATCATCGAGCTTGGGATGCCCTTCACCGATCCGATTGCGGACGGTCCCACGATTCAAAAGGCCAACACGGTATGTTGAGTCATTCGCCACGCCCCTCGAAATTGGCTGACGGCCGGATTTATAGCAAGCCCTCAAAAATGGTGTCAACACGATCGATGTACTCCAGATGGTTCGCGATGCGAGGAAGCGTGGTCTCAAGGCACCTGTCATGCTGATGGGATACTACAACCCGCTGCTCAGCTACGGTGAAGAGCGCATGCTGCAGGACGCGAAAGAGGCAGGCGCCAACGGCTTCATCATTGTGGATCTCCCGCCCGAGGAAGCCCTCCGCTTCAGGAACTACTGCCGCACCTATGGGTAAACGAACTGCAGCACATCCTCAGCAACGGCAATACTAACATTAGAGACAGGCTGTCTTACGTCCCGTTGATCGCTCCTGCTACGTCGGAATCCCGTATGCGTGTCCTGTGCAAGATCGCTGATTCCTTCATTTACGTCGTCTCACGCATGGGCGTTACTGGCGCCAGTGGTACCATGAACGCTGCTCTTCCGCAATTGCTCGAACGCGTACACAGGTTTTCCGGAAACATACCCGCCGCAGTCGGATTTGGTGTCAGCACACGCGATCACTTCGTGAGCGTCGGGAAGATTGCAGAGGGCGTTGTCATTGGCAGCCAGATCGTCAACATTATCGCTGAATCTGCTCCTGGTGAAGGCGCCAAGGCCGTTGAGAAGTACTGCGATGAGATCTGCGGAAAAAGTACCCGTGCGACCAGCACGACTCGTGAAGTTGGTATCATTGAGACTCTGGATGCTGCCAAGGAACCCACTGAGGTCCACGTTGACAAAGTCATCACTGATGCCGATGTTCCTGACGGTCCTGGACTTGCCGACCAGATGGAGGCTCTCAACGCAGACCTGGGCAGTGCGAATGAAAGCGCGCTTCCCGCCCGATTTGGAGAGTTTGGCGGGCAGTACGTGCCAGAATCACTCATGGACTGCCTTGCAGAGCTTGAGAGGGGCTTTAACGATGCGATAAACGACCCGAAGTTCTGGGAAGAATACCGGTCTTACTTCGACTACATTGGGCGCCCCGGCCATTTGCACTTGGCCGAACGCCTTACAGAGCATGCTGGTGGTGCCAATATCTGGTTAAAAAGAGAGGATCTGAACCACACTGGCAGTCACAAGATCAACAACGCACTCGGCCAGATCCTTGTCGCGAAACGACTTGGAAAGACTGAGATTATCGCGGAGACTGGAGCCGGTCAGCACGGTGTTGCGACTGCTACAGTTTGTGCCAAGTTCGGCCTGAAGTGCACCATCTACATGGGTGCTGAGGATGTCAGGCGCCAGGCCCTGAACGTCTTCCGCATCAAGCTACTCGGCGCACAGGTCGTCGCTGTCGAGGCTGGTTCCAAGACGCTGCGCGACGCAGTCAACGAGGCCATGCGGGCTTGGGTGGTCAACCTCGACACCACGCACTACCTTATCGGCTCGGCGATTGGACCTCATCCGTTCCCTACCATTGTCCGCACATTCCAGTCGATCATTGGAAATGAGACGAAGCTGCAGATGCAAGAGAAGCGCGGCAAGCTGCCCGACGCGGTGGTCGCCTGTGTGGGTGGCGGCAGCAACGCCGTTGGCATGTTCTATCCCTTCTCCAAGGACCCGTCGGTTAAGCTCCTTGGCGTCGAAGCTGGTGGTGAAGGTATCGATACCGACCGCCATAGTGCTACACTGAGCGGGGGCACGAAGGGTGTTCTCCACGGTGTCCGCACCTACATTCTCCAGAACAAGCATGGACAGATCACGGATACGCACTCAGTCTCTGCTGGTCTCGACTATCCCGGTGTAGGACCCGAGCTTGCTTCCTGGAAGGACAGCGAGCGCGCCAAGTTCATCGCGGCCACGGATGCTGAGGCATTCATGGGATTCCGTCTCATCTCGCAGCTTGAAGGCATCATCCCCGCGCTTGAGACTGCGCACGCAATCTGGGGTGCCCTCGAGCTGGCCAAGACGATGGAGAAGGGGCAGGACATTGTCATCTGTTTGTCTGGCAGAGGTGACAAGGACGTGCAGAGCGTGGCCGACGAACTGCCTAAGCTGGGACCCCAGATCGGCTGGGACCTCCGCTGTAAGTAATCGAGTGAGACTGGTGCGAATTATGCTGACATTGGGCAGTCTAAATGGCCTGCGTTGGACGCGATAGTAGAAGGATCTTGACTCAGAAAAGTAGGCGAATTCAAACGGGGATACTGTAACATTCCATAGACGCATATGCTGAATCTGTCCTGAAGTCGATACAATGATTGCGGTAGTTGTGCATGTGAGCATGTGCAGCATCTTGGCGTGCTGGGCCTATCTCTGTGTTGCTATTGGGTCGCAATGACGTAACCAGAAGCAGCTGTGCCCATTGAGGTCCATGAGATGTAGAAAGCAATGAGTGTCTGGCCTGTAAAGTGCGGGGGTGCACGGCACGATCGATATGCGGTAGGCAGCGCAGGTGCAAGGCGGAGGACGCAGGGCCAACGGATGCACCACATGGGGTGGGTGTGCGGGTGAGGCCGAGCGACAAGGACCAGCCACAGCGTCGGAATCGTGAAGCGGCACCGTGGCGCATCTCGTGCAGACAGACCAGACCAGCCCAGCAATCCACATCCAGCACCCCCGCTCCCGCCGCGCATACGCACAGTTGTCGTCTTTCGCCAGCCGCCGCGCCGCCCATGACTTTTGCGCTGCCGTGCCATTAGTAGCGGGCCCGAATGCTCCGCAGCCTCGTTCGCACTTCGGCGCACTCGACCCCAAGCAAACACGCTGGACCGCATCGCCCAGCACCTCGACGGCCCGCACGACAACGCCTTTGAGCTCCAGGAGCTTCCCCGACGCACCGACAGCGACCGAAAGGACGTAAAGAGGGCACGTAAGAGGCGGGAGAAGCTCGAGCAGCTTCGTGCGGCCGACGAGATGAAATTCTCGCACAGCCTGCAGTTCAATGCGGTGCCGGACTGGAGCAACCACTACATCGCCTACAGCAATCTCAAGAAGCTCATCTATACGCTCGAGGCGCGTCTGAACCAGCAGGCCCCTGCCGTCGACGCCGAGTCCTCGCCCCTGCTGAACGGCGCCCCCGACGACCCTGACAAGGTTTTTACGCGCGCCCTCGACGTCGAGCTCGAGAAGATCTGCTCCTTCTACCAGATCAAGGAGAGCGAGGTCTATGCCGAGGTCCACGATATACTGCAGGATGAGGAGAGCTATGAGGAGGAGCAGGAAGTATACGAGCACGAGCGCGAGACGATGCCGAGGAAGGGCCGCAGTGGGAGCATCTTCAAGGCCATTGGCTTCAACCGCGCGCGAGGCGGCAGCACGGCCAGCAAGACATCTACCATAACCGAAGAAGACGAAGACTCCGACGACGGCGCAAACGAGACGTCGCTGCTGCGGCGGAGGAGCGAGGATGGACACCGCCAACGGCGCCACTCGGGCGACAACTACGAGGTGGCTTCGTCCCGCCGGAGGACCAGCCAGGTCTTCGATGACTATAACGACATGTCCTTCTCGGTCCTCTACGACAGGGGCGTGTCGCTCAAGCAAAGGATAGTCAGCATCTACGTGTCGCTGTGCGAGCTGCGGTCGTTCCTCCAGCTCAACAAGACCGGGTTCGAAAAGGTCCTGAAAAAGTACGACAAGATCATGGATAGGAAACTCAAGAGTGCATATCTCGAAGAGCACGTCTACCCCGCAGAACCTTTCCAGAAGGGCACAATGGACAAGCTCACCCAGTATCTGTCTCGCATGGAAACCATCTATTCGCGCATATGTACCAAGGGAGATGTGGAGGAAGCAAAGCGGGAACTGAGGCTACATTTGCGAGAGCACGTCGTCTGGGAGCGTAATACTGTCTGGCGTGAGATGATTGGTATCGAGCGCAAAGCCCAGAGCGCCAATATCGGTCTCACACAACTGCTCGGCCGTGACTCTGATCCGAACCAGGTCCGTCGCCAGGGAGACGAAGTCAATGCGCAGCTCACCGAGGTCAAGACGCCCATTGGCAAATATAGGTGTCCTGCGTGGCTGCTTAGCTCCCAGTTCTGGACCGGTATCTTCATCCTTGCCATCTTTGTCGTACTGTTGGTGGTCCCTATCATGGAGAAACCAGAGCAGCAAAACTGCCTGGCTATGGTGGTATTCGTCAGCTTGCTGTGGGCTACCGAGGTGCGTAACTTTGACGTGGACATTAATGGCTACTAACTCCGTTAGACGATCCCTCTCTTCGTCACCTCTCTCCTTGTGCCCTTCCTTGCTGTCACTCTTCGGGTTGTCCGCAACGATGATACTGGCAGGCGGCTTGAGACGAAGCCTGCGACCACCTATGTCTTCGCCGCCATGTGGACGCCTGTGATCATGCTTCTTCTCGGTGGCTTCACCATCGCAGCGGCTCTGTCAAAGTACAACATTGCCAAGATCATGGCTACCTTTGTGCTCAGCAAAGCCGGCACCAGGCCTCGCACTGTGCTACTCACCAATATGTTTGTTGCCATGTTCGCAAGCATGTGGATCAGTAATGTTGCTGCTCCTGTTCTGTGCTTCTCCATCATCCAGGTAAGCTATTATTCTTGATCACAAGATATCTCTGACGTTCCAGCCCATTCTCCGCAACCTTCCTTCCGAATCGAACATGACTAAGGCGCTGCTCCTCGGTATCGCCCTAGCATCAAACATGGGCGGCGCCGCCTCTCCCATTGCTTCGCCGCAGAACCTCATCGCCCTCCAGAACATGTCCCCAGAACCGTCATGGGGCATTTGGTTCTTCATCGCGCTTCCTGTCTGCATCATCTCCATCCTACTCATCTGGTTACTTCTCCTCGTGACGTTCCAGCCTGGTCGCAACACCACCATCGTGCCGATCAAGCCTGTTAACGACAAGTTCACCGTGACGCAATGGTTCATCTGCGTTGTCACTCTGGCCACCATTATGCTCTGGTGCGTAAGCCATCAACTCGAGCCTATCTTCGGCGACATGGGCGTCATCGCCATTATCCCCATCGTCCTCTTCTTTGGTACTGGCATCCTCAACAAGGAAGACTTCAACAATTTCCTGTGGACTATCATCATTCTTGCCGCCGGTGGTCTATCTCTGGGTAAAGCAGTCAACTCCTCCGGTCTGCTGCACACCATCGCAGAGTCGATCACAAGCAATGTAGAGGGCATGAGCCTCTACGGCGTCCTCGTCGTCTTTGCAGCACTCATCTTGGTGGTTGCGACGTTCATCAGCCACACTGTTGCTGCGCTGATCGTGCTGCCTCTTGTGCAGCAGGTCGGACAGAGCATGGCCGAGCCGCATCCGAATCTGCTCGTTATGGGCAGTGTGCTTATGGCTAGTGCAGCGATGGGATTACCGACTAGTGGGTTCCCGAATATGAGTAAGTCATTGCCACGAGTCCCTCGGATTACTCAAGACTGACCGTGAACAGCCGCCATCATGATGGAGGACCAGCGCACCGGACAGCGCTATCTCAACGTCAAACATTTCCTCACTCGAGGCGTACCTGCCTCGCTCATTGCTTTTGTTGTCGTCATTACTGCTGGGTACGGGCTGATGCTTGCTGCAGGCTTCTGATTTAGTGTCTGCATATACCTTGTATTTAACTCGCATGTAATACGTACCGCTGGGATCTGCGAGCTTTGTTTGGAGCGACTCATGCATCAACCGGCGTTGAAACATCTTCAAGATCTGGACGATTATAGTGTCTTTGGGAGGTGATGCCTTTTAGTATAGCAAGTAGAAAGTGCAGCAATGAGGGTCATTTGGCATATGCTCCAGTCATTCCGATCCTCCTGATCCGAGATATAGTGGTTCACTTGCTGAGTACACATTCCATCTGTCTGTATCTCCACGTCGGCTGAGAAGGACATCGTTTGTCAGCGACCCCGTACATTATCTAAGATCGGGCTCTCGTCAACTCGCTTCCCAGCAAGGCGTACCGTGCTGACACCCAATGTCAGTGCAGAGGTAGGATTCGCGCTAGCGACGATTACCGCATCGCGTTAGCACAATCTCTAACATATATGTTTCCGCAACAACTTTACGCCCCTGCCCGAGATGGAAATTGCAGAGAATGGCGTATTCCGGGTTTTCGCCGATAGTTCGACAATGTGCTTTAGATTTCCTATTCCCCTTGCCTCTTCTAGCGAAATCACTGTACAAGAGCACAGACTGGTATACGTCAACATAGTACTGACCTCGAGGCTTAGAAATACGGACAGTTTGTCAGCGAGGCAGATGTATTGTGGAGAGAGAGAGAGTAGACAAGGAAGTATAAGTATGCTCTATTAGCAGCAAGAGAATGCATCACAGCAACAAAGCAGCCTCCCTACCACACTAACCAAACCACCAAACGACAGAGCAGCCCCACTCGAGCTGTTCTGTACTCGAAGCCCTCTACAATATGCACCAACTCAGCCTCCTAGCCGCCCTCCTAGGCACCACCCTCGCCCAAGCCCCCAACACCCGCACAGTCTTCCAATTCCCCAAACCCACCTGGCTCGAAAACATCGCCACAACACGCACCGGGCACCTCCTCACCAGCGTCCTCAACAGAGCCCCGGCCGAACTGCACATCGTCGACCCTTCCGCGATATACAACGCGTCGACCGCGAATGCCACGCTCCTCCACGCATTCCCGGGCGTGAACACCGTGTTCGGCATCTCAGAATACGCGCCCGACCTCTTCGCCGTGGCCGTGGGGAACTACTCCCCCGCGACCGGCGCAACGAAGGGCACGTACGCGGTTTGGAGCGTCGACGTCTCCTCCCTCGCCTCGTCTTCCTCGTCCTCCGCAAAACCCACGTCCAAAGTCCGCAAACTCGCATCCCTCCCCAACGCCTCCGTGATAAACGGCATCGCCGCGCTCAACAAAGACGCCATCCTCATCGCCGACTCCTTCGCCGGCTCCATCCTCCGCCTCGACATCTCCTCGGGCAGGACGCACACCGCGATCAATGATAGTACCACTGCGTTCGCCAGCCCGCTCGGTGTCAATGGCGTCAAGGTCAGCCATGCAACGGACCCGCCCACGCTCTACTACACCAACTCTGGCCTCAACGCGACGTTCGCTGCGCCCGTCGATCCGCGGAGTGGAAATCTGGTGGGAAAGCCAGTCATCGTGGCTGCGAACGAGGCGACCCCGGATGATCTGGCCGTTACGGATGACGGGACTGCGTTCTTCGCGAGGCCATATGCGGGGACGCTGACGAGAGCTAGGGCTGGGGTGGAGGCTGTTATTGTTGCGGGAGCAGAGGGGAGTATGGAGTTGGGCGGTGCGACGAGCGCGACATTGGGAAGGGCGTGGGGGGATCGAGGCGTTGTCTACGTGGCTACTATGGGCGGCTTTGATAGTGAGGGGGGATATGCAGAGGGGGGAAAGATTGTGGCTGTGAATGTGGGCCGGTGACTGTATGATTCTGGAGATAAGGCGGTGGGCGCAGAGGGGACAGAGGCATAGGCTGGAGGGTGGATGGGGGTGCTCGGGGGTTATGTAATGGAGATACCGACAGGGATGGAGATAGCAGGGTGAAATGTTTTGAATGTTTTTCCTTGAATTATTGAAACTTCGTACATGTCGGCTATGAAGTATTCTCCCCGATAATCCACTGGGTACCCAGTCTGCCAGCGAATGTGCCAGCAGTCCTTGCATAGTCTCAGATTGCCAGCTGGTGGAGCATGGCAGCGGATAGATTCGTAGTGATACTCTTGTTCCTCAGAGGAGCTTACAACCTCCGCTTTGCCCTGCACCCAATCAATGCAAAGGTATTGATGCGCATATAATCATGACGAGCCCGCCACGCTAGCTGCGAATATGAGCTATTGTACATGAATTCGTTCCATGCTCTGAGATGAGATGTGAGTCCCATGAGACATCAAAGAGTATCCCGCTCGTTTGGAAGGACCTGGTGTCCATACAGAACCCAAGGTCCTGTTTGACGTGCAAGAATCGAATTCGATCGCAATTATTATTCAAGTGCGCCGTGTGCGCCGTGGGCTGCGTTGGAATGCTGATAAGAGGATTGTGCGTTCTTCCTCGACGGTCTCAGGTTCGTCGCCGGTCATGTCTTCATCGTCACTCAGATCAATAACACCATCGTACTGTGGCATTGACTTTGGGTTCTTCTGCTTCTTTTTCTGCGTAGTGCCAGCATGTGCTGTTTTTGCTGCGGCACGTGTTGGCTTAGATGGTGATGCCGCTGTCTGCGTTTCAATTGACGGCCGTATTCGTCTAGAATTGATCGGGGTGAATCCCCCCGACTCAGTTACCGGAGACCGAGGTGTAAGACCTTTTCTCGTGGGAGGAATGAACTTCCTCCATGCTGACGTCGGTGCTTGCATGGCTAGTGGGGAAGCTGTAGTGGGTCCAGTGACAGGCGATTGTAGAGGCACGCTTGGTGAAGCGTGACTTGGTGCTTGCGGCACGGAAGTTCTTATTTCGAGACCCATCGGCGCGACTGGAGCACGATAGCTGTCAAGCTGCGATTTCGGGTTCTGGCGGGCTTCTGCTGGCATGAACGGAGGTGTTGAGCCTGGCGTTGGTAAGGAGTCTTGTGAAGACGTATTGTTCTTCGGGCGTTGCCGGGCTTCTGAAGCTGCGGGGGCGGCTACTGGAGCACGTAGAGACGCAAATGAAGACTGCGTTCGGGCTTCGACGGTAGGTGTAGATGGGACAGTGATGTCTCCGGCACTCGTCACAGGCGTAGGATGTTGTATGCTTGCGGGAGTTGGCTCTATGGTTCGGCTCGTGGTATCTGCCCGTTGACGTTTTCGAGGTCGCGCCTCTGCTAGATCTAGCTCTGGTTCTGGCTCTATCGGCTCAGGCTTGCCTGCTGTGCCATTACCCCCAGCTCCAGGAAGAACCGTTGGGGGCTTCGTCCTTGCAGTTGGTCTTCCTTTCTTGGGACCAGCTTTGATTGGTGCCAGAGCAGATGTTGAAGGTGGCGCCCAGGATCCGGAGGGTACATCTTGATCAATCGTATCGTCGTCACCCGCGGGTCGATTCTTGTTCAAGTTGTCGATGAATGACCAGACGGCCTTCCACATGTAGCCGTTGACCCTCAAGTCACTAAAGTTCTCACGCAGATTCTCCCGCAGAGAGCGGATAACTTCAAGGAGTCTGTTGTGACTTGTGTCGATGTGGACTGAGATAAGCACTGTGACCGCTATCATCTCAACAGGTGCAAAGGTCTGTACGCCCTTGAGCCTCTTATCTGCGTTTGTGAAAACATTGGGTTCCAGCTCAATGAGGTCCTTGAATGTTTTCCAAACGCATGCCAGATGTGACTTGAGATCATCGTCTAAGAAGCTATCCCTCCCTACTAATTTAGCTAAATGGGTGTGACCCGATTTGTGCATCGGTAGTCCGTCCGATGGTGTTGGGTGTTGAACTTCCAGTATCTGGCTGAAGCATGAGAGTGTCAGCTGGAAGTCTTTCGCTCGCATCCGGTCCTTCTGAAGCGAGTATATGACTGGGAAGTCGCTAATAAAGTGGCGTGCTAAGTCTTGCCAAGATCCTGATGTAGCGCGCATTTTCTCTGCTACCGATAAGGGCATGCCCATCTGTACGCGAGCGAACAGGTCCTCTTCCTGTTGTGGTTCGAGGTTCACATACTCAAATGTGACGAAATCTTTGTTTAGAAAATCCCCTCGCTCAGTCTCTGAGAAAAGATTCTTGTTCTTGCCCTGCACTTGTGCATTTTCGAACCACCACTTCTCCCCTTGATGGTCTGTACAGGGAATAATTCCCCGCACGAAAGCTTGGACTGATGATAGCCTCTGCTTTCCATCGACACAGACAAGAGTTGTCTCTCCTGTCTCGTTGTCTGTTTGTCTGTTGAAGATAATTGGTGGGATGTAATAATTTTCCATAAGTGAATCGATGAGCTGCGACATTCGATCGGCTGTCCAGACGACCTCTCGTTGATATTCTGGGTTTATGTCGATTCTGTTGTCATTCATTGCCTCTAAATTCATCTTAGTCTGTTCTCGATCGTAAGATTTATTAGAAGCTTACTGATCAGCCAATCAATATCGCGAAGATATGTGCCTGGTTTCGCGAGAGGCGGTCGTGTTTTGTACGACAAAGCATGCGTCTCTTCTTCGGCCTCGTGCTGCAGCGTATTAGTACCGCGCGCAGCGAGCATGTATTTTTGCATTCACCTTGGCGACATCCATCTTGCCGGGCATGCCTGTGGGTTGGCATACAGTGTTGAGTCGTGGCGGTCGTTTGAGATGTTACACAATAGGCCCCAGCGCGGTAGATTTAGGGTAAGTGCCTTCGAGCTTAACTACTGTGATAGAGTAATTTTTACCTGCTGATACTATTCTGTATTTGGTTAAGCCCGTCCCATTACCTGCTATCTAAAACAGGAGATTACAGGCGAGAGAGCTTAGGAAAAATGAGGGGACTTCATATTTGCGTTGAAAGGTGGGCCTCTATATACTGTTCCGTGGTGTGCCATGGGCCTGTGGGTTTGATTGGTCGTTGTAGATAGTCTACAACGCCATCTGTTACACAACATGCTGCAGCTGCAGTCACATGTGATATATTTGCAGCTCTTCTTGCAGTTCTTGTCAATGCTCCAGTAAAGGTAAAAGGACATGATCCGTGCATTATCAAGCTTCCCACCTCTCTGGCTCATAAGCAACTAATGCTCAGATAGGTGTAGCTGCTACCCGCATTTGGCACGAACCCTCGTAAGAAATGAAAAGCAAGACTGGAAAACACGACAGTAACGTTGGGGTGGCTCGTATCCAGCCCGCACCCTCCAAGTAGAGGATATAGCGTACACGGGCACTTATCTGAGCCGTTAGTCAGTTTCGAAAGTACAGCACCATGTCTTAATATGAGGGGTTCCGTTTGCACTGCGCAGTATCTCCATCGCGCTTGACGAATGATTCCAGCAATGCTCTGACTTGGTACGGAAAGATGTTGGATTCAGTTTCCGGATTTGCCTATATCGACGTCGTCTCAACTAAGGCGACTACAAGATATCGACCCTGTGGAAGTCGACCATACCCTCTTTCATCGCTTTGCGTAGATAAGCCCCTGCACGACCCAGCTCTCCACCTCCTTTCGTCGATTGCTCGATACCTGCTGCAATTGCGCCCTCGGCTAATTCGTGGAACACTCTTTGACGATCTTCACGGTCCTCGTACATCTCCGCTTCCTCGTCTCTCGTAGAGCCGAACAAGTTTAGATGGGCAAACGCATTCGATCGCTCTGAAAGCACGTGGTGCTCCGTTTGCCACAAAGGAAAGGCATCGGTACCAGCTCCGACAGCCGCTGTTGCTGTTGGCTGTACTAATCCGGCTCTGAGGAAAGCTGCTAACGTATTCATTTGCTTGACCTGAACTTTAGCGTCGCTCGCTCCTCTGCCATAAGTTCTCATAGCGGACCACTTGCTTCCGACCTCAGCTTGCCAGCCGAGGAGGCTCAGGAAGCACTTCAATGTCTTCACCCATCCTCCTGCACAACTGACGACTTCGTCTCCAGCGACGCTCAGCAGCCACTCTAGGACTTCTAGTGCGAAAGTCCGGATGTCCGTAGATAGATGTGTCATAGCAGCGCGAGTATGCAACAATAGTGAATCGGTGTGACTTGCAATGTCCGCTTTTGGCAGGCTCTGAATGAGCTTGAGCATCTGCTGTCTGACGCTGTTCGATCCATCCAGAACCAATCGCTGAACAGCTGGAACAATGACCGAGGCTGGCTGTGGGAGGGGCAAGCCTGGTGGGTGGGTTGACATGACTGTCGTCAGATATGCAAGTGAATCACGTCTCTGTGTGTCAGATTTGTGGTTGAGAAGAGACAGCTGGTGTGCGCATTGTGCTTCCACTGTAGGCGCATGTGTCGATAGCGACTGTTGTTTCAATGCGATCGCTATTGTAATGTAAGCGTTGTTCGTATGAATCGGCGTCTAGTCATATCCCTGCAATTTAAACCGGAGAATTGATGCAACATACCTTTTGCTTTGAAGCTTGTATCGGTGTGATTCGCCGCCTTGGCCTTTGTCTTCCCGACTTTGAGCTTTACTTTCTGAAAATCCTTCTTTTTCTCCTTCTTCTTCTTCGCGCTGGACCCCATTATGACTGTCAACCGCTATCAAGATGTTTACTCCAAAGCTCTTGTCGGTGATAAATTCGCATGAATGCTGCTTGAGCAGGTTCTGGGAGTTACATTCGGCGCAGTGTTGATGGGAGGCGCATGCAGCTGCTCAAAAATTCGTGACTTCAATGCTCGACTAGGCCGCAAACATGATTAGCGCAGCCTGGTCTTGGCGATAGACCAGGGTCTCGCTAGGGAAACTCGCTGCGAACCAACAACAACAGCTCTGCGATTCGCAGACAACATCAACAGGTTTCACCAGACTCTTGATCGCCTAATCTGAACCTCACCCTAGCGGTTCTACAAGTCCTCACATACTCAACATGGCCGAGAAAACCGTACCCCTGCCCAAAACACGTATCGCAAGCCGGAGCTAACATGATGCAGTCCGACGAGACGCTCGCTCACCTTACGCGCATTAGCCAGAAGCCTGGAGTCCAGAGCACGCTCATCCTCTCACGCGAGAATGGAGCTATCGTGCGCACGTCAGGACTCATCTCAAATTCGACGTCCGCAAACCCAAACAGCGCCTTGCCTGCTTCCAACGACGCCACACCGGACAACTACACAAATGGCAAAAAAGAGGGTGGCATACAAAATGCAGAGGACGTGGCGAGCAAGGTGTGGTCGTTCCTTACTGCTGCAGGGGCCCTAGTGGACGGCTTGTACGAAGAGGATGAGGTCAAGCTGTTGCGGTTGCGGACCAAGAAGAATGAGCTCGTCATAATACCAGGTGAGTTCACGCGTTCTGTCGCTTTATAAACCCCTAATTCAAAGCAGATACGAAATTCATCCTGGTTCTCGTACACGACACACCACCAGCTTGAGCGCATCTGCAGCGTGCAGCAGCGCTTGTTCAATAGCCGTTCTCGCGACACCGAACGTCCTCCCTGGCAGCCATTTCATTCTCACCAATGCTTCTCGCCAATTAAAACGGAATTGACGTCCACATTCCCCGAAAACCAACGCTCTGCAACCATCAGCATCACAACTCTCGAGAAAGGATGAATGCGCCAACCTGAGGGGCGGATCTCCACGTCATTTGCACTCATCTGCCTCTTGCGCATGCGCCCGTCATCCGCGAAGGTCTATGCGAAGCAAAGTTAGCGCAATTCGCATACGTGGGATAACGAGAGTGCCTTGTATCAGAGGCGAGTTCTGAAGGCTTCAGGCATATACGACCGCAAGAACAGCCTCTGTACCTGGGCGTAACATACCCAATCTTCAAGACCGTAGCATCGTTTCCACTTCATGCCATCGTGCGCATCTTGATACTCATACCAGAATTGGACCGCGATCTTGTTGTCGGTGAATGCGAAAAGCTCTTTCCGAAGACGGTAGTTCTTCTCCTTCTCCCATTTCTTGGTCAAGAACTCTTCGATAGCTGCGGTGCCAGTGAAGAAGACGTCTCGATTGCGCCAGATGCAAGCTGGAGTGTAGGCAGCGGATATCTTCTTCGGATCCCTACGGGTGTCAGCGTGGAATGAGTGGAGGCATGAGCTGCTTACTGTGTGTTCCACAAATCTTGTGCCTTCTTCACCTTGGCCTCCGCACCTTCTTTGGTGAAAGGTGGAGTCAGAGACATGATAAATGGTAGTGGTAAAGACAAACGGGTGACCCTCTGGGTTATATATTGCTTTCTTTATCGTACGATAGTATTAGTAGATCGAGTGCTATACCGAAGGCAGTAAACGCAGGACCAGTCATTGCTATCTTGTAGGACCCTGCGCCCTTCTACACATGCTTACTCATCGCTGCAATGACCCGTGATCGTTACCTCGCAGGACTCGGGTGACGGATCTCCGCGGCTCTGTGAGATGGGAGATTTCATCCCGACCCCACCGAAGCTGTTGGAATTCGAATAGCTTCGATCATTGCTCTCGCGCAACCTGGATTCCCCTTGGGCAGGGATGCTCTATTTGGAATTGGCACCAGCAAAGGAAGCTAACAACCAGCTTCATCCCTCATTGGGGGATGCCTCGGTGACGCGATGCCCCGCGACGGCCGGTGCCGGTGGAGCTGTCTGATGCAAGCTGCCCCTCACTACCGCCGCCTCACTACACAACACCTAGAACAACACGCTTCATAAGCAGAAGCCCTTCGACACTTACAACCTGCTGCGCTATTCGAAATCTCCTTCACTCATCCATCAATCACAATGGCACCTCTTAAAGTCGGCGACAGCTTCCCTGATGGCGTTAAGTTCGAGTAAGCGATTCAGAACCCTGTTGGACAGTCCTGGTTCAGCAGACTGTGTGCGCAGAAGATACGCTGACGCGCTGTATAGATGGGCGCCCATTACCGATGGTGATGCTACGGCTTGCGGCATTCCCCAGGAGTACGATGCGAGCAAAGAGTGGAAGGACAAAAAGGTCGTCCTCTTTAGCGTTCCCGGTGCGCGGCATTCCTCCCCGGTAGAGAATCCAACAAGCTGACTGCTGCACAACAGGCGCTTTCACACCAGGATGCCAGGCCCGCCACCTCCCTCCCTACATCGAGAAGCTCAGTGAATTCAAGAACAAGGGCGTGGACGTCGTAGCCACCATCGCGAGTAACGACTCTTGGGTCATGAACGCTTGGGGCAAGGTCAACGGCGTCAAGGGTGATGACATCTTGTTCCTCTCAGACACCAAGACCTTCTTTTCCAGGGAGCACGGCTGGCCTGCTGGCATGGGTGACCGCAATGGTCGCTGGGCTATGGTATTCGATCACGGCAAGGTCATCTACGCCGAGAACGAGCCGTCGCCCAAGGATGTCTCTGTGAGCGCATACTATCCTGGTTTTGCAGTTCCTGGCTAATAGAAAAAAGGTTTCCGGCGCCGAGGCCGTCCTTGCGAAGCTATAGACAGCTCTGTAGGCTCTTGCAGATCGACCGTGCCTTGCCAGTGCATAGATGACTAGATATCCTCCATTGGAGGTATAGATCAAGTAAAATCAAGCGATCGACGTGATTCAGCGAGACCGAAGACCTGAAACTCTCATCAAAGTGATCGTATGCCACGAAATCTATGCTGCTCTCAATACACGAATGGAATGAATTTCTTCGTCCTCTCGCAATACTCCTTCCACTTCTGCCCAAACTCCATCTCCATCATCTTCTCTTCTTCCTTGACCCTCTTCACCATAAACAGCCAAACGGGAACGCTAAATCCAATAACAGCGATCGCATAACCAACCCAAGCTTCCTCAAAAAGCCTTTCACTCACCAGCGGCGTCGAACAGCTCGGGAGTCCTCTCTGCCGAAAGAAGAGCGAATACATCGCCATCAGCACAGCAAGCAGCCCCGTGTATGAGGGATGCCTCACGTACGCGTACAGCCCACTAGTAACAAGCTGATCCGGCTTCGCGAGACGATACGTGAAGTTTGTTCCGAGTTCCGCGTACGCGCTGAACCGAACGTAGCTCCCCGTATACAGCAGCGCCAGAGTCGCAAACGTGTGAGGTGACCACGTGAACAGCTCGGGGTCCAAATAGGCAGGCGTAGCGCAGCTATATAGCAGCACATTATCAGACCGGGGCAATGCGTTTGAAAACTTCGCTAGCGAGACGGTGGCATGGTGGATAGCTATAATGAGCGTGACAATGCGCGCGAAGCTTGTACCCAGCGGCGAGGCGACCATCCACATTATCCATGACTCGGAAGGGGTTTTGACTGTTTTGGTGCTGGGCTGGCGGAAGGAGAGCTGGATGAGGTAGCCTGCGTGGATTACCGTAAGGGCGTACAGATTGAGGTAGCCTGCGTAGAGGAGAGCAAGAGGGATGAGAAGAGCGAGGAGCTTCGCGGCTGTGGTGGATGAAGTCATCAGGCTCGGGAGAGTATTGGTGCCCTGGGTGCAGCCGTGTTCCTGGGTGCTTCGTATGCATGGCCGAATTTCGGCCAAATGTCGAAACCATTCCTAATGTGGGAAGCGCGAGAAGCGGTCCACAACTCTGAATGCTATATGCACTCTTTCTCCGCCCTCTAAACCCGACAAGAAGACACACAGCCTGGCGTCAAGCCTGGTCGTGTCGCGTTGTGTTTTCTATGAAGCCAATCAGCCCATGTAATTGTAGTCAGGCGGAAGAACAGCTCAGCTTACATGCGGAACGGGCAATGATCAATGGCAAGTGATACAATATTTCCAGGCTCTGAAGGAGTAGCACCATGCGGGCTTGCGTAAGACAGCTGACTGAGACGATTTGGAGGTGGGATCTGCTGCTATAGATCGAGCTTACAGTATTCCGATTGTTGTGTTCCACAATATCACAGCAACCTAACCATTAATCAAGCAGCTTACAGTTGGGTTTAGGGTGTCGAAGGCCAACCTTGCGGGCCAAACGATTTGTGCTCACAATATACCATCGAGTATGCTATAGTAGTACGGCTATCAAGCAACATGGTGTAAGTGATCCGCGTCTCCCATGTGTTCGCTGAACGCACTTGGGCATTATTCGAAGAAAGAATGGTGGCGAGCGGAGTATTGGAAGATCACACGCTTACTGATCGGACGAGGAGCTAACCCGCTGTAGAATTTGTGATGATGGGTAGCCTTGTAACAGTTGTCCCCAACCAGAACCGAAGCTGGGGCTGTGTCGAGAGTGTTTTCCTGGAAGAGTGGCATGTTTCTGCGAGGCTAAGAGCTGTCCAGCCGACAAATGTAAGCTGAATAGATTGCAGGCTTTCGCCAGTATTGGTCGTTCATCACTGTGTGGTACTACCCATACATTCAATAAGCTGCTTGACACGTACATCTTCTCCCCTTCGAGGTGATGCTCTGGCTTTGGACTGTCTATGATGAGGGTGTCAAGGTTTCTGCGAAAGACAAGTGGACGCCTGAATATGACAAAATTTAGGTATATAAGGCCATAGTGTCAAGCCAAGTGCAGACCAAAGCAAGATCTGGCACCAAACGAAGGTCCTTGATTCAACGCCTTGTCCTCTCTGCTCAGACCATTCCTAAGATCAGTTGCCTTGTGCCAAATACGCAGCCCAGCCCAGCATGAGATTCATCGCGGTAGCTGCCGTGCTCGGCTCGATGCTCCCTCTAACATTGGCATACTGCTGCGGCGGAGACGGCTCTGGTATCTGCGGCGACGGAACGACCCAAGGTGCTGGGTGCTGCGGCTATGGCCCCTGCAACATTTTCTGTTGCAACTGTGATCCCAGCGGCGGTAGTAAGTTGTCCCCTCAAGTCCAAAAAATTCCCCAGTCTCCCTCGCCCACCATCAGAACTGACTGAAGTCTTTCCTGTATAGCCTGCAGAGGTGGCCGTGGAAACAAGCGAATGAGCGAACTCCCTGCGGCTTTCAAACGTGACGTTGACGCGGGGACTGAGGCGACGTTCAACGAGATTGACAAGTCGGGGTCGGGTTCCTTCTCTCTGCAGGAATACCTCGAATGGATGAACGTTAGTGCCGATAATAGCCAGGTTCATGAGCATTGGGTAAGCTGGTTCAAGCAGTAAGTCGGACCGAACCCATACCTCGGATTACGCTCATTACTTCCCAGACACGACACAAACGACGATGGAGTTATCACGTTGGAAGAGGCCGCGTAGTTGCGGGATGATCTGATCCTGGTCGAGTTGGCCATGCACCCAGCTCACATTTCATGTTATATTCCAAGGTTAGTATTACGCATCAATCGTACAGGTTTCCGTTCGGGCTGGGTTGCTGGAGGTTGCACGTCCAAATATCCTGCATTCTCTCTGGCAAACCATCCACGTGTTGTATAACGAGCCAACACAGGGCAGGACTTTCGTTTATATTACTCATGTGAATCGAGATGATCATATAGTGAAAACACCAATGGCAAATTTTTCCGGAGCGAGAGAGTGAAGACCAACTCCTCCGCGCCAAAAAGAACTTAGGCGTTGCGTCTCCTGTGTCGAATGGCAATAGTTCAGCGAAGTGTTGTTAAGCAGCGGTGCCCAAGCCGGTCACTGGTGCCTAATATCGCACCATAGATCCAGCGGAGGGGGCATTGGTAACCCGCATTAGGTATAAGAATGTATTTGGCCCCATGTAAGCGTGGACAAAGCGTACTCGCGTCGTATTATATTTCCATTACCCAAAAAGGGTAAGCGAGCTGGTGAACATCAGGAAAAATTCACACCAGCTTACGCAGAAACGTTGACGTGCAATGATGTGTGAGACCAACTGCACGCGAATGACCGGATAACAAGATCCGAACTTGTACAACCATGAGTTCAGAAGTGTAGATTGGTGGACTCGCCATCTCAGAGAGCAGCATAGACTTACACACGATGCGTGCCAAGCAATCCCCAGAACTCCGGTCCAGGCTCATTTCTCTTTCCTTCGTATGCCCTCAAGTGGTAGTGCTATGTGGGGCATCTCCACCGCCTCTGACTTTGGGATGAAGTCGTCTGACTTTCAAGACCTATGCTGTGCCTAGAACATCATAATGATCAGTATAAGTAAGGGCAATTTCCCAGCATACAAGGAGACCACAGTCCATCACAAGTTCTTCTCCAGTCTGTCGATTGTGCCCAAGTTCCGACCTTCGATCAATCTCTCCAGCCAGGCACTTACCTCCATTCAAAAGCTTCGAAATCGTCAAGATGCGCTTCACTGCTACATTCGCCCTTCCCCTCCTCCTGTCCAGCGTGACAGCGTTCGTCATTCCCCAGGGCCAGGCTGATGGCGCCTACTCCGTGCAACTAGACAGCCGCGGCAACGAAATCCACGCGCGCCTCTCCGACGCACCAGAAATCAGCGTCCGCGAAGCCAGCCCTCTAGTCGCCCGCGCAGTACAGTCATACTGCGGTTGTGGAATCGGTCTCAACGCCGGTGATACTGACGCCGCCAACGCTGATCTCGTGAGTCAGCTCGGACGAGGCAGCAACATCGGTGCGCATCTTGCGTACTATTCGAAACGTGGTGGCGTAGTAGCATTCGCATGCAACTTGTCCGGCGGAACGAAGCTCTTTGCTGGGGATGCCATCGGCCAAAACAATGCTCAAATAACTGCTTCATGTGGCCGCTACATTGCTGGCTCTCGTGGAGAGCCTGGGAACTGGGCGACGGGATACATGAGGACTAGCGAAAATGGCGGGAACTTCTGCGGCGCTGCTTTGAGCTCAGGCGCCCACAATTGCTAGAGCAGGGACGTTGTGGACCGTTGTAAGTCTCGAGGAGCAAGGAGACGGGGAAGGGCGTGGAGTGCGGAACTGCATCGTTATCCCTAATGGGATATCCGGACGTGGATGAGCAATAGCCATAGCGCAAGCAGATAAGTAATCTATCATAAGCATGCCACCTCGGATGAATATTGCAGTGATGAATGAGAACAAGAAGTGAATGTGGGCAAGAACGCAGTGTCAAGAGATGAAGAAGTAAACTGCTAAGCAGCGAAGTCGAAATACCACAGGTACCGGTATGGTGGGTACGTTCCCGGAATGACGTAATCAATTTCTGCCATCCAACTCAACACCACGCCAACACGATGCGAATTAATCAAACAAGAACGGCCCGAAACTGCTGCATCGATGAACACATGCTACATGATCTCGAGAGGTTATCTTGGTGCATGATGTTGCCTACCTACTGCGTTGCCAGGGTTGCGGCGAGCTGTCGGGTGAACCAATCCCATGGGCTCTCACATGTCGCGTAACTTCAAGGAGGTACCAAATGATAGGTATCTTTACCCCTCCTCCTGGGCACAGCGCGCGGGGTGCGGCGAAACCCCGTGGCGGTTTCAAAACAATGGCGCAGCCTCACCGCTGAGCATGATCCCTCCCTCACTTTCTTCAATCTTTAAGATTGCCACTTATACATTGTCCCTCTGCCGTCGTTAGCATCAACTTGTCATCATGACCTACAGTAGGAAGCAAGTTGTTACAACCATCAGCGCTGTGGTAAGTCGCAAGCCCGTTTTAGCCTAAGCAACAGACTAACAGAACCCACCTGGGTAGTTCCTCATTCTCGTGACAGCACTGGCAGCGTACGACTAGACGAAGAGGATATTATCACTCGGCATCTAACTTGCATCAGATACGCTACATCTAATGCGACTAAGCTCTCTCTTCCCATCCCAAATGGTCTGGCTTACGCGACTACAATTCTCCCGATAGTCTCTGGTCTCTTGCTGGAAGCTGGCTACGATCTCACTCGCCGGCAAGAGCGTCGCAAGCGCCTCAATCGCGGAGACATCCAGCGGCCGCCGCTTGTCATCATTGCGAATACGCTGATCTTCATATATTCCACCGTCGTAATCACACTGCTCGGAACCCATGCAGCCCCACCCTCGGGATTAGATTGTGGGCTACACGAGCGATGGATGACCATCTACCGAAACAAAAATGTAGAGGCCGTACGCACGATACAAGATGCATTCAAATGTTGCGGGTTGAAGAACTCTCGCGATATGGCATGGCCCTTTCCGGACAAAACGCATAAGGCTACGGCGTGTGAGGAAGCCTTTGGCCGTACGAACGGTTGCCTAGACTCGTGGAAAGGCGAGGAGCGACGAATGGCAGGTATACTCATGGCAGTCGTGGCGCTAGTATTTGTGTGGCAGGTCAGTCGCTCTTACTAGGCTGATGCTCTTAATTTCACTCCTGACAACAGCAAGTTCGCTATCATTGCGATACCTACACAGCGAGAGTCTTGGCTGCATAGCGTTGTTCCTGACAGAGTCTCGCGCATAATCGCGGACGAGGATCACAACAACGACGGCCCCCGCCGAGCGATTGATTACTTGCCCGACTTCAATCGGTACTCGGATCGAATAGAGGAAGACAACAGCGGCGGCGATGTCGAGAATGGAGCGCGCAAGACCATCAAATCGGGAACTGAACAGGTGGAGAACATTTTCGCGGGCAGGAGTGATGATGCAGGGCAGGAGCGAGGGCCTCTGGAGAACGAATGGCTGCGGTCTTCAGACTAGTATCAACCGGGTGTCAAGTCCGAGATGGCGTTTGTAGAGCGGGAATCAGCGTGGTAGGACGGTTATGTTTACGACCTGACGACCTGGGCATGAGAAGCCCACCTAATGACTTGATTTGACAGGCGTTAAAGGTGCGGGTGTTGCGGTGTGGTGGAGGAATCAACTCCTGGTTTACACTTCAAATTGCAGCAATAACTGTCCCCATTCGGCGTTTACATCTCCTAGATATCACAAGCTGTACGCGGGGTAACCAAGAGGCCCCCTTCTTCGTGATTTTGCCACGTTTTCCTTTGCTTCGTGACCGGAAATAAAAGTCCAGTCCACTGAGTCCTCTTGCAGCAAGGACCTTGTGAGTCGAGCCTCGTGTAAGTGTAACGGCATGCATTCCCGATGATAATGTGCTATTTATTTCGCGACATGCCTAAAAAGTCCGTCATACGAATGGGGGCCGTTTCAAAGCGAGGCTATGCGGGGTAGTGGACTGACAGGTATGATCGTACAAGCTGAGCTGAATACGAGCGCATGACAAAGACTCCGACGGCGCCTTGCATGCGGCTCCGTATACCAGCTAAACGATGCCCGGACAAAATACAAAACCACATAGCAATGATTCCGCCAAGCTCGTGATTATGGGGCAACTTCCGCATCGTTCGCATCCATCCAAAAGCGGTGGGGAGAGGGTAGTGCACAGTTGCGGAGTGTTGTTTGAGGGTACGAAAGGGTTGAGAAACAACGAAGGCACCTCTATTCTAGGTTTTGCGAAGCAAGGATCCATACCACGATAGAGGGTATCGCAACAGAGGGAATGTATAAAGAGGTGTGGCATCGCACGTCTTTGGATCATCAGCACCCAACATCAAACAATCACTCAGCAACATATCAACTCCAACATCACTCTTTCCAGACAGTCCTTCCAGGCCTTCAATCTCATCCATTCTCCCAAGATGTTCTTTTCCAAGGTCGTCGCTATCGCCGTCCTCACTTTCGCCACCAGCGCGGTGGCCGCTCCAACGGCGACCGAATTCGACGTGGCCGCTCCTGTCGCAGTTCGCGAGGCTGGAGCCGATGGCACTTCATTCGACGTGGAAGCCCGTCAACCTCATCTCGATGTCGATGTCGATGTCGACGGCGGTGTCGATTGGGCTGTAGCTGACGAGGGCTCCATCGAAGCTCGCGAAGCCAAGACGGATCTCCAAGCCAGAGGCTTCGGTTGCGGGGTTTTTTCTTCTCGTTACGAGTGCAACGATCATGTAAGTACCCTAGCTGTCATGCACCAGATGGAGAGCTGAGTTGTTAACGTTCTGTTCAGTGCAAGAGCCTTGGTGGCGGCCGCACTGGTGGTTACTGTGGTGGATTCCTGTACCACACCTGCAAGTGCGTCTTCGGCTAGATCACTCTGTCCAAGATATGTCTGAGAAAGAAATGGTAGGCGAAGAAGGTATGGGGTCGTGGTCGGATCGTTGAGAGGCTGGGGTTTGTTGGTTGGAGGTACTGGTGCGTTCGGTGTACAACACTCGTTATTACTTTCGTACCTGGAAACAGGTGTATTTTTGCTTAGTTAGATTCAATGCGGTACTCATTGTGTCCTCAGAAGATTTGCCGCTGTGCCTGTGTTTTGTTCTTTTGAAGGCTCAGAAATGCCTATACGATAATCCAGACTCAAAACGGATGTTTGCTGTACGTGCTTGAAGTTATATAGCCGACTTGCAGCTTAAAAAAAGGCTAGATTCGGGTACTTGTTGCCTGTATTCTACAAACAAGTTATTTCCGATTGGTCGAGTCGGACGTTCCTGACACCTCTGGCGTCACCCCACGATGCCCTTCAACTACTTGCCCCAGAGTCGCACAGCGACCATGGTCTCTGCTCTCGGTGCGGCGCTGTTGCGACAAACCTATTAGGCTCTTTTGTATTTGTTCGCGAGCCGGGCGACGCGAATTCAACCTCTCGAATGTCGACGATAGCACCGACATATGCGCAACCCAAGTAACCGAGGGACTGAGGAGAGGGGCTTTCGCCGGGCTGGGGTAGCTCCTACTTAGCGCCAACTTCCTGAGCTTGTTTCCTACGTATCGTGTCGTCTTGCGTTTCAGACATTCGAGACTCGTTGTCCGTTGCAATGCATTCTTTTTCGAGAGCAATTCAACGCCAAAGGTTTGGCGCGCGACGCTCATTCCTCAGAAAGGGACCAGGAATCCCAATCCATGACCGGGGATTTGCGACCAGTCAGGATATAAAAGGGCTAACGATCATTGATCATCACTACGAGTGAGTGCTATCGAGATCCATTGTCAAAAGAGGAAATTTAATGATCGCAGTGCAATTGTTGTTGGTGCTGGAGGCGCTGGGCTCCGTGCAGCAGTAGGCCTCACTGAGGCTGGTTTGAAGACGGCATGCATTTCTAAGCTGTTCCCGACGCGGTCGCATACTGTAGCTGCGCAGGGCGGTATGTGAATACCACGCGCGATTGGAAGGGACTTTTCGCTGACACCAGCAGGGATCAATGCTGCGCTTGGTAACATGACTGAGGACGATTGGAGATGGCACATGTACGATACTGTCAAAGGATCCGACTGGCTAGGAGACCAAGATGCAATCCATTACATGACCAAAGAAGCGATACCCGCAGTCGTCGAGCTTGAGAACTACGGAATGCCTTTCTCGCGAACTTCCGACGGCACAATATATCAACGAGCACTTGGAGGGCAGTCATTGAAGTACGGGAAAGGTGGTCAGGCGTACCGAACCGCGTGTGCCGCTGATCGAACAGGCCACGCTATGCTTCATACCCTGTACGGCCAAAGCTTAAAGCACGGTGTGCAATTCTTCATTGAATATTTCGCCTTAGACTTGATGATGGAAGATGGTAAGTGCGTTGGAATCACGGCCTTGAATATGGAAGACGGGACTTGTCATCGCATGTTTGCGAGAAACACAGTCCTAGCAACTGGCGGTGAGTACGCCTGTTGGAAAGAAGCAGATTAGATTCACTGATAACTGCAGGCTATGGTAGAGCATACTTTTCTGCGACGAGTGCGCACACAAGTACCGGCGACGGAAACGCCATGGTTGCAAGAGCCGGGCTCCCTCTCCAAGACATGGAATTCGTTCAATTTCATCCGTCTGGCATTTATGGCGCTGGCGTATGTCCATTTTATGTCTTTGAGGGGAATCCTGACTAACAATATGCAGGTCCTCATCACCGAAGGAGCACGCGGCGAAGGTGGCTATCTTCTCAATGCGGAAGGCGAGCGCTTTATGGAGCGCTACGCACCAACAGCGAAAGACCTTGCAAGCCGAGATGTCGTTTCTCGCAGCATGAACCTGGAGATAATACAAGGACGTGGATGCGGACCTGAAAAAGATCACATCCATCTGCAGCTTTCTCACTTGCCGAAAGAAATCATCATGGAACGGTTGCCAGGAATTGCCGAAACTGCTGCAATCTTTGCCGGCATTGACATTACGAAAGAACCTATTCCTGTTTTACCAACCGTCCATTACTGCATGGGCGGTGTGCCGACTAATTTCAAGGGACAGGTCTTGGATGTACGGGAAGGGAAAGAGACAATAGTGGACGGATTGTACGCGGCAGGCGAAGTTGCATGTGTTAGCGTACATGGCGCCAACAGACTTGGTGCTAACTCTCTCCTTGATATCGTTGTGTTTGTAAGTGATATTTTGCCGTGCCATTGTACGAAGATATAGCTACTTACATTGGACAGGGACGAGCGACAGCCTTACACATTGCGGAGACTTTCGCACCCTCAGCACCTCATCACGCCGCCCCAGCAGAGATTGGATTGGACTCTATCCATGAGATTCGGACCATCCTAAATTCGGCTGGCTCTTCTTCGACGGCTTCCCTGAGAGATGAGATGCAGCGCACGATGCAATCCACTACAGCAGTGTTTCGTACCCAGGACTCCTTGGCCACCGGGAACGCCCAGCTCCAAGACATTGAGAAACGATTCGATAGCGATCTAAAAGTCACCGACAAGAGCTTGATTTGGAACTCGGACCTGGTAGAAACACTTGAGCTGCGAAATTTGCTCACAAATGCTGTTCAAACGAGCAAGGCAGCGCTTACACGAACAGAGAGTCGGGGCGCACATGCACGAGATGATTTCAAAGATAGAGACGACGAGAAGTGGATGAAGCACAGTTTGACGTGGCAGAACGGTGTGTGTAAGGAAGTGGGTTGGGCGACGCGTGCAGTGACAATGCACACTCTGAATGAGGCGGAGTGCAAGAGCGTGCCACCAGTGCAAAGATCATACTGAATCTTTCACCCATTTGCTCTTGGCATGGATTGCTCCCCTGCCGAATGACGCTCGCTCTATACCGTGAGTCTGAAGTGATTTTTCACTTATCGAGCCCACATAAACAATCAAACTTCCCTTTATCAGCTTTTTTCCGATCACCCATCCGTCCACCCGATTCTGAGCAATCTGCAGTACTTCACCACAGGTAGCGATTGACCGTCTCATATTGGCCGATGGCCGACGACACTTTCGAACAGGTAGTCCACGCTGCGGAATCTTGTCGTACATAGCTAATGTACTGACAAGAGATAGATGTCTCTTGATATCTGTGACCGCACCCGACACCGAGAGAAGCAAAGATGTACTTTTAAATCCGGATGGCCTTCCGCATTGCGAAGAATTAAAAGAAGAACAGAACAAGAAGATCGAGAAGGATTATCGCGCATTGCATTCATTGCACAAGGTCGATTTCCTTCTTCAGTACGCGAAGGAGGCAGATCGTGGCGCGACGGACCAACCCGCAGACGACGGCATGCAAATCTATGACGATGAGTGGACGGCTATAGAGCATCGCGATCCCTCGACTGAGTTTCTGGGGAACCCCAAAACCAAGGTGTTCAAGGCGGATACCGGCTTCAACGTTACCATCGAGAATGCACATCCGGCCGCGAAGCTCGAGCGGAAGCCCAAACTGCGCGTCACGCACGAAGTTGACGGGTTTGCGTTGATAGAGAAAGGACAACCGTGCGGATTGTTCGAGCTTCCCTTCCATGTCGATCCCAACCGCGAGCTCTAGTACAACACCCCTCGAGGTGAAACCAGGAAGGTCCTCCGGGAATGGGGCGTACCGCCTACCAATACTAGTTCTTCCTTGCCCTTGTGGACCGGTGTTGGCGTCAACAACGGATTCAGCTCTTGCCAGTACGGCACAATTGCTAGTGTTTCTCCAATGGGAGGATCCTTCCAGAATCCGCCAACTCCCCAGGCTACTCGTCCCAAGGAAGGCGAACAGCTACAAGCCCGAGCCATGCCACCGACTTCTATGTTTCCCATGGAACGCGCAACTTCCATGGCTCATACGTTCAAGAATGGTGCTACGACAGCCAACAGCATTGCTTTGGAGGCTGCCGGTATGCGCGGCGAGGATACCTACCCGGATTCGGACGATGACTTCTTCGTCGATGAGAACGGTAGACCTTTCGCAGGCTCATCTTCAACCATGGCTACCCCGAGGAAGGGTAAGGATCCCTCTACGCAACACGGCATGGCGGTGAACATCCGGCCGAAAGTCACACGGCGCTAATCAGGCCTCCAACGCCGCACAATATGGCCGCTGATATGTTGTCAACTCCACAAGATGTGAATATAAGCCATAATCGCTGAGCACATTTTTCAATAAAGCTGACTACGCACAGGTTTGCAAGTTTACATCATTTGAGAACTTATAGCTTTGTTTGGAGGATATCGGAAATGATGAATGAACTTACGAGTTGACACCAAGTCAAGGAAAATGGCACAAAGGGTCGTTGATGGCCTACAATTAAATGCATTTTGAGGTCTGAGTCTTTCCTGAACTTCAAGTATCTGGCAGTGTTACGGATAATTGTGGGCACATTGGCAATGTTACGGATAATTGCGCAGCGGACGCTCAGCACTTCGCGTGGAAGCAGCCCACGTGGGAACCTGGCCGATGCGTACCAGACAACTCCGTAAACCCCATGACCAAATCCCGGTTCTGAAAATCAGTTTGCAATGGTCTCCTAGTTGATGAAAAGTACCCCACAATACTATCGATACTGTCTCAGCGCGTAATTTATCAAGTATTCCAAACGCCTGATCACAAGCACTCCAGCACTTCCCTAACTTTATTGCGGCGTGTAAATTTAGGTAGTCGTCGTCGGATCCCTTCAAAGGACGTTTCGGGATACAGACTCGGCCCTGTTCACGGTGCGCCCATTCCATCGCACTGAACGACACCATACTGCCAAGCTGCCAAGTGGCGCAGTTATACGGCGTGGTTAGGAGATACAGTTACACCATTGTCTTGGCTGGTGTTTGCGTGAGCCAGGCAACAGCCCATTTGGTGTTACCACTCGAGGATGCCCCGTAGGAGTACCTGACTACTCTCTCATCAAAACGCTACACTCTCTCACCAAATCGCTGAATTGACCAGTCATGACAGAAGAAAGCCACGATATTGAGACTGCCTCCAGCAAACAGGCTTTCACTCATCTGTCCAACGCCGCAGCGGCCATTCTCTCCCGCCAGGTCCATAGCACAACAACAGTCGTCAGATACAAAAGTCTTTTTCGCTATGCAACGAATTACGACATTTGCTTTCTCGCTGTCAGTGGGTTCAGTGCTATTGCAGCAGGTGCAAGTTTGCCTTTGATGACCATCATCTACGGCTCCCTCGCCGGTACCGTAAGTTGCGTAACCTCGCAAATTCTACAGCCGAAGCTCATACGAAACTTACTAAAAACGTGGGAAGTTCCAAGGATTCTTTCTAGGCACTCTCTCGGGCTCACAATTCATGCATGAGGTAAATCGGTTGACGCTGTATTTTGTCTACCTCGCTATTGGCCAGTTTGCCACGATTTACATTGCCACGGTCGGCTTCAACTATGTCGGCGAACACATCGCCGCCAAAGTCCGAGTAAACTATCTCGCAGGTCTCCTCCGACAAAATATTGCTTATTTCGATCTTCTTGGAGCTGGCGAAATTGTAAGTCGATTCGCGAAAGACCACGAAATGTTTGGAGCACTGAACCTTCTCTAGACAACGCGAATCACGGCAGATACCAATTTATTCCAAGACGGAATTTCAGGAAAGCTGGCATTGACCCTTCAAGGCTTCGCAACCTTCATCACAGCCTACATCATTTCCTACATTCGCTATTGGAAACTGGCGCTTATCCTGACTTCGACCATTGTGGCTATTGTCCTTACGGGAGGAGTACTAGGTCGTCTATCTATTGGATGGTCAAGCCTCTCTCTTGCGTCTTACGCCCAGGGTGGATCGATTGTCGAAGAGACGATAAGCTCGATTAGAAATACCATTGCAGCTGGTACGCAGGACAGGCTTGTCAAAGCGTACGACAAACACTTGGCCGATGCTGAAACTCCTGCATTCCGAGCGAAAGCGACGACCACCGCTACGGTCGGATTCATGATGTGTTACATCTATCTGTCTTACGCACTAGCTTTCTGGTTGGGCAGTAAATACGTTGCAAGCGGAGATTGCTCTCTGAGTGATGTTCTCACAATCCTGCTGGCCATAATCATGGGCGCATTTGCATTAGGTGGCGTGGCGCCAAATATGCAAGCATTCGCGACTGCGATCGCAGTGGCCTCAAAAATTTTCTCGACAATCGACCGCCCTTCCCCCCTTGATCCCAACGACAAGAAAGGGCATAGAATTGACCGCTCCGAGCTCAAAGGCCTGGTTGAATTTCGTCAAATCAAGCTTATCTATCCCTCGAGGCCACACGTTGTTACTCTGGACTCGGTGAGCTTCAATGCACGACCCAACGAAACAACAGCCCTCGTAGGAGTATCGGGTTCCGGCAAAAGCTCCATAGTGGGCCTTCTTGAGCGCTTCTACGAGCCATTGGAAGGGGACATTCTGCTCGATGGAGTCAAAATTGAGGAGCTTAGTCTACAATGGCTTCGTCAGCAAGTTAGCATTGTTTCACAAGAGCCAGTCCTATTCGCTACGACAATCGCACACAATATTCGACACGGTCTCATCGGTACCAAATACGAGCACTTACCAGACGATGACGAACAGGTATTGGCGCTTATCACCGAAGCGGCTAAAACGGCCCATGCTCATGATTTTATCTGTGACCTTAGCCAAGGATATCAGACCAATGTCGGCATACGCGGTCTTCTGTTATCAGGCGGTCAGAAACAACGGATAGCTATAGCACGAGCAATCATCGGGGACCCCAAGATATTGCTGCTAGACGAAGCGACTTCCGCTTTGGATACAAAAAGTGAAGGTATAGTTCAAGCTGCACTAGACCGTGCCTCTCACGGCCGGACCACGATTGTTATTGCACACCGATTGAGCACTATCAAACATGCCCACAACATTATTGTCATGTCTCATGGAAAGATTGTCGAGCAAGGCACCCATAATGCCCTACTCGAAGCAAAGGGAGTCTATCATACGCTTGTCGAAGCCCAGGGAATTGTAGACCATAACATATCAACATGCTCTGATTTGTTTCCAGTTACTGATCCTTCGAATCCAAATGAAAAGGTGCGATTGAGTGGGAACACTGAAGAGGAAAAGAGAGCTACACAAACCGAAGCAGCATCTCTCACCAGCACCACAGGGCCAGAAGCACAGCAATACCCACTCTGGCGCCTGATTACTACAGTGGCATCATTCAACATACCTGACTGGCCCTATGGTCTCGCCGGCATACTCTGTGCATTTGCAACGGGCGGAGCGATCCCTGCTCAATCAGTCCTGTTTGCTAAATCCATAGCTTCCCTCGCTCTACCGCAGGACGACAACGCAAAGTCTCAGGTCGCCTTCTGGTCGTGGATGTTTTTCTTGCTTGCTATCGCGCAGCTGTTTGCATACTTAGTACAGGCATATGTCGTAGCATGGTGTAGCGAAAAATTGGTTCGCAGAGCCCGAAATGCTTGTTTTCGGGCGATATTAAGACAAGATACCGCGTTCTTTGATAGGGCTGAGAACTCAGCAGGCGCTTTGACGTCTTTTCTTAGTACCACAGCCAATGTATGCCCTGCTCCTGTCATGTCAATGAGAACACTCACTAACATCCGCAAATAGAACTTGGCTGGAATTTCGGGGTCCACGCTCAGTACGATCCTTTCCGCTATAGTCACTCTTTTTTCCGGTTTCATAATCGCATTGGCGATCGGCTGGAAGCTGGCTTTGGTATGCATCTCTACAGTTCCAGTTGTTCTTGGGTGCGGTTTCTGCCGCGTCTGGGTGCTGGCTCGGTTCCAGGCTCTATCAAAACAATCTTACGAAGGCTCCGCATCTTATGCATGCGAAAGCACTTCCGCTATTCGCACCGTGGCATCTTTGACGAGAGAGGATGACGTTCTTTGCAATTATCGCCAACAGTTGCATGAGCAGGGTATACGCTCTCTTACATCGATCTTGCAGTCCAGCGCACTCTACGCGGCATCTCAAAGCCTTGGATTTGCGGTCAATGCCCTTGCCTTCTGGTATGGCGGCCAGCTCATCGCTCAACACGAGTACTCAATTTTCCAATTCTTCGTGTGCTTTTCCGCCACGGTATTTGGTGCACAGTCTGCTGGGATTATATTTAGCTTTGCGCCTGATTTGGGCAAGGGCAAGCAAGCTGCTACCGATATGAAGACCTTGCTTGATCGCCAACCGATTATTGACAGCTCTTCGATGGAAGGTCAATATCTGAAAAGCACCAAAGGTGACATTGAATTCCGCGATGTCTACTTCGAGTATCCAGTTCGGTCGCAACTTGCTCTTCGGGGCCTTAACATTCACATCAAATCTGGGCAATACGCAGCACTTGTCGGAGCATCGGGATCGGGAAAGTCGACAGCAATCTCGCTCCTGGAAAGGTTCTACGACCCGACACGTGGCGCCGTTTATCTGGATGGAATTAATGTGTCAACGCTCAATGTCGCTACATACCGCCGGCACTTTGCGTTAGTGGCGCAGGAGCCGACGTTGTATCAAGGTACGATTCGGGACAACATCATGATGGGCACGAAAGATGAGGAGACCATCTCGGACGAGGCCTTCATGCAAGCTTGCAAAGACGCGAACATTCTCGATTTCATTCAATCACTTCCAGATGGCTTCAACACAGGTAAGCTACTTCCCTGACGCCCAACCGAAGCGGTGTTGGCTAATACCGCGCAGATGTTAGAGTGAAGGGATCTATGCTCTCTGGTGGGCAGAAACAAAGAGTCTGTATTGCCCGAGCGCTCATTCGCAATCCAAGGATACTTCTCTTGGATGAAAGTAGCAGCGCGTTGGATTCTGAATCAGAACAAGTCGTCCAGGCCGCCTTGGACGTGGCTGCCCAGGGTCGCACGACCATTGCCGTTGCTCACAGACTATCCAGCATTCAGCGAGCAGACATCATATTCGTGTTGGACAGTGGGCGTGTGATTCAAAAGGGTACTCACAGAGAGCTGATGGCAAGACAGGGGCGATATTCCGAGCTCGTTCATCTGCAAAATCTGCTACAGACATAGATTAGTTGATCAGTTGGATGTCATTTACGTCTTACACGTCGACTAAAAGTAAGCTTTCTGGTAAGGATTGTTGGTGACGCTACTAAAGCGAACCTCAAGTTCTTCGTCAAGAATATTGAATTGGTGGGGTTCTCCAATTACACCCTCTTACGAGGTTTAGGCGCGTAGCGTGATAGGTATAATTAGCGGTGATTGGGCCTCTCTATGATATTTTACCACGTTAGAGAAGGACAGAAGAATTTAGCGTGCGACTATACACCCAAACCTGTCAAGAGAGTGCCTAGGTATATGCGTCCATCCTTCGGAACATCATTGCCGGTAAAAGGAGTCGTGCGTTTATCTAAACATAATCATCACGAATACTACAATTGGTCCCGATTACTCCTTTTTAAGATTTTGGCTTGACTATGGCGCGATATTTACCCTTTTTCAGTGCGTGGTTTGCATTCAGCACATTTGCGATGGGTCAGACGACGACTACGACAGCTGCAAGCACAATCTTCAATGCAACAATGCCTACACCGGTAGAAGGCCGTCCATCGCTCGAAATCGATGTCTTCCCACGGGCCAATACTACATACAATTACACAGAATATCTGCCAGTCGTGTTCGCCTTCCAAAACATGAATGCGACCCTTGCTCTGGGCAACGTTTATTTTCAGTGGGCCATCATGCCTTACGGGACCGAAGATGACTGGATTTTGGGCGGAATATGGATAGAAGACCCAGGATACTCTGGCCTAGAAACGCATAATGTCCCTGACTTCTTCAATCCTGATGGATCCCCATATTTTATGGTAAACTCGACAAACACGACGAATTGGAACACGAATTCTGTCCCCTCAAATTGGCCTGGAGAGGAATTTCTATACTCGCTGCGATGGTATCTTAGATGGTCTGCGTTCGGGTATGCGCGGGAGGACGAGACCTGTGTTTACTTGCATGGTGATCTCAAAGGAGACATGTTCTTTACCATGCACCACACACGAAGCTCGGGAGGCTATTGGCAGGGTGACAGCACGACATACCCGAACCCTCGAGAGCTTGGCAATGTGACAGGCAATTGTGCGCAATTTGGAGGCATGCGGGAGATCAATGTCAATAGCACGGATCTGTGTGAGAAGGCTAGGGTGGTTTCAAGTGGTAATCCTTGCACGGTGAAGCCGGATGCTGCATTGGTGAGCAGCATGTCAAGCGTAGCAGCGTTGCGAGCTCAACCGACGCCAACTAGAATTGAGGAGCCTTCCTCATCGAGCGCAGCCCGTGCTATGTCGATGCCTGGGAGAGCTGTACTTGTCCTTGCTGGAATCATTGGTGGTCCGGCACTTCCTATATGACAGGTGAAACCGTGGTTCAGAGGCAGAGGTCAGTGTTTTGTCAGTATTATTCAGTTGTAAAAGGACGCTCGGGGGGAATTTCCGTTGAAATTATCTCACGTATCTTGCTGCCAATATCCAGAATTGGGTTCTTATCGCTCATTACCTCAGGCTTGATGACGAATACGAGTACCTGGTCTATTCTCTTGCTATGAACCTCCAGAGTTCCAACGATACCAGCCAACAGTCGCTCTACTACAACAAAGATGGCAAGAAGGTGACTCTCCACGCAAATTTGCCTGTTGTCTTAGGTAAGCTGCTGACCACTGTAATGTCTGTTTTGCGAACGAGCGCTAACGAATCGGCACTGAAGAGAAGATTAGCAAGACGCGTACATCTATGCTCAATGATGTTCATGATGCCTGCATTGGTGTCCTCAACGTTGCCCTCAATGAAGACGTGTATCCGGGCAGGAAAACACACCAATGCGCTTCTGCCGCCGTTGGAATGCTCATCAAGATGTTTCACGAAGTGGACATGCCAATCTATCATTCACACCCAGCCATTGCGCCAAGCCCACTGCAAAACAGGTTACGGTGGTACTGGCAACACATCAAGCAGGTGGCAGGCAAAAACAAATTCTCTGATCCAGTTCCCGCGACGCCCTATATATATGACACTCCCTGCTCTTGGGACCAATGCACGGTCCATCTGGATCCCAAGTTCGCCGTCAATACAAATTTGAACAAGTACAAGCATAACGGTCTTCAATGTGACTGGGCAAGCGTAGAGGTATGTCAGCAGCGACATCTTACGGACACCTGATCCTGACGTAACTTGAGGATCTTCTGGCACGTTCTTCTCAGGATCTGGAAATAGTCTCCAACAGCTGCATCAGCTGCTTGATGTTACCCAATTCCCGGCAATTTTATGAAGAGCTTTGTCCATCCTTTTATCTCTCTTTATAGAACGATCGTCACGGGGAATAGGATGCATTCGCCCTTTAGGCGAAGAATGCGGCCACTCTAATCCTGTGAGACCTTCTGGTTCGACGAGAACGCTTTGGTTGGCGCAACCTGGACATTGCGGTAATCTGGGAATGTTCAAGACACTTCTGAACGTCCATTGCAGTCTTTCCGGTAATCTTGAGTATCTTATTCATCCTTGGGTATCATAATTCGTTACAATGTGTCCATCGCGTCTCCCTCGCCCTCTGTCTGTTTCGCATCGCCGTACATCTCTTCCACCAGCCGCACGAACTCTCCCATACCGCTCGTCCCCTCGGTCGTGTTTCCCTCGCGCAAGCTTTTCAATATCGTCAACGCATCGTTATCCCCCTGCTTCTGCGTCCACCTCGGCGTGCCATCACCACCACCCCATCCGCCTCTCCCTCTTCCTCGTCCTCTGCCACCTCTCCCTCTAGACCCCCCACGACCCCTCATGCCTCTCCTCTGGGGCGCGTCTCCGTCCTCCGGCTTGATTGTCGCAGCATACACCCGCTGAAGTGTGGATAGCAGGGTCGGATTTGATTTGAGGAGAGTTTGGAAATGCGTGTCCGTCGCGAGGCGGGAGAAGTCTCTCTTTGTCCGGATGTAGGTAGGGATAGTTTCTGGAGTCGCGGATGGGAGTTCGACTTCAACGACTGGTTGCGGTGCGGGCGCTGCTGAAGCGCCCTCGGGATGTGTCTGTTTGTGCTCTCTGAAGCAGGGAATCGAGCAGCTGAGGCATGTTAGAGGGCGTGCAAAAGAGGAGGAAGATACGCCTTACTATGGAAGTGCGCAAGTGGGACACTTGTATTTCTTAGGCGCGCTGTTGCAGACACCGCATGTGCTATCTGCCATGTTTCCAGGGTCTGAACAAAGTTGTTGTGAGTATGAATCCTAAGAATGCGCAAGTGACGACTCGATGTGAAAAGCGCGCCGCTAAAATCCCAGAAGCTGGGGCGCCTCCTCCGCTCGCTGTCCAATCAGCGCTCGATAAGCCCGACTCTCGCAGAAAGCTCAGAGTGAACGCGCCACGGCCATTGCTCCCCATTGCCGACCCCACAATGTCGTTCCCATCCTCCATACGGCACGCGCCACGCTTATTAGAGTCTTGGACCTGTTCCGCGTGCTCTCGCGGGTTGTCTCGCGTCCCTCGACCTACCAATGTTAACATCGTGCGACCGCGAAGATGTCTGAACACGACTAGAGAGACAACGAGACCTGCGGCGCCGTCCATGGACGAGGTGCGCCAGCAGTACAAAATGAACAATAGGACTACCATGTATGCGGCGCTCGTACGGCACGTCAATGACAATGAGGCTCATATCGCCGCAGGAACTATGTCTTCAGTATAATCCTTGGCACCGTTGCCCTGTCTTACGGCTCAGTCCCGATGTATAAAATGGTACTTAGCTTCTCCTTACATCCAGAACCCCTCTTCTAATATGTTCCAGATCTGCCAAACCACCGGCTGGGGCGGGCAGCCCATAAAGTCCGCCGCCCACGGCGACGACTCGCGCGACCCCTCGGAGCGCCTCCGCCCCGTCGAAGACCACCCCCGCATCCGCATCACCTTCCACGGCTCCACCTCAGACGTGCTGCCCTGGAAGTTCGTGCCCCAGCAGCGCGAAGTGCGCGTGCTGCCCGGCGAGACCGCGCTGGCATTCTACACCGCGACGAACACGTCCAAGGAGGACATCATCGGCGTGGCGACGTACAGCGTTACGCCGGGCCAGGTGGCGCCGTACTTTTCCAAGATCCAGTGCTTCTGCTTCGAGGAGCAACGGCTGAATGCGGGCGAGACGGTAGATATGCCTGTGTTCTTCTACATTGATCCGGAGTTCGCGAGCGATATAAATATGAAGGGTATTGAGACGGTGACGTTGAGTTATACCTTTTTCAAGGCGAAGTACGATGCGGAGGGGCATTTGTATCCAGTGGCAAAATAGTTTAGGCCGCTACGATGTACATTATTGTATTGACATACGGAGTCTCGGCGACCCATATGCACGTTCCTGCTTTACCATATCTACTCCATGACGACGGGTGTGAAGCGTTCCTTGCGCGCCTGGCTCGCCCCGCTTGCCTTCCACGCGCTCAGAATCAGATCCACAATGTTCATCAGCCCCTCTTCCTTTTTAATCACCGCAAAAATGGTCGGCCCACCCTCCCGCATCCTCCTACTGTCCCGCTCCATAACGCCTAGATCTGCGCCCACAGCTTCTGCCAGGTCGCACTTGTTCACGATCAGGAGATCGCTCTGCGTGATGCCCGGCCCGCCCTTGCGCGGGATCTTGTCGCCGCCCGACACATCAATCACATAAATGATAAAGTCCGCCAGCTCGCGCGAGTAGTTCGCTGCGAGGTTGTCCCCGCCAGACTCAATCAGCAGCAGGTCGGTGTCGAACTTGTGGTGCAGTTGCGTAAGTGTGAGCAGGTTGGTAGAGATGTCTTCGCGGACAGCGGCGTGGGGGCAACCGCCGGTTTCGACGGCGACTATGCGCTCGGCGGGGAGGGCGTTGTTCTTGGTGAGGAACTCGCAGTCTTCGCGCGTGAAAATGTCGTTTGTGACGGCGGCGATGGAGAAGCGTGTACGGAGGGCTTTGCAGAGAGCCAGCATGAGGGCGGTTTTGCCGGACCCTACGGGGCTTTTGGGTGTCAGTTTGCTTGCGTGTTTTGAGGTACATCATGGCTGTAGATGGACCAGGGGAATGCGAGGGTGGGAAGCGTACCCTCCAATGCCGATGGTAAAGGATCTGTCCTGCCAGTCACGTCCTTCTATTATGGGCATCTCGCGCCCGAGGAAGCTTCCTGGTCCGTCGAGTATCTCGTGGGTGTGGCCGTGGTCTGGGGCACCGTGCGAGTGGGACGCGCCATCATGCGAGTGCGCGTGGGACATGATATATGGGGTGGAAAAGACAAGAGAAGCTCAACAGCTGTTCATATAGGGTCTACAAAGTTGCAAGTCGGAGGCTCCTCAATTTCTCACCCTGATACTGGGTTGGACGTTGCGCAGAAGTTCGACCCTGAAGGTGGGATGGTGCGGGGCGTGGGCCGCATGGACCGCGGCTTGACGTGGGGGGTTTCCTCACACGTCGTGCATGACCACGCACGCGACATTCGAATGGATTGGCCATTGTGGTAGAACCATCGAAGTTTTGACTCCCATAGACTGTCACGCCGAAGTGATCCGAGAACACCAGGCGTCAAAACGATGGCGCAAAAGCGCGAGACGAGCATGGGCCAGATTCCGGATGTCTCTTCTCCGTCTTTCCTCCCCACACTCCTTACTTCATAACAGGGATTGTCGTTTTATGCGCGTGCTCACCTATAGAACCGTTGCCCGTGACCTCCACAACCCCTGCCTGTTATATCCGTGGAAAGCTGTGTTGAGGTGGTCCTCGACCTTGAAGCAATCGCGATCGCGAGGATAGTGCCCACCGCTTCTGCCACACCTAGGCCGCAACCCGTTATACTACGCGAAGATGGCCTCATACGGCTCGGTAGCTATCCTCCGGTGAATCAAGCTTGCTGCAATTGCGCCGTACCTGCAGCACCGTGACGAAATCGGACTGCCAACTCATCCCAGCGCGGATCAGCCGCGACTCGCCTAGGCCAAGTTTTTTGCAGCTTCACCTCCATTCGGGACGGTTGCGGACCCCAGAAGAACGAGTGATTTACCCGGCACTTGCTTGCAAGTACCGGAGCTGCGACTGTGAAGTCACTGTACTTTCCCTCAATTCTTGAGGTGCAGTGTCCATAATACTTATGCCTCAGGCCCAGATCTGACGATAGTTGTCCCTTCTACCCATTACTCGCTGCGCACTAGTTTTATCGATTCAGGATTACATACTTTCGATAAGTTTGACAATACGAAGCAGACAGACCGCTCGCATCGGACTATCAGCGCTGTTACTTCGGCCACTCACACTCAACAATGTCAAGGAACACTGTTAGCTTTAGTTTCGCAAGCTCCAGATCCACAAGCAACGAGTCCTCGTCGGAAGACACGTGGAGCTCGTTCTTGCTATGGGACGTTGATCGCGAGTTCCAGCATGCGCACGAGGCATACGAGCGATGGATGACGAAGAACCAGCGAAAACGATCGACCTGGGAGTGCATTTCTGGGAGTAGTAAAGAGGATCCCCTGGATCGATCGTTACGCTTGGGAAGCCGAGTCCAGAGGGCCATCCAGGACGGCCAGCGCAAATTTGGTCAGAAGTTCGACAAAGGAGATGGTAAGCACTGCTTGCTCATGCTGTGAATACCACTAACTCGTGAAGCAACCTGCCATACCACTCTGTCCGCACAGCTTCTCCGCCTTCAGCAAGAAGTCTGCGTGCCTCTGTTGGATGCGACTTCCTCTCGCTGGCTGTGCCCGATACCGTATGACGAGATTCTTCGCGCGGCAAGAGGGGTCCGTCGCGCCTGCTTCGACGCGCTCCAAGATCAAATGACGCGTCTCTCGACGCGTAGAATAGAGCCGTTCCTGCCGCCTCCGCGTTTCTCGGTCACATTCTGCCCTTTTGCCCTACAGCTCCAGACCGAGCAACAGACCAGCAATAGCACCAAACATCACACACGAAAATTGAATCTTCGGGATCGCTACGATGACCGCGAGTCGTGTCCCCACTGTCACGCGATCGTCTCTGTCGCCGCGCACTCGGGCCTGCCGCAATACCGCTGCATACTCTTCGCGTCGCATGCACTGTCGCAGACCCAGAGACACGACGAGCGAGCAACGTTCGCGTGTACCAGCTGCTACAAGACCTTTGACGACTCGTATGCGTTTCTGGATCACGTGTTCCAAAAGGAGCTTGGCAGTGAGAAGAGCTGCCTGAAGCGATATAGCGCGAGGTTCAGCTTGGATGCGCGGTTCCTCGAGAGCGACCCGAGGCTCGTTGAGCAGTGTCTGAAGAATTGTCTCGAGCGAGAAAGGACGAGGACGAAGAGGATGTCAATTGGCAAGGAGATGCTGAGGTTATGAGTGCTGTTTGCGCGGTGTTCAGTATTTCAATGATAATGTATTAATAACCTCCTGCTCGCTTTGTGGCGAAGCCTTTGCACGTTTAGCAATAGCAATGATTCACAATGTATAGCAATAGGGTTAGCGATGTGCCTCGAGAATATCTGGGTCATCTGGCCATCCGAGATCCCCTGCCCTAAAACCATCTACACTTTCTAGAGCACGCAGCACACACAACACCGACGGCCAGCCAGTTAAAGCTCCGACCAGCTTCTTTGTATCTTTGTTTTAGAGTGACTTGCATCGCGCTAACCTCCATCAACATAGGGAAAAAATCGGGTGATAGTGCAGCGCTCAGAGCCGCTTCCGGCCCGTGGATCCCCACAGTCTCCACCACCACACCGCCACCTTCCACATAGCAAAAGCAAAAACATACAACAGCGGGGATTCCCCGATCGTCACCGACTCGAGTACTGATCCGCCGGTACACTGCTTATATATGGCTGAGCGGACGGGAAGCCTAGTTTTCAGTGTCCTATGGTCGTATGTGAAAGAACTCGTGAAGGCACGAATATAAAACGTAATGGCAATTTCACACGTCGAGGTCTTGGTCGCACGCACATCAGCAGGGATCCACAGAGACAATTAACCTGTATGTACACGCAAATATAAAAACGCTGCCAAATCATACAGTAGAACTGTTCTTCTTCAAATAGAGCAAAGACGTTGCAGGCATCCCCTTCTGTAAGTAGGGTGCGCAATCCTATTCTCTTGAAAACCTGCTTCCACTCGATGACTGGGATAAGACTAGTCCATAGGCTTTACAAACATTAGGATAGGGTGCGCTAGAGGTATGACAGAGCAACGCAAGTTTCATCTGCGTGGGAGGAAAGCCATTGTAGCCCATAAAGGATATGACATCTGTTGTGTCGCTATTTGCAATGACCAATTTAAGTTGCTCAGCCCAAGATTCGTTCATTTTTGCAGTCGAAGGGGTGGGAAGACACAGCATGAGGCAATGGAGAGGTTACCAGGATCGCTTTTAATCGTCCATGGATCTAAGTTTTTCGCCTTGAAGCTCTAAGCTGCGATGGACAAAACTCTTTCCTGCACAGCCCAAGCCCGTTTACACAACGGCACGGGGGTGCTGACAAACAAAGATACGCTGACAGGAGATAGGTTCCCAAAAATCGAAGAGTTGCGGTTTAACATCATGTGTTCTGTGCCCAGCGGGGGTTGAGTGCGATATACGCGCTCGAGGAGCGACACACGAAGTCAACATGTGAAAACTTCGACAGACGGGATCTGGCTGACAGACGTAGCCTCAAGTACCTAATCACACTTGATGACGGGCAAAAGCCTCGAGAAACCATTCTCTTCATCCCCCGCCTTCGAGGGTGACGTTGCTATCATACCACAGCATCTTGATTGGATAGAAATCCACTGTACAATGCATAGGGCCTCAGCGATTTTCTCGATACGATTCGATGATACAGGGAGATAAAGACGCAGTGGTGCTTCTGAGTTTGTATGCGCCGCTATAGTAGGCATCTAACGCCAGAGAGAATTTAATGATCAAGGTCAGATGGAGGTATATCAGGTTCTCTCCGATCAATGATCGGTGAGGCCTGAGAGTATTTGTGGTATATGCAAGTCATCCGCGTTCGATAAATAGTGACGCCTCAAGTGTAGATGTACGGAGAAGGAGCACAGCAGAGAATATGCGCAGGTACCAGTTCAAAGGGGTATATTGTTTCCGCGAAGAATCATGTCGAGAAAAGCTAGGAAGCCAGCTTCAGGATGGATCATAAGCAACGACACTCAAGCGAATTCCGTAACATAATTACACTGCGGACAAGCTCCGACAAGACACCTAGTTCTTCTTCGCTTTCTTCTTCGGCGGCTCGCTAGCCTCCGCATCGATGCCCAGCTTCTCGACGAGGTCAGTCCACTCGACAGTAGGGATGCCCTGGTCCGCAATCTTGTTCAGTTTGTCGGGACCCGCGTTGGCTCCCAGGACAACAAGCTCGACAGACTTGTTCAACGTCTTCGCGAACTTCGCTCCAACACCCTCGAGAATCTTCTGCGCTGCGCTGCGGGTGAAGCCGTCGATTTCACCAGTGATGAGCAGCGTCTTTCCGTCAATGGAATCCGGTGCATCGCCCGCCTCGACATTGGCGACTTTCTTCTCAGGGGCAAGCTCAAGACCGAGCTTCTCGGCGACCTCTTTCCACTCGATGGTCTCGGCACCGAGCTCCTTGATCTTCGCAAGCTTGTCCGGGCCTGGGTTCTGGCCGAGGACAACAAGCTCGACTTTCTTGTTGAGTGACTTCTCGAAGATGGCGCCCTCCTTCTCCAGAATCGCCTGGGCGTCCTTGCGATCGTGTCCTGTGATGGTCCCAGTGATGATCACGTGTTTTGCAGAAAGAAAGTCGTCGCCAGAGCCGCTAGCTGCGGGTTTGGCTGCTGGTGCCGGGTCGGCCTTGGCCTTTGTGTTGGCTTTGGGTTTGGGCGCGGCTTTCTCTTTGGGAGCGGCCTTCTTCTTGGGCTTGGGCTATGCAAGAGTCAACATTCGAATTCAACTTCAGCGTCGTCCTAGCTGCTGTCTCACCTCCTCAGGCTCATCTACTTCCTCGTCCTCGTCATCTTCCTCATCATCGTCAGCCGGAGCAGCACCCCCATCGCCCTTGATCTCCTCAATCAGCTCATCCCAGTCTTTTGTCTCGATCCCGAGCTTTTCAATCTTCTCCAGCTTCTGGGGGCCGGCATCTGCACCGAGGACAACAAGCGTGACCTTCTTGTTCAAGCTCTTCTCGATCGTCGCACCCGCATTGATGAGGATCTGCTCAGCCTCCTTGCGCTTGAAGCCATCGATCTCGCCGGTGATGATGCATTTTTCGTCGCTGAGGGCGTCAGGGCGGACGGAGATGGAAGGCGCAGCCTTTTTGGGGGCCATTTTGCGACTATGTGTGGATGAAACAGGAATCGAACAAGTGAGAAGAACAAATCACACGGAGAAATGCAGACGTACAGAGTACGGTCAATTGGAGTGGAAGAAGATGGGGAGAGATGGTTTGGAGCAGTGAGCGCTGTTGCGGGCTTTTGTACGTGTTTGAGGGGACCTGCCTGGGCTGTCTCGCCGCACGTCAGCTCATCTACTAAACGAAAGGAGCCCGGGGCAGCCAGGCAACGACCACGCTACCACGTGCTTTCGCGCGTAGAAGCCTGGAAGTGCGGGCGTGCGACTGGGCCATTGCCTGAAGTTTGTCAGGCAGCAGGGCGCTGGGGGGAGATCGGTTTGCCATGGTGATGTGTTGAGCGGCAAACTGCACCCAATGTTCACCCGCTGCCGGACACGCATCAGAAAGCGTGCACATGCGCACGACGACCAATGGAGGTTGCATTGGCGCTTGTAAACAAAAAGACTTGGGGCCAGCTACAGTGCCGCACATATGCAGATAATATTGGGGTCCATGTTGCGGTAAACAACCACGTCGCGGGAGGGTTTCTCGAAGCAGACACGTACTGTGAGGCTGCCAAGAGAGCGGGCACGCCCGCAAATAAGATCGCTTTGACACCCACCACCAGATCAATGTGGCTGTTCATAGTCGTGCAGCGCCCATAGGCACTCAGCCTTGCATTGGAAGGAACATATAAGAGCACGAAAATGTATCCGACAAGCACTTCTTCCACGAGCCACCCCCGCGATGGGTATGAGCGACGAGTTCCGTGAGGCTTTCAGATCCGTTCAATGGGCGACACCCTTCCTCGACGACCCGAATTGGCACGTGTATCCGCATCGCCGACCTTTGCAGCCTGGCGCAACCGATGTAGCGCACAACAACTTCGGTTCCATGGCTTTGCGACGCGACGACTGCATCCAGCATTGGTTGGAGCTGTCGCAGAAGCCCGCGCCTGGCTCCCACGCGGTCACCAGATCGATATCGCTATTCAAGTACGGAAAGGGTCTCACAGGCTATCAAACCATCTGTCACGGAGGCGCAGTCATGAGCATGATGGACGAAAGTCTCATCAACATCGTATTCGCTACTCAGGCAAAGGCTGCAGGCCTAAGTCCGCACGCGTGGGTTCAGCAAGCGGATGAGACCTGGGGCACACCGATGAAAGATGGGGAGACTTTACTGTCGAGGATGAAAGGCGCATTTGTGGTTACACGGCTGAATTTCAATTTTATGAAGCCGGTGCCTAGTCCAGGTGTGGTGGGCGTGGAGTGTACGTTGGTCGAGCACACGGGAAACAAGATGAGCATCACTGGCGTTATGAAGGACGATCACGGAACCCCACTTGTGAAGGTCGACTCGCTGTGGACTCGCTTGGGCAGAGAGAAGCTATGACTCGAGCAAGGTTACGATGTGCAGAAAGCAACACACCGTTCGACAGACTGCTTCAAGCCGTAGAATGGGTCTGAGTCAAGGCTCTCCTTTCACCACATCAATTTGATTGCATGTCATAGTGTCCATATTTGCTTCCTTGCCCCCCTCCCCGGTTCCGTCGACATCAAAAACACATTTTCTGGCTACAGGACCTCGCTTCACAGACATGACCGATGTGCCTTTCAGTGGGATCTTCAAGGCGGCATCAAAGCTGGATACATCTATCGACGCTCCTCCTTACACTCCAGGGCTAGAGAAATGTGGGTTCCATACGAACTTCGGGAAGACCTTCTATGGACACCTGGAAGCGAATCCCGAGAGAGCTTTGAAATTCTCCAAAGCAATGAGCGGCTGGTCGTTGGTTACGTTGTTTCTGCTACTCTCTTTTGACTTAGATGACACTGATAGTGCATTAGTCGACGACAGTCTCAGGGTGTTGCAAAACAACTTTGCCTCTGAAGAACACCAAAGTCGTCGATATCGGTGGTGGCAACGGGAATATCAGCGTTGATCTCGTGCAGGTAAGCTTATTCCTGCGGTGACCATACCACCCTATCAATGATACTAATGCTCACGTGTTAGCACTATGCCTCTTTGACGTTTACCGTGCAAGACATCTCATTCCACCAACTCTACTCTGCCCAACCAGCCGATGTTAAAGACCGAGTCGCCTTCCAACAATATGACTACACCACGCCGCAGCCAATCCGCGACGCAGGCGTCTACATCTTCCGCATCGCCTTCCACAACAATGACGAGGAGGCCATGAAGATGCTTCGGGCCATCATTCTTACTCTTGAGAGCCGCTCTGACGACCACGTCCTCTTGATCAATGATTAAATTGTCCCAGAGCGCGCAGAAGGCGAGATCACAAGGAGCGAGGAGCATCGCCAGTTGGATCTGTTGATGCTGATATTGCTCGGGGCGGAGGACGGAGAGGGATTACAAGGGCTTGTTTAGGAGTGTGAATAAGAGATTGGAGATTCCGAGGATGCAATGCAGTCCTAGTGGTGCTGAATTGTGGGAAGCTCGGCTTAGGCAGTGAGAACGGTTGGTTATGGAGCAGCTATGTTCCCTATGTTCCCGTCGATATTTGACAGAAGTCGTGCATTGTCCAGCTACATCCGAGTTATCCCGAGAGTTTACCTCTGTATATAAACATTGTGTACCGGATTAAGAGACTATTGTTAGTTCCTTTAACCGTTCTACTCTCACAACGTGGTCAGCTATTGTGAAGAAAAGATATCCAACCTCCCTACATAAGCTCCGATCCCTCGCTCATGCTGCAGTCGTCCAATCCCACGCGCAACCCAAACACCTCCAAAGGAACGGAAAGCTTCTAGTTCCAGGGCCCTCCAAGAAGCCACCGCCAGTGATAGCTATCACTGTTTTAACTTACTCGTGCAAAGGGTCTAAGCCAAAGACCAATCCACGTCATAAAAGATGACTTCAACCCGTCATCCACAACCGCTGTCCTCATCTCCGTCTGAAGTCTACGTCATTCCCCGTCAGCCCCATGCTGTGACTTCCTCACAAGCCCGTATCCTCTCCCCTATGATAATCATCCCCGGAAACTCGCCAATTACAACGACTCTGACCCCGTCCCAGCTCCATGAGCTTCTCCCTACCCTGCACATCCACATCGAGCCATCTCTCCCAGGTATGGCTCTGTTTCCCGCCTCCAGTGTAAGCCACCCAGGTCTAGAGCAAGCTTTGCGCTGGCGCGAAGCTGACAATGGGTCCTACACAGGCATCCAGGCCAATTTGATCGAAATTGTCCAGATCTACCAGGCCCTTTCATTCCTAGGGAACAGGCCCACCGGGCAGTTTCTGCGGCCGCTTGAACGCGTGATCCGTGGTGCATTTGAGAAAGGCTTCGTGCTCGAGGAGTGTCAAGCTCTGTGGGATCTGCGCCACTTGCCGTTCACGGAGAAGTGGATCGATCTGATGGTCCGGCGGTTGGCGGCCAACTTTGAGACTATGGTTGCAGACGGCACTTCGGAGTTTGTGTTCGAGGGGCGCCTGGAAGCGGATGAGGTGCTGAGGGCTCAGTATGCGGAATACCTTTCTATATTCGCGTGGATTGATGCGGAAATGGAGCTGAAGCTGCGCTGGAGATGTGTGCAAGAGAGGATGGCGAAGGATGCGGAGCGGGCGCGGCGGATTACGAAGATGATGAAGGCGACGCGCCGGAGGGCGGTGGCGCGCTTGGAGACTGTGTTTGAGTAGGCGGCTTACTGAGCAGGTCTTTCGCGGATTTGCCACGTGCTCAAGCTGTTCCTGGTTGTTACTGTTGTAGCGCAGGGTCACGCGGTCGGTGTCAGTGTCCCTGCGTATACATTCTACTGGTCAGATCGCGGCAGTGCTAAACACAAGCATATTGCTTGTGTAACGTTCTAGCGTGGCGTCGGGTCTCGTATCTTGATTCTAAACGTTATTAATTACCATCTCTTCTACTCTTGCGCTATCGAATTGAAATGTTTAGGTTAAAAATTTGATGCTCTTGCTAGATCCTCACAGGCCTATCATCCCCTTTGCCCTACATACTCCTTTCATCTTGAGATATTGAGCGAGAATATTACCTATCATACCTAGGTATTTCAGCGGCTCGCGCCGCGGAGCCCTATAGGTTCCGAGCACACGAGATCTTAGTCAACGCGTAGGCTAATCTCGGGATAGTAATCCAGATTTGAGTGCTCTGTGGCGCTCTCTCGAGATCGTGTCGAGCATCTTTGTCTGCGAACATGGCTTACTGCTGTTTAAGGTATGTCTCTTGCCGAACATTGATGGCAAGCCACTGCAAGCCACAATCGCTGACCGCGACCACACCTACGGGTATTCTATGGGATCTAGAGCACCATATTTCGGCGAGCTGTTAAGGGAGCGGCTAGGCGCTTGTGTGTAACAATACTTATCTTGATGCGGGTGTACGTGACAGAAGCGAAAGCGCTCCCCTTTGTCTCAGTAGCGGGTTTCTGCCACCAAGTAGCTGCTCCGGCGCATAGCTTACACTCCAGCCTGACTAAGGTCGGGAATGGGTTTCTCAGGACCGAAAGATCCAACAGCTTGGATCAAACAGTCTGCACTTCGGATGGAGCGAGCGTCTCGGCAACAGCGAGGAATCCAGGATGATGCGCGCGTTTAAAGTACGAGGCACAGGACGAAGCGGGTCCAGGTACCGCAACCTGTTACACGACAGTGCTGCTGGTCTACTCGCACAAACACATTCGAAAAACATCGAGCTCTGGTTCTGCAAAAGAATAGCACCTCGCGCGCAGGGATGTGTTGTCCGTCATGGCGGCTCAGCGAAGAAGTCAGGGTTCGGACTTTGGCAAAATGCAATCGAGCGGAAACCATACCGCGCTTACAGAAAGACCATCAATCGTACAGAGTCACGCAGACCCCACGCCTACAAGGGTATTGGAGCTGAAGAAAGCCCTGGAGAAGGATCATGCGAAATTCCGAGACATCAACCTTGAGCCGGCTGTTTACACCTCCTTGCATACAAATTCACATCTTCACCCGCACTCATTCAGCACAACGCAGCACTCGCCATCCTCTTCGAGGCCCTCATCTAGGCCGCCTTCGCCTTTTGGAAGTTCCCGCCCAAGTCTACCAAGCCTGGCATCGTCATTGACTTCTGCCACCTTTTCAGTTGACGTTCTACCAGATCGGAAAGATAACGAGCCCTCAGCAAGACGTCCATCGCTGCGTCCGTCTCTAAAAGCTCGTTTGCGATCGTCACCAAGCTCTTGCAGAGCCTCGAGACCATCAATCCACGCATTAGATTTCCATAACGAGCCTGAACAGCCTGAGAAGCACTTTATTGATTCGATAGGAATGGTTATCCCCGGGGTCTGTAATCGTTCTCGCTGCGAGCATCCCAGAGCACACTTCGTCTCGCATTGGAGGTTATGTGAGCCAATCGAGTATACCACAGCCCTAGCAGATCACGGAATAACGTACTCTGATTACTCTCGGTTGTTAAGTGCGCTGGTAAATGTTCTTGACGATACGCCCAGCAATATAAAGAAAGGGCAGCGCGATACTCCATGGTGGCCAATTCGGCGACGTAAAGCTTCCAACGCCGTTGACTCCCCTGACCGAGACGGGCAGCGACGACCTTCATCGACAAGGCGCCATAATATCTTTGGCGTAGAACCGGAAGGCCAACACGGAGGTGACAGACAGCAAGCAGAGGACTTGAACAGGCTGCTAGAACATATTACCTCCCATTGGCAGCGAAGAAGCCTCCCAGTGGTAGTCTGCGTTGGCTCTTTTTCTCTCTTCACGCCGAACAGGATCTCCGAGGCGTTTATACAGATCCTACACGTTCCACTGGAACCGCGACCGGCGAAAACGTACGAACTGCGAGACGCGGCCCGACTGTCATTTATTGACCCCTTCGCCGTTGCTCGATCGGAAGAATGCAGTGTCGCCCGTCCACGCCCGGTCATGAAGCGGAGAAGTGCGTCGCCTCAGTCCGCGATATCGAATGACTCGCATTTGTACCACCATCAACAGCTCCAATTCCGTGATCGGACACGACCATGGCCTCTCTGGCCAAATGCAATTCCATCTCGGAAACTAGAACAGATGGATGCCAATGCGGACCGTTACGGCGCAGATCCACACTTCCGGGCCTGGATTCGGGCGGGTATCAACTCGAGAACAAAGTGTACTTCGTACGCCAAATACATGATCGAAAAGGATGACAATCCCTTCATCAACACACGTCTAGAGTATGTCAATCCTCCTGCAGGCGAGTCGCTGATGATGGGTCTGCTCGGGATGGGTTCGCAAGATAAGTCTCCAGGTAGCGTGAACAGGAAGTACTACGAGCACAACAGAAGACTGGAGTGTCGCAAGACAATCGAGAACGGCTCGCGGCTCCGTATCGTGAGATTTGGTTTTCGGAACGCCCTGCACCCACCACACACCGCAGAAATGGAGGCTCTCGGTCTGACGCGCGAGAAGTATGACACAATCGTACGCAAGATCGAAGACATTCGACAAAGTACTAAGACACCTTACTATTCAACGTTCCTGAACCCATGCAATAAGATACGCTGTCGCAACACGGTTGACGCGTTGAAAAAAATCGGTGAATACATCCGCCAGATCAACGGTGAGGGTCGGTGTGTAGTGTGGACTATTGAGAAGATCCCTGGTGTGTATGATCAGGGGATAGGTTGCGACAAGCAGGAATGGGAGATCAGTGCGTGGAACTGTGAAGATCCTCTGGAACTTTTGATCCAGTTAGAGAGGTGGGGCATCATTGAGAAGAAGTTAGACCTTGAGGATGATGATTGATGTGAGGTCCAGATAGTTGACTTTTATAATCGCACCAATAATTCAAACCTCCTCTAGCAGGTCCTACGAGAGGACTTGAACTGTTGTAAAGGCGAAGCATCCTCTGGCAAGTGGTTGGCCATTACAAGCGTCCAACCGCGGTGGCCCACTTGAAGAGGGCTCAGCTCTGATTGGGGCGAATGGTCCTCTGTGGTAATACGGGCATTCAATGCCATCTGCGACGGAAGCTATGTCATAGAGGATTGGGTTGTCACCGGTCCTCGTTTCGTCCGTGATGCCACCATTGGCGTTGCGTACGCCCCACATGCAGACATTGCGTGGAGTTGTCGGAGATCGAATGGGAGATGGCGGAGACGAAGCTGTGCCCTGCTCGCCCATCAATATGTCTCATCGCACGGAGCTTTCCGTAAATTGTCAACGGTGATGCATTTTGGCATGTCGATATTGAAAATACAGTATACTAATCGTAAACTATATCGTGCGAAAAGTTCACTGCATTGGAGAGCAGGCGGAGGTCTTCCGCGCTAAGTTAGTCACCCGCTAATACCAAATCGGTCAAGCTCGCCATTATCATCGCTTTCTCCTACACACACGTATGCTGGTCTGGACGTTCCGTAATGCGCAGATTACCGGAGGAATTCTTTAGGCGGGTCAGTCCCAATTGGATCAGCTCACGCTGCACTGGTGCGAATCGGGGATCTCAACCAATAAAATCTTCACGAATCGAATACCTAAAAGGGCTAGCCTTTGTCGGTGGGTATTCCGCCCGATAGCAACTCCACTCAGCCCCAGCCAGCCTTGCCGGACAGGCAGCATGAGGCGACTAGAGTTACCAGAGGATTCATTTTCCTGCGGAACCATGAAGAGCATTTCTCAGCATCGTTTCATTTTCGGAGGGGGTTACCATGTGATGAAGGGCCGATTGTTGACATTGTGGGGCACGAGGCACTTGCGTGATCAGATACACTAATGGTGTAGAGTATCACCATTGCTTTCAGCTGGTATAAGAAGGGCCGTCTTCCTCCCAGTTGAACAGCATCAACAGTAATCACTTCTTCCGGATCCTCTAGTGCCATCTACTGCCTTCAAATCATCTTCAACCTCGTCTCGAAACTTCAATATGTCCATCAAGAACGTTGTCATCATTGGGGTAAGGGTTATGAGTACCCCACATGTTGCTTATCCCTGCTAACAACACCAGGCCGGTGGAAACCTTGGACCTTCAGTCCTGAATGCTTTCCTGAAGAGCTCTTTCAATGTGACGGTGCTCAGCCGTCAGTGCACACTCTTTCTCAGCGACAGGGCTAAGTCTGACTGACATGCTTCTAGGCGAGGGATCCGACAAGACCTTTCCCGACGGCGTCAAAGTTGTGCGTGCCAACTTTGAATCGTTCGACTCTCTCAAGTCTGCTTTCCAGGGCCAAGATGCTGTGGTCTCTCTTGTCGCGTCTCACGTATTGGCCAGCCAGACTCAGCTCATCGATGCGGCCATTGCGGCCGGCGTCAAGCGATACATCCCTTCAGAATTCGGATCTAACACAGCCGACCCGCGGAACCTGGAGGCGGTCCCGCTCTTCAAGGGCAAAGTCGACGTCCAGGACTATCTGAAGAGCAAGGAAAATGAGATCAGCCGTACTGTCATCGTCACAGGTCCATTTTTTGGTGAGCCGCTATGATTTCACGGGGTCGTGAGCGTCTGCTAATCCTTCTTAGACTGGGGCCTCAAGACTGGCTTCCTCGGTGTGGACGTCCAAAACAAAACAGTCAGTCTCGTCGACCAGGGCACAGCTACGTTCTCAACCACAAATCTCCGCCAAATCGGCATTGCCACAGTGAAAGTCTTGGAGCACGCCGAAGAGACAAAGAACAAGGTTGTCTACGTATCTTCGTTCGAGACCTCGCAAAAGGAGCTTCTTGAGAAAGCCGAAAAGCTTACCGGAGAAAAGTACAAGGTCGAGCATTTGGAATCGGCGCAGCTGCGACAAGGGGGTCTCGACAAAATCCAAGCAGGGGATTTCTCAGGCTTCGTCCCTCTGATCCAGGCAGCGGTTGCTGGTAAAGCTGGTCTAGGTGACCACAGGCCCTTTGGATTGTGGAATGAGAAGTTGGGGTTGGAAAAGGAAGACTTTGACGAGTCTATCAAGGCTGGTTTGAGCGGGAAGGACTACGGACAGTAGATAACAAGAAAACCGCCTAGAAAGGAAGCATAACTTCCTATCAACAGATTCAAGCGTTTTATCTTTCGTACTATGGTGTGCCTGGTCATGGGTAGGAGATAATTCTGATGACCTTCCTTCACCGGACGGCTCGCTAATGGCCATCTGCAAGCAGCCGTGAACACTAGTCTCGCTTACCTTATCGATACTAATCCCTGCCAAAAATTTCCTACCCCACATGAAAACTTTACCGCGCAGCAACGCAAACAAACAACCCAGATCTAAATTCAAAATGGCAGACCAAGTACAAGTATCCGAGGAGGATATCCTCCTCGCCAAGCGCATCATATCCGCTGCAGAGCGCCATGACATCCCCGCTCTTAAGGTCCTGCTCAAAGAAGGCTCAGCAAACGTCATGGACCCTACAGCCACAACCGCAACTTCACCCCTCCATGCAGCAATCTTGTCGTGCGGAGAAGCAAAGGATGGGAAAGAGGCGGGCGACGATGCGTACCAGACTGTTGATTTGCTGCTGTCGAACGGAGCTATTTGGAATGATTTGAACAAGGAGGATGAAACCCCCGGATGCGTTGCACTGCGCCTTGGCCAGAGGAAGATCTACGAGAATATCGTGGAGGCAGGTGTGAGAGCTGAGCTACTGTTTGCGAAGATGCAGGCGCTTGGTTTGGGGGACGATGATGAGGAGGAGGAAGAAGAGGGGGAGGAAGTTCTTGAGGAGCAGCCGGCTGTTAAGAAGCAGAAGGTTGACGAGGAGACCGCGCAAGCGGTAACGCAGGCAGTCGAGGAAGAAATTTTGGACGACGTCAGCAAAGACAACAAGGCGTATTTACGTTCCCAGCTAAGATACAAGCCGGGTATTTTGCTGGACGAGAGCGACAACGCTGTGATGATGGACTGGGAGACCGAGATTATGCAGAGACATGCGGAAACTCTCATTCCTAAGAAGGGGCTCAAGGTCATGAATGTAGGCCACGGAATGGGCATTGTCGACACAGCGATCCAGACGCACGAGCCGGCGGAGCATCACATCATCGAGGGCCACCCGCAAGTACACCAGCGACTACGGGAGCAGGGCTGGTACGACAAGCCCAACGTCATCATCCACGAGGGCCGATGGCAGGATATCCTGCCGAAGCTGGTCGAGCAGGGTGTTGTGCTGGATGCGATTTACTACGACACATTCGCCGAGGACTACGCAGCGCTCAAGGAGTTCTTCTCCGAGTACGTAGTTGCGCTTCTTGCACCTGATGGCAAGTTTGGATGGTACAATGGTCTTGGTGCGGACAGGCAGGTCTGCTACGACGTGTACACCAAGGTAAGTTGTGCCCCGTGGATCTCTGCGTATTGAAAATTAACAAAACCCAGGTCTCGGAGATTGATCTGCACGAGGCGGGTTTCGACACCGAGTGGGAGGACATCAAGGTGCCTGCAGGTCTGCACGGCAGCAAGCAATGGGAGGGCACGCGCCGGCCGTACTGGACCATCGACCTGTACAAGCTGCCTGTGAACACTTTCGTGAAATGAACGGGGCGATTCGATATTCGAAAATGAAAATATTAGAGGCTTAAAATTATGATACCTTGAGCCATGAACAAGGCCCCGAGGTCCTACGAGACAATAGAATATAACGAAACATTACTTCCACTGCCTATGCGTACCCCTGCGATGCCTGTCCAGATGACCGGCTAACAGCCCACCGTACACGCCACCTTCCAAACCCTAAAAACCTTCGCCTCATGCGCCTGCACCTCTGTCGTAAATGGGATGTCGTACGGCCCCCTATCAACCTTCTTCCACAAATCCCTCACCCGATACACGTCCCACGGCACCGTCAAATGCGCCCGCATATCTACTGTGATACTCGCCGTCTCCGTCCCGCGGTTTAGCAACGCTACCACCAAACTCTCGTCCTGCATGCCCTTGGAGTAGATTTGCGTCTTGTTATCCGGCGCCGACCACTGCAGCGTAATCGGCAAACCGAGCGGATCCTGGTTTGCCGCGATGATCTCCTTGTTCGTCAGAGTCTGCAAGTCGTACTGCGAGAGCTTGGTGATATTCGCACCGATGAGCAGCGGACTGGCCGCGAGTGCCCACAGCGAGAAGTGCGTGCGGTACTCGAGGTCGCTCAGGCCCGTACCAACAAGCTGCTTGCTCTCGCCGTCGAGCCCTACAATCAGCATGTCGTAGTCATTCCAGTGGCCGGGGCCCGTCCACTTTGCGACGTCGTTCCCGCGGTCCAGCATGTCGAGCACGTCGAAGTAGTACTTCTCGCGGTTGCCGGGGTAGTTGAAGTCGTCGGATATGTCCTGGCCGATGCGCCACTGGTTTGCGCCCTCCTCGGCGGCCCATTCCCAGATATTGGCCCAGCCGCAGTGGCACGCGTGGAAGACGATGGAGCGGTTGGTCGCGATGAGCGCGGTGCTCATGTCGAGCATAACTTGTTGCACCACGGCTTGCGGCTCGTCGACGTGCGAGCAGCAGGCGTCGTATTTCAGGTGGTCGATTCCCCAGGATGCGAACAGTTTTGCGTCTTCGGCAGCATGGCCTTCGGAGCCTGTGTACCCTGCGCAGGTGTCTACGCCTGGTCCGCTGTAGATGCCGAGCTTGAAACCCTTGGAGTGGGCATAGTCGGCGACCGCTTTCATTCCGTTGGGAAACTTGACTGGATCGACCTCGAGCGGATGTTCTTCTCGCGAGCCTTTGTAGCGCTGCCAACCGTCGTCTATGTTGATGTACATGTATCCTGCATCCTTGAGACCCAACCGCTCCATAGCATCGATTGTGTCGCGAACGACCGTTTCGTTAATGTCCGGGCCAAAATTGTTCCAGGAGCTCCAACCCATTGGCGGCGTCAATGCGAGGTTGTTGGTGATATTCACTTTGCCGCCATACTGCGTTACATTCCAAGGTGTTGGTGTAGGGGTAGCCGTAGGAACTGAGGTCCAACTGGTTGTGTTTCCAAAGAGCTGTGCTTGCGCCACAGTCATTGCACCGGATGCTGCGGCGAAACGTTTCGCTAACATTGCGCTTCCTCAGCAGAGACAACACAAAGTATAGGTTTAAGATTGAATGCTTGAAAGTCGGTCATGCAAATTCTGGAGAAAATGTTAAGATGTTGGATGCAGGAGCATGAATTGCAATGCAGAAGAAGAACCCTACGCCGAGCAGCGGAGACGCAGGAACAGCGAGAGTATATGAGGAATCCCATTGTCGGTCATTTACCTATATGAAATGCAGGAGCTCGTATCAAGGAGCCATCGACAGTAATCTGGAGCGGAGAAGCTACCCTTGTCAATGCTGTGTTACAATTAGCCAGATGCGGGTATATACCCTTCGACGAATGGTTATGCAGCAGATGCACTGAAAGCGGTAAGGATACAACGACAAAGTGCTCGTATTGCCTTCTCAGGATGTTCGCTTGCATCGTCAAGGATCTTTACCGACGGGAGACGGTTGCAGCCGTTGTGCATGACCCCAGGCCCGTAGCGCATCAGCTTCCTGATAGAGAAATACTTCCTTCCACGCATGGATGTGGATTGACTACCTGGTTGGTCCATAAAAAGGAATACGCACCGTACGCGTTGTGGAAGATTTGGAGCAATTGCACGGCCTCAAAAGGTGTGATCTCGGGAGTGGAGATTGATAGCAATGCGAATGGGGACGACGATACCTACATGTCGGACTGAAATGAAGAACATTGTGTTTATATCATACAAACCTCAACACGGCTCATAAACTCCATGAAATTTACAGCCTCGCGGATTGAAACAGCTCCTCCATAGGTCATCCTTTTTATAATTGAGAGAAGGTATGTTGCAACTCGCACGATCAGGTGCAGGAGGCAATTGAGAGTAGATTCTGAGAATGTGATGTTGCCACAGCCACTCTTCAATGGAACATGGTACGGGGCTACGGGTCCAGCGAGTGATGATCTCAGCTTTCTCCTTTTGTGTATAGTGGCTACATGGATGAAGCCTCAGCGGTGGCTTAGGTCCGCGTCTCAGAGCTCCTTCTAGATGAGCTTCGAATTTACTGAGCATGGAATCATAAGTCGGCTGGTGGAGGATACCCCAACCCCCAAGCCTCTGGTAATCCCAGAAGAACATACCTAAATCGACAAAGCAGGCACGCCAATCCCATCGATACCTCGAGGAGTCGTAAAGGAACCATCCGAGAGTTCGTGAAGGATGGCAGGAAGCAGCATGCTCTTTCATCATCCGGGACCAGGCTTCATCGATAGTTCCGGTCCATTGCGGCAGAGGTGGTTGCTGATAAAGCGGCCCATGTAGGTGAGGATGCGCAGCCTGCATGATAGATGCTGGAGTGATAGAAGGGTTTCCTTCCTCGGCTAAGCCAAATTTAAGAGCCCGGAAGTATCTTCGTATGTAGGTAGACTTCTTTGATAGCGCTATCCAGTCGCTGTACTTGACATCGAGATGATGGTAGGCTGCAGAAGGCCTTCCAGACCCCACTTTCAACAAAAAATCGTCGATGGCGGCAAGCTGTTCTATCTCCCATGGCTCGATATGAGCAAGGAAGGCGCGACAGGTAGGTATAACATCCTCTTGAGCGGAGCATTTTAGCTGCAATTGATAAAAGATTCTTAGGATCAAGAGCGTCCTAGCAATGCGAGGGTACTCGGTAGATGAGAGCGTCGCTGGTTTAATTTCGGTCCAGGGATTGATGAAGGCTTCCATCGCGGCATTGAGGCTTTGCGCGTAGAGGTCCGTCGCTACATGAACCTCCTGGTACAAGTCGACGAGTCCCTCTGCAACCATGAATGGATTCTCGTCACCAATAAGAATTGGCGACGTGTAAGGATCGTCGTCTTTGGTCACCTTACCGTCTGCAAACAACTTTATGGCAACGCCAATGTCGATGTCGGCCTCTATATTGGTGTGTAAAGCCCACGACGTGTGCAAGAGAGACAAGAGCGATGCTGGTAGATGATTGAAAACTTGCCGTAAACAGGTCTCAGGATATTCCAAGTAGAGAGCTCTGAAATGCTCGCTCACCTGCAGAAGAAGATCGAACGACATGGGATCACAATTGGAAAGCACATTGAGCTGTATTTCAAGTGGGAGTCGAGTGAGGGGAAAGACGGGACGAGATGCACGCAGAGCACGACGACGAGCTCTTTGCGCGGCGCTGCGGGCCATGTTTAGGAGACCGAGGAGTAAATTGAACGACGAAATGGAGACGGGGGAAAGACCCATATTTGGGGAAGGTATGGTGGGCAGTAGGCGCCAACGTCACGTGAACTAGCGCGGCTCGCCCGACTGCAGACGCAGCTACAGGAGCTTGAGTGCCTCGCGTGGGTGAGGACATATCCTACACAGTGCCCACATCTCCACACGCGCTCGCCCGCCATGCTCGTCTCCCTCACCGTCGGCAAGGTCGACGCGGGCGTCGCTGTGCTCCTGACCGAAGACAAACGCCTCGTACGCGCTGCCCGCCCAATTGCCTGGCTCTCCCTCCCCAGGCGCACCCTTGTACGTGGCTCGTAGCTCACCCGCGCGCAGATCGAATTCCCCTCCATCCTGCTCCCGCCCGACATCTCCTCCGGGAGCATCGTGGACATCGAGGTCACCCGCAACGCCGAGAAGGAGTCGGACGAGGCCGCCAAGTTCCACGCGCTCCAGTCCAACATCTTCCGCACCTTTGGCCAGCGCGAGCCCACGCCGCCCGTCCTGCGCTGCCGCAATGCCACCCAGACCTCGGTCGTCCTCGAGTGGGACCCCATAGACATCGCCACGGCAGAGCTCCGGAGCTTGACTCTGTACAGAAATGGCAGCAAGGCGGGGACCATACCCAGGCCCACCGAGGTGCACAGCACCAAGCTCAGCGGACTGGCAGTCGACACTGAATACGTCTTCCACTTGGTGCTGAGAACCAGCGCGGGCACATTCAGCAGCGACAAGCTAAAGGTGCAGACACACAAGATGACAGATCTGTCCGGTATCACCATCACCCCTGGCCATATGCCCGCTGCGCTCCGCGAGTCTCTGCAAAGGGACGTTGAGGAAATTGGCGCTAAGCTCGTAGACGCGGTGAGGATTGACACCACGCATTTTGTGTGCACAGAAGGAAGGGGCCCCGCGTGGGAGAAGGCCGTGGAGAACAACATCCCAGTCGTGGTGCCAGACTGGGTGAAGGGCTGCAAGCGGGACGGAAGAATTGTGGGCGTGCGAGGCTACTACCTGAACGCGGATCCGCGATTACGATCAGTGGGCGGAGGAGCCAGTCAGTCACATTCGTCGCAACAACAGCAAGCACCCAGCTCAGTTACCAGCCCGAGAACGGAGATCACACCGCCGACGCCAGACAGACCAAGGCACGAGCCGGATAATGATAACTCGGCACCCCCGCCGCCCCCGCCAAAGGACGTCGAAGAGAAGCGCGAAGTCTCGCCCTCGCCGTCCGCGTCGCCAGAACCCAAAGTCGCAACGGATGAGCAGAAAGTGCGAACAGAGGATCTAAAGCCGACCGCAGACGAGTCAGAAGACGACAGCGAGGACGACGGGCACGCGAGTAGCAACGAGAAGGCAGTCGAGGCGGGTCTGCCGTCGAGAGAAAAGCAGCCGCCGCCGCCCACGGCGGAAGACGATGACGATGACCAGGCCGGCTTTCAGGACGTCCAGCTGTAGTGGGGCTGTCCGATGGCGCAGATGCGGACGGCGGCGCCGCCTAGGGTGGTTGTTGACATTTAGCGATAGGCGCTGGAAGTATATCATCAAGCGGGTTCATGATTGATGTTAATGTCTTGTAATCCTGAGCCGCGCCGGCACACGAGCATCGCGTGAGACTGCTCTGCCGCGCTCGTGCTAATGCAAGCCTTCTTCTCACGTACTTCACCACTATGAGCCCCCTTCTGTGCGATTGCGTAGATCACAACCAAAACGCAGGATGGTAGCTCAATGAGACATGGAAAATGTTAACGTAGTGGTATCTTATACTCCCCCTTGCCCCGCCCCCGCCCCCGCCTCCTCCTCCCCATCCCTCCACTTCTTCCGCCACCACTTCAGCTTAAGCCAATCCCCCAGCCCCTCCTGATCCCTTCTCTCCCCGAACCCCCACGTCCCGCGCCTCCTCACATCAGGACTCGGCGGCGCGTCGGTATCAGAATAGGTTTCGTCCTCCAGGTCCGGATAGTCCAGCAGCGCCGCCTCGCTATGCGCAGGTCTCTTCCCCCGCGAGACGCTGCGATCTCGGGACATACCCAGCCCCGCGCCGTCGAACCACGAGCGCCGTCGCATCTGGTTCAGCCAGGTCGCTGGGTTGTTTTTGCGGCGCGCAGGGAGCGTGCCTGAGCGCGGTCTGCGCCCCAGATCTGCCGAGCGCCTGAGGGGGGAGGGCAGCGTGTCTCTGTCGTTGAGCTCGTTCCAGATCTCATTCGTCTCTTCTGAGATGGTCATTCTCCGTCTGCGCGGAGGTCTGCGGGAGGATGGGCTTGCGCTAGGGCTGTGTGATTGCTTTGAGTGTATGGATGGCCGCTTGTCTGGGCGATGGGTGACTGTGACTGCGGGGCCGGTGGGTGCGCGGGCGAGGAGAGGTGTGCGCTCGTCGATGCTTTGGCGCTTGCGCTGGTCGACGATGGCGCCGTGGAGGCCGGGTTGCTGCTCTTCTAGGTCTGGGGACGCGGGCTCGTCTTCGAGGATGCCGTGAACAAGACCGATGCCGGGTGTAAGAGCGGTTTGGGGCATGGGTACATGGCCTTTGTGGCGTCCTACGACTGGGGAAGAAGGCTCCTCGTCGCTCTCTTCCAGACGCCAACTCAAACAGACTACTCCGGCTAGGAGGATGGCTGTTCCAAGGGCCAGTAGGCCGGCGTGTAGGCTGGTCAATCTGGCGGATTGGTGGAAGTAGATCAAACCGTCTATAATGGCGATGACGTTGTAGACGCAGAAGATGAGGGGATATAAAACGCTTGTGCTGCAAAGCTTCAGTCCGCGGTGCATGTAGTATAGCTGGGTTAAGGCAAAAGCGACGAGGCCAATGAGGATCATCCAGGATTCCCATCGATTGAACTGGTTGTGGCGGTCGACGATGGTGCGGACCAGGAGCTCGACCGCGCTCTTGGCGATCAAGAGGGAGTGGGCAGAAAGTATGCCACTGACACAGCCGAAGAATATGCCACGGACTAGCTTGACGCGCGGTGTTGGTCGGGGGTAGAGGCGCTTCAAGAGCCAGTTCGCGATGATCAAGGCCAGCACAATGACCAGGGTGACAACCATCCACAGTAGGAACTGCGTGCGTCCTAGCAGCTGTAGCAGCTGGTCGAGATTATGGGAAGGTTCGCTTATGGCTCCGAATATACCGATGAGGAGGGCTCCTCCTGCTACGAGTAGGGTCCCGGCCAGAGAGTGCTGTGTGAAGGGCTCGCTCAAGACGACCGACGCGCATATCGAGTTGAAGACGAGGCCGGACTGCGCGCGTTAGTCTAACGGGGCCTTTTGCATGCGGTGGGCGACCTACGGCTTGCAATGTGGATAGTACGGGCAGTGGTAGAGTGGTAATCTGGATGGTGCTGCCCACGATGTTGGCCACTACGAACATCAGCATTCCCAGCTGTGCAAGTCAGCGCCGTTCTTGTCCCCCAAACATGGCATTGTTCTAACCTGCCACCTCCGACGCCGGTAAGGCGGTCGCCGCTCATAGTCGTCGTCCTTCTCTTCCTCGAGCAGATGCGACTTGCGCTGCAGGGTCAGGCCGATGCTCTGAATGCAGGTGGATGCGAGGCCAACGATTACTCCGACCTGTGCAGTGCTGTCAGATACGTGTGCTGTGGTCGACGGCGCGCCCGGGGCAGCTCACAGCAATGCTGGCGCCCGCGGAGAGCTCCACCATGTCGTTCGCGGGGGCTGGGAAGGCGCTGCGTGGCTGCTACCTCGAGCGTAGAGACATGCTGTGCGTGGAGGCGTAGACGGGTTCGTGGGTGCTCGGTATGCGTCCAGCGCAGCGGTGCGTCCGGGTGCGTCACCGTGATAATCGGCGGCAGGCCACGAGACCGAGGATTGGGCGGCCGATGCGCGGGCGGCAGGGATGCGCGGCGTGACGATGTCGGCTGGATCGAGGGCGGGCGCGGTGCAGACGGTGCGCAGAGGAGGCAGTCGCGATGCAGCGTTGCCGACGGCGGGTTCCGCGAGTCGGTGAGCGTGGCAGGTCCTGAGTGTTTGAGGTGCTGGTCCGCTGCTGCTAGCCCATGCCGGCGTAATCGCGGGCGCCCTCGACTGTGGCTTGACCTGACCTCACCTCCCAGGGCCCCAAGTCCAAGCCCAAGTCCAAGCTCCAGCTCCACCACCAGCGACCATCTCGACACCTGCACCCCCGCTGCAGCACCCTCCCGAGCACTCTCGCCAGCACACGCCCCCGAGCCGCCGCCATGTCGCAAATACACGCCCTCTCCGACGACCAGGTAGGCTGTCCCCCCGGCGAGCGCCTGCTGCAGAGCTCCCCGCCCTACGTCAACAGCTGCTAATGCGTCACCGCGCCAGGTCGCCGGCGAGCTGAAGAAGATGACGGCCTTCATCAAGCAGGAGGCCATGGAGAAGGCCAACGAGATCCGCCTCAAGGCCGACGAGGAATTCGCAATCGAGAAATCCAAGCTCGTCCGCCAAGAGACCGCCGCCATCGACTCGTCCTACGAGAAGAAGTTCAAGCAGGCCAGCATGTCGCAGCAAATCACCCGCTCCACCGTCTCCAACAAGTCGCGGATAAGGATCCTGTCCGCCCGCCAGGAGCTGCTCGACAGGCTGTTCGAGGACGCGAGCAAGAAGCTGGGCGATGTGTCCAAGAACAAGAGCAAATACCAGGGCATTCTCAAGAACCTCATACTAGAGGGCGCCTATGCGCTCAACGAGGATAAGCTCCAGGTCACGGCAAGGAAGGCCGACTATGACGTCGTGAAGAAGGCCATTGAGGACGCTCAGACAGAGTACAAGAAGAAGGTGAACAAGGAGGTTGCCATCACGATCAATGAGAGCGATCCATTGCCAGAGGGATCGTAAGTAAATCGATTCACGAGATTGCACAGCACTGACAGGATAGGTCTGGCGGCGTCATTATTGCTGGTACCGGCGGAAAAATCGATATCAACAACACCTTCGACGAGCGACTCAAGATCCTCGAGACCGACGCATTGCCCAGCATCAGGGTCACGCTCTTCGGCGAGAACCAGAACAGGAAGTTCCGCGACTGAGTAGCTTACGAACCGGGGGTGTTTGTTCGACCATCAGAGCTCCAAGTGTTGGCTCTCCAGCGTATGACGGCGGCTCTAGATGATGTTATCCGGCGATATCAGCGTTTCACCAGCTTACGACCTCCATGTCGCATATGCACGTGCGAAGGATTCGACCTGGAAGCTGTTTGTAGAATATCTGGGTGATTAGCGGTCCAATTTGTATACACCAGCTCAGATGTCCATGCAACCTGTGAAACGCTGGCTAACCTCTGTTTGAGAATGAGTGCAGAACTTTTCAACATTGCTCTGGGCTCTTATTTCGACCGAACCACTGGGTCGTTGGGAAATCTCGTCCACCAAGTCCATTATGCCACCTGCGAGATCTGCGGACTTGAAACACATGAACAGTATTATGGATCCGGTTTAAGACGCTCGGTGGAGCCATGCTTCCATCCAACAGAATTACGCGCCTGCAAAACTAGTTTTCGCTAAGATGTCTAGCTATGCACGAAGAGAAAAGTAGATGACGGAACAAAAGAATTGAATCCAGATAGACGCTCACGTCTACAGTGTGGTACAAAAAGCATTCCAGGCCGTTGCCAACGCAAAAAGAATTGGATTGTTGACCGTGCCAGGGGTCGAACCTTTGATGAATCGTTAGTAAGATTGTCTTGTAACATCAGAATTGAGGATACACACCTGGAATCTCTTGATTTACTCCTCGTAGTCAAGCGCCTTGCCATTGGGCCACACGGCCGATTTAATTTGATGATGCATGGGAGCAATACTCAGTATCTAAAGCTTGCAAAACGGGCGAGGGAAAAACCCGGAGGTCTTCGGCGAAAATCCCCGCTAGGAGAACCGGGTTTCTGCTCCCCCAATGTCAGGACCCGATCGATACAAAGTTAGTGCTATTAACACAAACATTCACAAGCAGCCATTGCCGACATGGTGGCATCTGCCCATGAGTACATGTAGTTTCGGCCTTGATTGCGCTACTACCCATGTGGTTAGTCATTTCCGTATCTCATCGCGGATCCTCTTTCAGGCAGTGCAACCTTCCCACTCAAATCGAACTTCATGGACGTCGACTCAAATGCTTCCGTCAACCCGGTCTATGGTGATAAAATAGACGGTAATTCCATTCGGCTCCTCAAATTCTCGCAATCTCAGGATGGCAGACTCACTGGCAGACTAAAGAAGTTCGCGCTTGCCCATGCGCCCCATTTCTACAGTGCCAGTTACACTTGGGGCGCTAAAGCATACTCGGGTACCGTCATCGAGTTGAAGACGGGACAGCTTCCAGTCCTTCAAGGTCTTCTGCCGTTTCTGCGGATGGTCAGTAGACACGAAGACTTTCACGATGAGGATTGGTGGTGGATTGACTCATTGTCCATTAACCTTGCGGATGGACAGGAAAGGGAACAGCAAGTGCAAATCATGGCCGACATCTACAAAAAAGCTAGGAGGGCAATGGTCTGGCTGGGAGAAGAAGTTGAAGACGGAAGCGATTGCACTGGTGCTATCGATTTCCTACACTATCTACAGAACCTGCAGCCTCTGTTCAGCGGGAAAAATGCCGAATACGTACGCAACAATCTCCGTTCTTCGGGTATGTCGGTACAGTGGGCATCAGTCAGCAATCTTTTGAGCCGCCCGTGGTGGACGAGAGTTTGGACCCTTCAAGGTAGGCAGATTGCTTGCCACGTGCAGGGTCAAAATACTGACGAGAATGTTGCAAGAGATGATACTGCCTCGAGAGGTAAAGTTTTTCTGCGGCAATACCTCGATATCCCGCGGCAAGTTCAAAGCGGCCATGTATAGCATATTCCTGTGCAGCGTGGGAGACCGCGACATGGAGGTGGAGCTGATACCACGACAAGCGTTTGATACTGCATTCAACCGGAGAAGAGTGCATCAGTGGCATGTGCATCCAAAGGCTCGCGGCATTGCCCTTGTCGCTGTTCTTGCCTACCTCGGCAATCACTCTGCTACTGATTCGAGAGACAGAGTCTACTCTGTTCTGGGGATCATAACCGCACGAGACCGAAAACTGATAGGCAAACCGGAGTATACGACTACCGTCCAACACCAATACTCAAAACTCGTCAGATCATTCTACGATGAATACCAAAACCTAGACATCTTGTGTTTCTCCCACCTCTTCAGCCGCTATTCCGGCCCAAGCGATCCTGGATACGAGAACGCAGTCCCTTCTTGGGCTCCAGATTGGAGGGTGTATACGGAATTCGCAAGTCCTGTACCGCTCATGGCAAGTCAAAGTGCTAGCGAGCAGCACATAGGGAACTTCAGGCCACTCCATGGACAGAAGTGGGATGCCATGTACGACGCCCCTGGGCAGCGCTTACGAGATAAAGCAGATGTACGCTTCCACGATAATCTAAAGGAGCTGTGGTGCAATGGGGTTATCTTAGACAAGATTGAGAGCGTCGGCGCGCTCGGAGGCTGCGATCCGCGTTGTAGGAGCTTTGTATGTGCCCGAGACGAGCCCCTTCACGGCCTGGTTCAAGGCGACATAAGCATGCACAAGAGGACGTTGGAAAGCGCAGACCTCGTTTCAATACTGACTAAAATCGCCCGATCTCTTGTTCTTGGTCGTCAAGACAAGTATCTTCGCTTTGTCGCCCCACAGTACTACACGTCGGACTTTCTCGTCCTTTGCAACGCCTGTCTGGAGTCTGAAATACTGCCAGAAGATCCTGGAGAGACCGCTATTTCGACATTCGCGACTTGGTTCCGAGGAAATCGGCATCTACGCCTCGGTACTCACACTCTTGAAGAATTGGTGGAAAACATCATCTCCTCTTCGAATCCACCTCTGTTTGATTCCCTGCCTGTTCCGTCCATACACCCCGGCTCTCGTTCAGATCGTCTTCCGATGTACCCACCCAACACAAGCGCAGACGCCAACTCAGACTACGCGGACAACTTTCTGTCTCGTTTCTTAGACACTATCCGCAAGAAGTCGCGGCGGCTGATGGTGACTAACGGAGGTCTTGTAGGCATGGCGCCTTGTAGAGCTCGACCCGGAGATGCTGTCGTAGCACTCTTCGCATGCAGCATACCGCTTGTTTTGAGAAAAGCAGGTGCAAGAGACGGATGGCAAGTCGTCGGAGAAGCTTATGTAGATGGATATATGAATGGAGAGGCAGGACAGCTCATAAAAAGGGGGACGAGTAATATTCATCGATTCCGATTGGTATGAGACGATTGAAGACTCAGACTAAGGCTGGTGTGCATCATATCGAAGCACCTTTCTGGGAAGTTCATTCGCTGCGGCGTGACGGAAAACGTTGCTATGAATGTCATAACGAAAGCAACAAGAGCTGGGACAACAACAATTGTGGCCCGCACAGGCTGGAGCTCTTATCGCAAGGCTCAGAAATTCCATGGTGCACCGTAGTCGCGAATGCTCACATCCGCTACCCGCTGTACCGCACTGCCGCCATCCCAATGCGGCAAAGCAGTCCTGCCAAATGACATCGCTCCATCCGCGTCTCCACCATCAACCACATGCACGCGATGCGTTCCGGATGCCACTTCTGTCGTTCTAGCAAGTAGGTGGCTGCAACTTGCAGGTGTGCGAACCACTCAATTGCCCTGATAACTGCTACTTCTAGTAAGGTGTAAAAATGCGGAGCATAGCGCTTCGAATTGGTCCACTCGTCTAAGATGGACATGTGCGGAGCCGCTGGTTCGTGTTTGAATAAGCCAGAGGTGATGGCAGTACCCGCGGCATGCTTCTGGAGTTGTAGCTGAGGTATAAAATCTCGGCCAGACGTCACTACTATACGATTGACTACACGCACATTCCCTCATTGCTTGCATTTCACGCAGCAGACGTTCAACTCACATCTCAAATCGGGCAAACACGCATACGAAAACACACCATGTCTTCACCGGGCATGCACCACTACCCCAACGCACAAAAGGAGTTCAAGCCCCCGCTCATCGCGAACGAAAATGCATACCTAGGCGACGTCTTCTCGAGGTCCGGGCTCACACACTGCTCTCACCCTTCACCCCACTGACACCCTTCCAGCGATAAGATCAATCCCGACAAGCCCATATCAGCAGGGTTCTACCGACTCGAGAAAGGCACACCCCTCGTATACACCTACACATACGACGAGATGAAGATTATCGTCGAGGGCTCGTTCCACATCTCCGACGAATCGGGCAAGAAAGTCCATGCGAAACCCGGTGAGTTCCTATCATGTCGGTTCTGTTGGATGATAGCTGATTGGGACAAGGCGACGTTTTCTTCTTCCCCAATGGAAGCAAGATCACGTTTACGACGGATGACTATGGGTTGGCGTTCTTCACGGGTCAGAGGAAGGAAGGTGCTTCGTAGGGGCTGAGATTGAATTGAAAGTTGCATGGGTTACGATGTGATCATAGACCTCCCAAGCTGTTGAAAGAGTGCCGTATGATTTGGAGTGTGAGATTACATGTGTGCTTCAAGGCTGGTTACGTCATCTACAGATGGATCTCCTTGGCGCTTTAGAGAAATGTAACGTACACATTGACACATTGCGCTTCTGTGGACCCTGTCAATCAATGCAGAAGTCACGCCGTCGCGACCCTGCCTAGGTGAGAGGCTCCGAAATTAAGGCAAAGATTTCCCTCTAGATTCGACGTCGTCAAACCATCACGAGCCATGTATAGACGGGCTTCTGAACTATAGTACGTCCAAAATCGACTGTTGAAGGTGCTATTCTAAAATCCCTGATACTTCATCCAGACTCTTGACGTAGGAAAGCTCTGTCGATCTGCAGGAATCCATCAACGGTTTCGCTTGTCAAAATCCATAAATACATGTGCATTAAGAACGATGTGGGGTCTACGGGTGTGCGCCGCACATGTGATGAAACGCCGCAGATTACTCAGTCACGGTCATCACAACTACTGACATGGTGCGCAATAGCTTCCAAGCCATGACAAAGCATCATCAATGAGACAAAGAAGCTGCTTGTTCGAGAATTGAGACCTAGAAGCCACCAAGAGCGTGGTTATACCTCCTCCAGCGAGTAACTACACGCGTACGTATGACTTTCCCCAGATCTGCAAAGCACAGCCACAAGCGTGCGTACCACAATCTCCCTAGTTTGGTTCCGCCCCCTGCACCTGCATGAAACGGGCGTTTGACCTTGATTAAACCGGAAACGCAACATGAAGAGCACATCTTCATTTGATGACTGCGCATCTTTCTCGCCGCTCGTTCTGCGCTCCTCCACGCACGCCGAGATGCGGATGGCAAGCCTCGTCGCCTCCTTTCTGTGCTCCATTCCATCCCATCGCTGCACCGCGCGTCGCGCCACTTGACTGAGCACCCGTTGCGCACAGCCTCGCCCGCCGCGCCCTGCCACCCCAGCGACTTGCTAACCTCCTCCGACCCCTCGGCTTGCGCGTTCTTTTCAGTTCTTTCTTTGGCCTTCTCTTCACACCTCATGGCTACAACACTCGTTATGCGCTCGCTGCTGGCGGCGCGTAATCCGTTAGACGATGCCAAAGACACTCTCTCGTCGTGGGACAAGTGCATGGCCAAGAATTACTGCAAGTCAGTAACCAGCGCAACGCCTGGTCCCGTTTCGGTCGGTGGCTAACGGTTGGCAGATGGCCGGTGATTGTCGCTATTATCGTAGGAGGCATCATCGTGCTCTCGGTGGTGCTGTGCATAGCGCGCTGTGTATGCTGCGGCGCGGAATTGGCATGCTGCTGCTTTAAATGCTGCACTTGCTGCTGCCCCTCGGGCGGAAGATCAGGCCACAAGCGTGTGAAGACACCTCCGCCCCGTCCATACGATGCCTCAGCCTACTCAGGGGGCCTACCTCCCGCGCCTGTCCCCGTTCCTATGGATACGCGGCCGCCGCAACAACAGTACCGATCGCACGCCGCTCCTACCTTTAGCCCAGCGCCAGCGCCTACATTCAACCCCGCGCCAGCACCTTCTGTGTCTTCGTACAACACAGCACCCAAGGCCGAAGCGCCTCAGTTTGCCAGATTCGACGCACACGCGCCACCAGCCAACGAAGACGCCCTGCCTGCGATGCCGAGCTGGAGAGACGCGAGGACTACGCATGTTGAGGAGGAATACATTCCCGAAAAGCGGGACGACGTGGAGATGGACAGACTAGATCAGAATGGAAGCGTGGCGGGGACATCCATGGCAGCGGTAGCAGCTGGCGGGGCGGCACGAAGGTCCCCCGGTCCCGCAAGATCTCCAGTGCAGCGCCTCCAGGCGGAAGAGGGGTACGGGGACCCGCAGGGTTATCAGGACGGTTCTTATGCGAACAATGCGCCGCGACGCAGTCCCTCGAATGCGCCGAGCGGTTACAGCAGTGCGTACAGTCAGCAGGCGGATGGTTACCGCGGTGCGTCGCCGGTAGACCAGTCGCTGTCTCCTGCTCCACTATATGGTGCCGGAGCCGGCTACGCGCAGAACAACCAGCAACACGACCGCCGATCACCAGGCCCGGGCTACAACGGCTCATCTAGACGCTCGCCTGGTCCCGGCTACGACCAATATGGCCAATACGGCCAACAGCAACAGCAGCAGCCGCAACAGTACGGCCAGCAGCCGCAACAGTACGGCCAACAAAATACCCGACAATCACCTTTCCCGCTAAACACCAACAACTACGGCTACACCACCAACAACCCCCAGTACAGCCCTAGGGACGTCTCGCCCGTGACTCCCAGCAATGACATGTACAACACTGGAGTCCCGGCCGCCCTCGCTCCCGGTCGCGATCCATCCCCAGTGTACGCTCCGTCAGGCTCAACGCGATTCGAGCCCCCTGCACCATCGGGCTCCCCTGCGCCCGCGTATCCCGGACAGCAAACATACGGGGCTACCGAGGCAGCCCAGCCCGCACAGACGCCGTATAGAGCGTATACGCCCGCGCAAACGCAGGATCCGTATGCCGGGGGCGTGCCAAGGAGACCGGTGGATGGATCTTGGAAGGAGGTGTAGATCTTGCCAGCAAGCATTTTAGTACGTGCATAGCGACGGCGTTAACGGATTCTTTGCGTATTCCCATGGTCTGGTTTGGGCTGGCTATTCGCCTTTGCATCAGCCGCGTCGAATTATTTAGATGTCACATAAGGGCCGGAAGTAGGATTTCTTTTCTTCTTGACTCAAAAGCACGCTGTTGCTGATTTGGATACCTTTTCTACAATTACCATCCTCGTTCTTTTCTCCGTGACCGTTCCAATGGCTATGGGGAAGAAGGAACCACTATCAAACTCTAGCAACTAAGCAGCAAAGTAAAACTTTCCGGTGACGAAGAATCTGCTTGCATGTCGAGCGTTTGATATCGTTCTTTATCATTGGAGGGAAGCGCAACACGCGTTCGAGCGCCACGATGTCCGGGATGGTAGCTTTTGGCGCAGGTCGACTCGAAGTTTGGAATTGCCAAACGCTTGAGAACATAGAGGTTAGCTACTCCATCCTTCCCCAAAAGGCCGAGTTCGAAAAGCATATGGCCGCTGTCGGCGGACAACTCGGCGTGTACTTTGATGGTTCCAAGCATCCCGTCAGCGCAATCAGACTTGGATCTAGCGAGGATAGCAACTAACAGTGCGGTGATAACTAAGAGAAACCTATTACGTGGGACCACGAGGTTAGGCGCAGTTGGTGGCTAGGCGGGAGCAGGTGCGATACAGGAATATGTTATACTCACCTCATAGGCGGCAGTGGCACGTCCGCACGTTTGTTTCAGCAAACAATTACCTTCGTCTGGCTAGGTATGAATACACAATGAAATAGTGTCTTTTCTTCCGCAATTGTAATGCCGAACATGAACGCCTAAATGAGTGATTCGAGCTATAGATAGACTATTTGATGCAAATCAAAGTTATAGTAGCCCTAACACAAGTTAGAATGATTACGAGTCTAGGAGCACAGTTTCCAATTTCTCGCCTGAGGACCTAGCCCGCTCCCTGGTGTGCTTTTGCAATACCTCCTACCTTTCTGTTTCTAGTAGCATGTTTATTATCTGCTCCCTATTCCGCCCACCTAGCATATGCTTACGGGGAGCCTAAGGATGGAGGGCTAACGTAAAGTAGCAACGAGGGTAGGGTGGGAAGCCAAAGCCAACAGGTGAGGCGTCTTAGGGGTAAGTGGTGCTATGCATTGCGCGCATGGACATAGGTATTGCTAATAAATGTAAACCCCGTCGAGGTCATGTTACATATTGCATTGGTCTCAGCGCACAATTGCATATCGCCATAACATTTCAACACTAGAAAGGAGCATCGCCGTGGAATTTAAGGTGTAATATTATACTTCGAAGTCACTCAGAACTACTCAACCACAAGCCTAGTATGTGGATCCCATCTGCAACCTCCTTGTTCCCAGTATTCATCCAGCTTCCCGCAGAGCCTCAACTCCGCATCCTAACCTTCTGTTCAACACTCACTATGTATCAGACGATGCATACCTCCATGCTTCGGACTGAAGCCAAAAAAAGGTTGTGAGCAGATCCAAAGGCTTACTATCTTATCGAGGCGTCCAGGATCTTTGGAGGTGGAATCTGGAGGCTGCAAGCGGACTACGCTTCCCGTTGCGAATAACTGGCACCGGGTACGTTATCGACTCGCAGACGGCGGCGGATGGGAAAAATCATCACATGCGGTTTCAAGCGCAAGACAATCCTCATGCCCCCTAAAAGATTCCATGGCCCAGTTAGCGAATTCGAGCGACTTCAGTATGAAAGCAGTAGGAGCAGCATAGTGCTGACTTGGTGATAAAGTTTCAGTGTGACGTATTCCCTGAGGCACTACGATGTATTTTCGAAGAACGCAAGAATGGCTTAGAACAAGAGGGGAGAGTGGTAGCGAGAAAGGCAAGGAAAAAATACGTCGGTTGGAATAAGGGAGTGAGAAGAGAAAAGAGATGGAGCATGGATGGTTATATTGATTATAGAACGATGAGGCATGGTACACAGGAATGAAGGGAATAAAGAGTGAGCTTTGGAAATGGGTTGCTGTCCTCATGGATCGGACGTGGGTTAGACAGTAATCGGGAGACGTGTTTCGTAGAGAGTGTATCTGCCTAGAGCTATATAGGCAACTATATTCTATCCCAGGGCGGTAATTACAGTAAGGCTGACTGGAATTACTGCCGACGTTTTCTATCGTAGGGCAGTATATGGAGTGTGGTCTCAGTCTAATACACTGGCTGTTCTGAGATATTTTGGCTCTATCCTAAGGATGGAGGTAGGGTAAGACGGCGACGGAGAGAAAGGGGAGGAACAATTGGATGTTTTCTACATGGGAACACGTCATGAGGGCGGAACGAGATGCAGAGCCGGAGAATTGTGAGTAAGGCGGTCCTGATAGTACTGACCGAGCCGAGTGCGTTTGACAAAGGGTAAGGATGATCTTAAGGCTGACTGAGCGAATAGATTGCTCCTTTCAGAAGAGTACAGTAACATGAACAACAGGCTAAGAAATGTACGGCTAGCACAGGAAGAGGACATTGTCAGTAGCAACGTTAGAATCAAGTCACAGAGGGCCTCGCTGCACTGCTGGCGATTCTTGTTGGTTTGATGATGTTGATATTGATGTTCATATCTAGACTCTAATAGAGTCCAGACGAATAAGTAAGAATTACAGTTTTTCAAGGCAATGCCAGACAAACACAATGGCCTTGTCAGCTTGTAGAGATCCCCTAGTTTAAAATATCTATGCTACTAAATCAAAAATGAACAGCTTGATGCAAGAGGGTCTTTTGGCTTCAACATAGGCTATACCCGTGCTGATGGAGAGAAGCCTAGAAGCAAAAGCTGAAGAAAAGAAATCGGGAAGATGAATATGAGACATAAAAGAGTGTTATCCAGAAAGTGTTCGTTAAAGTTACTAGACCAAAGGGTTCGTTCGTCTTCAAATACTTGACAGAATGCAAGTACTCATCTAGCCGATTAGGTGTAAGGAACTTCTTGCCTGAAACGCGCAGTAACTGTTGAGAACAGCTGCACAAGTACTCACTAGTGGTTGCGCAAACCGAGACAGCGAAGTTATCATGATCACCTGCGTTTGGATGTATCTCTCGTCAGTGGCGTAGTAGTGCAATATGTGACACAGGAATGCAATCGACAGCCCGCGCTGACCTAGGAAACAGCCACCCATACACTATTACCATAGAGACTAGGAAGTCTTTCACACCCAATCCCATCACGACTTCGTGTCGGTCACAAAACCAATCCATCCCTAAACAAAACTATTTATTATTCATCCACCACACCGCAGTTAGCAACACCCCTCTCTAACCACAGTCCATGATTCATCACCCCACCAAACGCAGCCCCTCGCATCGGCTGCCCATCCAGACGCTCGCAAACCCACGGTACCCATCGGCGCTTCAACCTTCCGTCGCCGACCCAACCTACACCGACCACGGTACACACGCCCGCCACCACCACGCGAGCCCACTCAGAGGATGTTCGACAGGTAGATGCTAACCCAAACCCCAACATGGCGACCCAGACATCCTCTCGCGCTCCCTCCCGCCCGATGGCGCCGCTTACTGCCTACGGCCGCGGTGCGGCCCCGCACCGCACCTGCACGGAACGGTACGGCTTCCACTTTGCGGTACGGTACGGTGGAGATTGCCGCCTGGACATGCCATGACATGACACCTGACAGGGCATGACAGACGTGTCGGCGTGGAGACTCGACGCGAGGAATGCAATGCGAATGGAACTGCATGGTGCAGTGGTGCACTGCAATCCGACGCTCGCGGCGAGTCGCGGCGTCATCAACGGCGGCGTCACAGCATGTGGGAAACTCAGGGGACATGTGCGAAGGGCACGGCGAAAGTACGCGTGAAGTGTAGCGTGAAGTGTAGTGTCTGTGGTTTTGCATGTGCTGCACGCGGGCAAAGGGAAATGCGCCAGCGGGCTCGGAGCATTGATGAGATGCCTGTGACCAACAGTCGTGGTTCCATACCAAGCGTCTTACTGTGCAATTGCTCCGACGCAGTTTTCTAACGTGATGTGGTTATCTTAGGATGCAATGTCTCAACAAGGACGTGTCAGCTTGCTTTGCTGTACGAGGATTCATAAGGCGAGGGCCAGACTTTGTGGCCTGAGGATTGTAAGCTTGGGCAGGGGATATCCTTGCACGAGAGAGACCGCAATGAAGGCAGCGCTGAATAAGCCTTGTGACACATGCCGTGGGACTTACATTGTTCTTGTTGAGCAAGCCAGAGTTACAGTTTGAGGGTGAGCGGTGTAGGAACTGTATCGCATGCATAGCAAGTTTCGTCTGAGTGAATGAGTGAGTAAGTGAGTATGTAATTGCATTGCACACCCTCTCCTATCCTCGCAAGCAAGAACAGAACCCGCCAACACACTAGCCTATCAAACTTGCAAAGAACCATCCAACCAAAATTGCCAAACCAAGATACGTAGACGCAGAGGCAGTTGCAAAAGCAAACTAGCAGCAAAAGACCACCCAAATCATGACTAGGAAAGGACAGTGCTATCCCCCCAGTGACTAAAAGAAAAACGCAAGCATAACAGCGCAGCAGACAAATTGAGATGACTAAAAAAAAAAAAAAAAAAAAGCAAGACGGAACGAGGAACTGGGAATCTCAAAGAGCACAAACAACCACTGCCGAGCACCAAAGCTTCGGGCCCCATAAGCACCAGTGAGATGCAGGATGTTCCCCTTCTAAGATCGTTTTTGCGCTTCAAACCAAAGAGAGAAAAAACTTCAAAACCGGACCCGATTTCATACGTATCGATCGCAAGGCACTGGTAGATAGAGACTCCGCCCTGTGGCCCATATTAAATATTCCCACCTTCTGCTGAAAGACCTGTTGAGTCATCATCCCGAAATCGAAGGCTTTAATGTTCCGCGAGCGGGAGACGTTATGGAAGAGATGGACGGAGATCGAGGAGAGCGTTTCGAAAGGGCGTAACGCAGGCGCAGGTAGAGACCCGGAAATTCTTGGAAACGTGTGCTGGGAAGCAAAAGACGACCGCCCATATGCGTCGATTCCAGTCCGTAAGATTATTGGGGAGATGCCACGGACGGGAGGACTTGACATTATACAGAAAAAGGAGAGAAAGTCGTGTAAGACGAAGAAAGACGCTATGCTGGCAGAATCGACTCGCACAGAAGCCAGTTCTGGAGCCAGATTCGATGCTGTTCAGTCCGCCTACATGGGGCGGCGGTTAAGCATGTTCAGCATATTCGAGTCGGTCGAGCTACGTCCGTTTCCGCTGTCACTGACAAGGTCGTTGATGCGCATGCCGGGCCGGCTAGCAGGCTGCGAGTTGGGCGGAGGGGTGGTGCCGTCACTTCGAGGAGGTAGCGGCTGCAGGCTGCCGTTTGTTTGCGGAGGCGGATAGTAGGCGGTGCCACCCGGAGTCGTGGGAGCCTGGGACGCGTGCGGCGATGAGGATGCGCGACCTGCTTCATAAGGATATGCGCTGGGCGGAGACGTGCGCCGGGGAGGTTGTGGCGCGTAATACGGCTGCTGACCATGCGGAGGCGGAGCGCTAGAATAAGAGGCAGACGAGGTCGCTGGAGACGCGGCGTTAGGAGGTTCTGGATATGAATATTCCGGTCCAGCGCCGCGATGAGCGGGCTGTGAAGCTGCTGAACCTGGCCTCGGGGGAGGCAGGGTTGGCGTGTGAGGCTCAGGGTTGGGCCTCTTTCTGCCATTCAGCGCATCACGGCTCGCGTCATCATATGGGGCAGGGGGACCATAAGCAGAATGAGCTTGGTACGGACCTGGAGGGGGACCTGTGGGACTGGGCAGATAATTGGGCGGTGGCGGCGGCGCACTTTGCTGCTGGCGTGGCGGCTGGGCATAGGCCTCGCCGTGTTGCGACGGTGGCAGTGGCTGCCCGTACGCACCGTACATGGGCGGAGGCTGTCCCACGCCGCGCCAAACCGTGTGCGCAGGCACGAAAGCCTGTGTCTGGGCCGAGACAGGCGTAAAGATGCAGTCCTGGTTGAAGCGCATGCAGTTGGAGCAGCGGCCGTCGTCGGTAGCTTCAAATCCCGAGCAGCGGATCTAAATCGAGTGAGAAATATGGTTGAGGCAGAGCATTTCCAAACCTTACCTTGCGTCTTCTGCAGTAGCGGCAGGCAATGGCAGTTCGCTGGCGCGGAGCCGGCGGCTGGTGATGCTGGTTCATGTAGCCTGGGGGAGGCTGTTGGGCCCTATATGGGTCGGGCTGGGGAGGAGCCTGATTCCATTCCCCAGGCCCTGGGAGACGGTAGGGTTGCTGAGGCTGGTGATGGTGCGCCGCCATGTCCGGGCGATGATCTCGTGGTACCTGTGCCGGGGGAGGAGGGAGAGATGTGTTCATCTGTTGGCGGCGGCAGTCAGTATATGAGGCTTCGGAGGAGTGGGCCCAGGCCCAGCTGGTGTGCACATGACTCCGACTTACATGAGGAGGCGGCGGGTAGGAGCCGTGGGCAGGCTGCTGCGAGGTCGGGGGCTGCCAGTGCGTGGGGAGCTGACCTTGGCCACCCTGGTGAGGGAACATGGCGACGGCGGCGGAGAGGGCGGTGGTGGTTTTAAAGGTGGCCTTGCGGGGTGCTGGCCGTCACGCAGACCATGAACCAGGGGAGGCGAGTTGGGGGTGTCGTTGGTTGGGGAGCTGTGGTGGTGGTGCGGGAGATTGTCTGGCGCGGAGGGCGCGGTCGCACAGGTTCTAGCGGGCCGCGACGACGGCTGCAAGTCAGAAAAGCAGGCAGTGCAGTGCAGACGCGAGGGTTGGGTGCGGCAGGCCAAGGGATGGGGGGGTTGGGTGCGGCGTCGGACAGCAGACGCGGTGCAGTGCGGTGCGGTGCGGCGCTCGCAGACGTTCTCGAAGGCGCGTGGAGAATGTTGCGCGTGGAGAAAGAGGCGCGGATGGGAGACCCAGAGGATTGGAAACGAAAGGGAGGAGAGGGTTGCGGCGGGCGGGCGATTACTTTACTATTCCGCGCCCGAACTCCCAAAGCGGCGCACGGACTGGGATTTGTGCCTGCTCTGGCACGCTGCGGGCTGCTGGGGCCGCGCTGGGCAGAGGCGGATCGCAGAGCCAGCCGTGCTCTAGCGCGAGGGCGAGGGCGACGGCGACGACTGTGGAGAGGTGCAGCGCGCGAGCGCGGCAGGCCGGACGGCAGCCAGGGACGCACGCAGGCGCAGACGCCGACGCAGCACGACGAACAGCCGCGGGCAGCAAAACGTGCGCCGGCACGAGGAGCCTGTGTGCAGCGTCGCACCGTGCCGCTGTGCTGCGCAGCGGCTGCAGCGCTCTGCTTCGGGCGGCGGCGTGCTGGGGTGCGCGACTGGGCGGGCATGGGCAGCGCAGCAGCCCAGCTCCAGCAGCTCGAATGGCGTTTTGTGCGGGCCGAGCGAGCCAAGCTGTCCGGGAAGACACTTTTGATGCGGGAGTCGCCGCCGCCCCTTGCAACATGCACGCGAGAGGCCTGCACGATCCGCCTAGCCTCGCTGCGCCAAACCGCCCACCGCCCACCGCATGCCAGCGCCCACCGCAGCAACCCAGGCCTGCCACCGCCGACGTCCCCGTCCACATGCTGGATCCACCCTCCGCCCAGACTGCCTGCGGGCTCGCCGGCGACCACTCGCCGCCGCTGCGCACCATGCGCGCTTCCACGTTGCTGCTCCACCCCTCACCCGTTCGCTCAGAGGTGTGCGCACCGCCCAGGGCCCACACCCGCCGGCCGCTCCCACGCTGCTGCCCTGCTGCCCTGCTGCCGGCCGCCATCCTTCTGCCCTACCTCCCAACCTGCTGTGCGCGTCGTCGCGTGGTGCCGTCGGCCTGCCTGCTCCGTCCATTCTGCCCGTCTGGGCGCCGTCTCCGCTCGGCCCTTCGCACACGCCCATCCTGACCCCCAAGATGAGGATGCGCGACGGCCACCTGGGCCACCTGGCCTCCGAGGCCAACCAGCTGCGTCCCGCTCCCTGGGCGGCGGGTAGCAAGGGCCGCATGGCAAGTAGGGCTGCACGCTCGTGCGCCGTCGTGGCTGCACAGGCGGTCATTTCCTGCTGCCAGCCGTGGCGCCGTGTTGGTGTGCGCCGCCGGCCAGTGACGTGAGCGCCCGTCTGGAAGCTCCGCTGCGTGACTCGGTTCGACTGCCGCCAGAGCACCAGAAGTAAGCCGGTGAAGCAATAACAGCTGGCCGCACTCCGCCTGTCGCAGCACTGCGAGCTAACGTCCGCACAGCTCCCACTGCTCAGGGGGCGCCCCAACGTTGGAGCCCTGTTCCATGCTCGCCAGCCGTGCTGTTTGCAAAACTTGCGCGCCGTCGTGCGCTTCTGCTGGGGCACAGCTGCCAACCGCCGCCCGGCTCGAATCAGTGCGACAAATCTGACATCCGCCGCCCATCCTGACCCTGGTGCCGGCGCCGGCTTAGGCAACGCCCTTCCATGGTACAAAGGTAAGCCTGCGAACCTGCTCCTCATTCGCCCGCGGCCGCCGTCGCCAGAGCTCGCGACCCATTTAGAAACGCCCTAGGCACATCGCGGATCGAGGCCTCGCAGCCCGTCGACAGCCGTGACGGCGAGGGACATGTCGTCTCGCCTCGCCTCGCCTCGCCTCGCATCGCCGTTGACGGTTTGCGGTAGGCTAGCAGTGCTAAGCTCGGATCCCAGGAGAAGGTTCAGCTAGCGGGGATCGGCGGGGATCGGCGGGGACGCAGCAGATGTGATGAAACCCCAGCCGTTGGCCTCCCACACCTCCTTCTACCGCCTGCGAGACGACGAACTGCTTGCGAGTCTGCGTGCTCAAACAAGTGCCATGCGCTAGCTGCCAGGCCATGGCCCAAGCCGATGCACGCTGACGGCCCGCTAATTGACCTGGTGTGCAGCTGTGACAGATGGCCTCGAGCCGCGCCCAATATTAATGACGCCCGCCCTGCATGCTGAACTGAATCAATAATCAATCACTCGGTGAAGCGTGTGCTCGCGAGGCCAAATTGTTGCGCGGCGAGTCGGTGTGCGACGTGTTCCTTGCATGAGCCGTGCTGGACGCGGATAAATCCTCAGAGAGAACTCTCGCCAGACACAGCAAAGCCTGCTGGTCAGGAGGTCATGAGACGTGCCACCGGTCAGGCGTCGTGTTCCTCTGCTCAGGAATCGTCGCGCGCAGCCAGCTGCTAGTGCAAGGCCGAGCAGACGTTATTGACTGCCACACCGCAGCGCGCCCATCACGAGCGTGGCGCCCCGACTGCATCTGCCTGGTGGGGACAAGGGACAAAGGACATGGGACAGGCTTCGCATCGAAGCAGCCCTGCCCTGCGAGACGGACGAGCAATCTGTATGTATGCCTTCGCCGGACGGCGCTTCCGCAACGAGCAATTAAACACCTGTCAGCCGCCTCCCGCTAGCCCGTCGTGTAGCTGTCGCCGGTACGCGTACCCACGAGGCTGCCCGTCCTGCTGCCACGATCCGACGGCGAAGCTCGCATCGCGTCTGTCTGGATGAGAAGGGCAGTTGAGCGTTCCAGCGCGCCGTTCCAGGCGCGGAAGGCGCCTCCGCCATTGCTGTCTCCTACCAGCCCGGCGGATTCCAGCGTCATCACTGCCGGCGGGACAGGCGGCACGGATGTCCTCCGCGAACGTGTTCCTGAACAAGCAACTCGTCCTGAAACATTGCTGCAATCGGTGGCACGAGATCACGGGCCGGCACGGGGGTCAGACAGTGGGCTTTGGATGTGCGAGCCTGGCAGCGCCGTCTCCGCAGGCGCAGTCAGATTAACGACAATTTGTGCTACACAGGGACGGGAAGACTGGGGTTGGCCGTATGCATGGGGCCAAATCCGACTGCTACAAGACGCAAGCAACCTCGCACCAAGGCCTGCGCCTAGCGCGTCCCCGTGTAGACGAGCGTACTGCTGCGTCTCTCTGTCTGCAGCTTCATACAAGCACGGAAATATCCTGCGCAGCATCCAGAAGCCGACACGACATGGCCGTCGAAGCCCGGAACTGTGCCACCACCAACATGCGGACAGCCACCTGAAGTGGTCACGACGCAACCGTCCATGAACACTGCGCTAAGGAGACGCGTGTAACTGGCTGAAGAGCATCAACTGACCGATGGATTGAACTTCGCATACTTTCTCGTAGTCGCGCATATATCAATAGTCGCACGCCGCGAGGCCGCAGACATCACCAGCTGCTGTTGTATGCAAGGAATTTTATCCCCCGCAGTAGCGCACTCTATCGCGAGACACCAGAGGCACAGTATAGAGGCCGGACGAAAGGTGCTTACCGCCTCGACAGGATTCCCCGCTCCGTCAGCAGGCAATATTCTCCTAACAAAAATGGCCCCAGAGACGTCGCACCACGTCGATCAAGCGCGATACCAGGCGTACCGCGAGCATGCAGCGGGATGATCTGGGAGCCTGTGCCGCTTGGAGACGCGCCCAACCTCTGGAAAGCGGGACGGCATTTGCTCTCGAGCTCAAATGGTTGCAATTCTAGCGCTTGTGTTGCTAGGATTGGCCAGGTCATAACAATTCGACCTGTCATTCCAGCGTGATTCGCCAGGTCACCAGCACCAGTTAGCGATCGGTGTGCTGCTAGAAACCGAGTCAAAACGCGGCATGCGCAAAATTAGGCCGCGCCCACACACCGCCGTTCGTGACGGAAAGAGCCTTCATCTGCTGATATGACCAGGATGGCTGCAGCAATACCGATCTTGGAAGCCACCGGGCGGTGCTGCGCTTGTTCTTCCTTCTGTTGGCTTGTCGCGCCGAGCTGAACGCTGACGGAACATCCCCCATCCAGTGTAAGCTACTTTTCGCTTCCCTGTATCACCAAATGAAACACGTCGATACGGGCACCAGCCGCGCGGCGAAGAAGCGGCGTGGTATCATGAGTTCTTTCGGACGCGGGTAGCCTGGTGTGGGCCTGCGCTGAGCCAGAGACGACACCCATGCACTCGAACGAATTGCGGCCCCGGCCCGTCGCGGCTTGCTGCTTGTGACATACAGGACAAGGGTTCAGTGGAGAACACTCCTTCGGATGAACTGGCCGGTCTTTAATAGCAACTGATGGTGATATTCCGCACCTCCTGCAATGTCATCGCATCAATAACCCCAGCTAGCGGCCAGGCATATACCGTGAACGCAATGGAAAGCGCGATCAGCCCACCTGTCTGCGGTCCTTAGGGCCGCTCGCGAACGCGATCGAGCTGGCAGCGCGCCAGGCTAAAGGACGCGGCCCGCCATGTGTTGGACTGAGGGCCGGGGTTCTCGTGGTCACCGCGCATCCCTGACGGCGCGACTAAGCGCCACCGTGCGACCTGGGCAATCCTTGGGCTTTGTTTTAGTAGATAACGTGACCTTTTCTTCATGCGGGACTAATGCAGAACTTCGTTTGATTGCCTCGCTTCGCTTTCCAGTCAGCGCCACTGCCGACACGCCTTCCCTTGGCTGCAGGCGTCTATTGGCGCTTGCGTCCTGGCCGCGCTCCCGTTCCACCAATCCCGACATGTTTGGACGACTTCCCGGTGTGAGCGAGCGAAACCTTCGCTGAGGCGTTGGGCTTCTGCTACGCCGCAAGCGGACATATAACCTCCTCAAGCGTCGTTGCCATCCACCTCGCTAGCGCTCTCCTCACCATTTTCCTCGCTCGAGTCCGAGGAATCTTCGTCTGGCATGACGACACTGTTGAGGTATGTAATCTGCAACCGTACGTTAGATAGTTTGTGTGCGGGACGGGCAGAAACACAGGACTAGCGAGTCCTTCCCCACCTCTGACCGCGCCGATGCAGCCACGGGCGGGTTAGGTAGGCTGCAGTGCCAACGCACACGGTGCTCATTCTGTGCGAAGAGTGACCGATTTTGACGAGGGTATCCCTTCGCCTAAATGGATCACTCCCAACCCGTTTACGCAGGTAGTTTCGACACAGCGCGGAGTGGGTGAGACAGAGGCGTCCAGTCCGTGAGCGTACCGAACCCCAGTCAGCTTTACACGGCAATCGATACAACGATAAGTTGATCTAAAACTGCACGCGTATTGCATGTTCAAGACTAAAAAGCCTGGCGCATTGTGGGAGCGTTTTCAAACGTCTGAGTCGCCTGAGTCGAGTGAGAATATGACTTACGAAGGGAACCATGCAGCCGATTATTTCAGCGATTCGGTCCAGACCATTAGCCCCTACAACTTCATTGTCGGAGAGTTTGGTACCGAGCGTGAAGTTTCGGAGTCTCAGGAGATCGATGTCTTTGTGATCAGAGTCATATCCCTGAACGAAACATCGTTAGCGTTGCGGCTCCCTGGGGGTGATTCATGCAGTGGCATAAGCGGCAAGAGGCGAGCAGAGAGATCTTGACGGGGCCGCCAGCGGGGTCCTCTGATAGTCGCTGTTTCGCGCTCTAATGTGGAAAATTCCACGACATCCTGAGACTGTTGGCGGGCCATCCTGACTATGAAATCGCAAGGCAGTCTCGCAATCTTTCGTGCATAGCCGCCGGAGACTGGAAGGAGGCGCGGACATCCGCAAAGTTAAGTTGGGCGTTTCCCTTCTTCACCGATCAAGTGAACAACCTTGGCCACCACCGCCGCGCCTCAAGGACGCTTGCAAAACGAATATGCGCCACCATTAGGGAAGAGGTTCCGTGGCCCGAAGTAAAGCGCCGGGAACAGAACTGCTATCGCCCAAACTAAGTGGCCTGCACTCAGTATCGAGTCTGCAGGTGCATTGTAGGCGTGTTGCGTGCATGTTGCGGCATCGAGGTGCGCATGTGAGATTCTGCCCCGTCCTTTGTTCTATCGACGGGAGATCCACGATATGGTGCTAGGATCGAGTGTCGGTGCTTGGTACCGAGTGATCAATCCATTGTCGTCCGTCTCAATTCACCGAAGAGTGATTTCGTACAGGCGATCTGTCATCGATACCGTCCCGGGCCTCCCGAGACGTTGCAAGCGATGTGACGTATCGATTGCTGTCACCCATGGCTCGCCGCGCCTGTCTTCACTCTGCTTGCTCTCTGGAAGGGACTCACCTTTGGATGTTTCTTGAGAGCGTTCGATCGATTACTAGACTGATTCGTGAACGCCTTCACGGCTTTCTTCTCATCTTCAGGGATACCGCCGAGGAATGACTTCCGAATGTTGGCGTCTGTCAACACGCGCTTGATCTTGTGCGGCTTCCTGTCAATGTCCTGACGCAGCGCGCTCAGCGACCGAGCATCCGGCATCCACAAGCCCCCACCTACAGATCGTTAGCGGGGATTCCATCTTATGGTCTAGGAAGTGCATTCTATCTAGAGCGCCATCACATGAGCTCTGGCGGGCACTTCGAGTGCCGGGTCTGGCAGATCACTGGTGACTGGAGTTCAGAACGAGCAGCACACACCCGCACAAAAGCGCACCCTCGCAAAGACCATCCCTAATGGTCACACCCCGACACGGTTATGGAGGATTCATACAGCGCATGGCACATAGACATGGCCTTGAAATGGGGCGCCGTCTTCGTCGTCATTGATTGCCCCTTAAACGTACGAGAGGGAGCCCCTGAGAAGACCCCGCTGCCGCTGCATGGCATTCAACCAGGCGAAGATGCATATGATTCCCGACTGGAAAAGATCCAGGCTACTGTCGTCAACTCGCGCTGAAAGCCGTGGAATGTTGTATCGGGTGCCTCGAGACGCTGTTGGCCTGGGAGTCTTTGGCGCGGTTGCATTGTGAGATCCGAATCTTCAAACGCGGAGCTTTGATACATCTCTGACCTCATCTGCTCATACATAGGTCGTTTATGTATCCAAGATGAGGTCTTACGGAAGCGCTGTCGCAACTGAGCTCCTCCGAAACAACCGAACCGACCTGAACGTCCGCTGCGGATGACCATACGCATACCATCGTGCTCTCGTTCAGACATGGTTGCGCTGAATCCAACACTCGCGAGGTCGTCGAAACGATGAGTCTCAACACAATCGTACCTGTCCCTCGTACATATCCCTGATATATCGACCTCGAATGACCAGTCAAATATTAAGGCATGAAGCGCAAGGTTGTTGCAGACAGAGAAGCTTAGTGTCGCTAAGTGCACATACACCGGATAGACTTCTTCGCACTATTGTCCTTCCATCATCATAGTGGGTTGGGCATACACCGTGGAATCGCTTTGCGGTCGGCAAAGGCAACAGAATGAGCATGCCTGGATGTCGAACCACACAAGGTATTGTTTCCCGGCCCGGATTGGTTGACTTCTTGGCAACATGAACAAACGCAGTCGACCAGTGGCCACTTTCTCAACGTACGTCGAATGAGACTTGTGTTTCTAGATGTTCCAGGCTAGTTGCGCGCTTGTCGAGGCGTCGGAGAACTCTCCCGCGTTCAGCACGTGGCTGGTGCATACGCAGGCTCCAACCGAGAGGGCGTGTGCGACGAAATTGTTGTTACTATGAGGGTGTGACGGCGCGTAGTATCGGACCGGCAAAGCCGCTGCATGTCTTGCGGTACTCGTACTCGTGTCGATAACAAGTGTAGCGTCGTAACGAGCATGTTGTACCACGCCTCGTGTTGCGAACCATCACATGAATGTGTCCTACAGAAAGATGCAAGGAAAGATGTAGCACTTACCAACAAAACTCGAACCATTTGGTTGGATTTGTACGTAGTAAGCTGCATATGGTCCTTTTCGTCCCGTGCTACACAAAAGGGTACAGCATGAGCAAACGGTGCACACGGCAATAAAGGTATTTGTAGGCGAGGATTACCACCTAAGCGGTCCTCGTGATCTCTTCAGGGCTCGCACTTACCGACTCCATGCTGCAGAAAAGTGTGTCTAAAAAGTGCGTTAGCGCATCAGAAATGTCACGTAGCCATGCAAGGTAACCTCGTCTTGCCGCTGAATATTGCTTACCTTGTAGGGGGTTTGGTCTTTCGAAAATCTGACATCTGATTGATTTAGTATCTCTTACTCAGACGCTCTCTTTGTTGCTTACCACGATAAATACGAAAGATCTACGATTCTCAGTATGCTATGCGTTTCAGGGCGAGGCTTTTTACAGGGTGACTCACAATATCTTTGACGGGAAGCTCAGGGATGGTTTCGTCAGCTTCAATCACTTTCTCAGAGAGGCTTTCAAGGAATGTCGTGAAGTCTTGGAGCGAGGTTCGATAGTCGGCGTCGTGTGCTACGTCAAGTTTAGCGACAGTTACGTAGGCGTGTGCGTGCTCCAAGGTGGGCCCAAAACACTACTGCACATGAAGCTGCAGCTGACGCACCTTTCAGCCATTGACGATCATTGTGGGCGGCTAAGTCGCTGAGGAATAGCATGGTGTTGGGGTGAATGGTCTCGTTCGTGAAGGGAGTATCGCCCGCGTCGCGCGCTTTGGGCTTCTTGATGATTACTTGGGTACCAAGCTCAAGCTTTGCTCCAGACTTCCATAACTCTTCGCCGCCATCTTTCTTCGTATGCATTGGAAGTGTGGATCGCTTAGCGGAACGCCCTCTCAGAGTCTTCGCTGCCTTGCTGTCTTCTTCACTAGCAGCTTCGAGCTGATCGGAATCGGAGGGTGAATCGGCAACACTTTCGTGTTCGTAATCAGACTGCACTGTTGAATCCTCATCAGATGGCGATGCGGTTGGTTTGTCCAGGTCATCATCCGAGTCTGGCTCTGCATAAGACGTCCTGGTCCCGGATTTGGCTCTCTTCGATTGGCGACTGGGTGTCGCCGGAGCGGCACGCTTGATAGGGCCACGGGACAACGTGGGTTCAGCGGGTTTGGTAGACTTTCGTGGCATCTTGAAATTTTCTCCCTCTGTATGTAGCAGTTCGGCTGGTGTAATGACTTCGCGTTGCAGTCGTGTGAAGGCAGACGCGTTCAGCACGGACCACCAATAAATGACGTTCTCAGTTTCCGAGAAAGTGCGGTCCGTCCCGCAACACTCGCACATTTTTCCAAACTGTATTCGCTTGGTCACCTGCGAAGTCTATTGCAGCAACTATGTTGAACCGCTTCCAAACACGCAAGCAAAAAATTCTGGAGCAGCTAACCGTCCCGGATGAGGAATACCAGGACCTGTCACCTAAAGGTTCTGTAGATGCGCCGATTCGCGCCTTGATCGGGGACTTGAACGTCCTTGAAGGGCTAGTCACAACGAGCAGCTGCTCTGGGCGCATAAGCGTCTTCCTCGAGGGACGTAAAGCTGATCCCACGGAAGCCACACCTCAAGATGAGTCACACGCAGGTCCTGGGGGCAAAGGAGGCGGAGGTCAGTGGCTCTACATATCACACGATCCAATCGCGATACCTCTAGATGAATCGTCCGACTATATGCAGACTTTTGGCCTGGTGAAGGGTGAATCTGGCGCGGGGTCTTTCAATCTAGCATGCAGGTACATTCATTTGAAGTTTGAGCCCATGGTAAGACTCAACAACACTTTCGGCCGATGAAGCTGACGTACGACAGATTCTACACATCTTGACAGCGTCCTTAGAAGACTGCCAGCGCGTACTCACTGCCGCTCTCAGCGCAGGCTTCAGGGAAAGCGGTGCCATGAGCTTGGCTCCATCCAGGAGTGGAGAACTCAATCCTATGGTGGCTGTGAGGTCTACAGGCTATTCCTTCGATTCAATCATCGGCTACCACGATAGTTCGGGGCAGAACATCGCGCTTGTGGACGGAAACTATCTCCGGACGCTGGTGCATGTTGCCAACGAACGTTTCCAAATCAACACAGAGAGGATTGCACGATTCAGGGTAGCCTTACTCCAGCAGTACCAGCAGAATGAAAGACACAGAGGCGCGATCTCCGAATGGGAGGATGCTGGAGCCAGAAAAGCGCGTAAAAGAGCAGAGGGGCTGGCTCGTCAGCAAGCTTTGAAAGTCCAAATCGAGTCGGACAGTACCAATAATGTTTCCGCAGCAACACAAGATGGTGATCTGAGCAACGTGTTCGATTGAAGCCGCTGATGCAAGCGATATCAAACAATCGTCCCTACGCAAACGATGTCTCCGTTCAATCCCGCAAACATTATGACTCATTCTGCGTCAAGTGCGAAAAGGCACGCACTTGTGCCAACTCGGGGACTATACGCACTGTTTTACGAAGACAATGTCTCCGAGATAGTCGACATCTCCATCGAGAAGCACTCCTCGGCTAGGTGTTAGTTCTAGCCCGATTTGGCGAGTGGAGTGCTTAGAATAAAGTCTCCGGTAACAAACGCACCGGCGACATCGCACGACCACAAAGTTGGCACACCTCTATATATAGCCTCGTGGACACGCAGGTGCATTTAACACAACAACAAGCAATATCAAGAACCATCTCAAGTCTTCCACCCATTATTCTAGCCCTGCAACAGTCTTATGTGTGGCCGTTACCCTCCCGCCAATATGTCGACAGCAGCAGCCAACCGACAGTACTTTGAGTCAGTACACGATCGAATACTCTTAAACCCAGAACCTAACGCCTTGCAGTGCCATCACAGACACATACGACTCCAAGCCCTTCTTCGCCAAAGTCAACCAAGAAGTGACTGACGACCTGCGCAACCGCCTGGACTGGATTGGCATACCCTTTGCAAACATCGAATCCAGCTCCGACACCCAAACCGTAAGGCAGCTGGACTACGCCTGCGGTACAGGCCTCATGTCACGGGTACACCTTCACCTTCTCTCGTTATATAACGAAAGACACTAACGCGCCTAGGTCTTCGGCCCCTACGTCACAGAAACCCGCGGCATCGATGTATCCCCCAATATGGTCGCAGCCTACAACGCCCGCGCGCGAGCCGCCGGGCTGTCTGACTCTATCATCAATGCGGTCGTCGGCGACTTATTTGACAGGGACAACCCAACACCTACCGGTGCGGAATGGGATGGGTTTGATCTAGCGACAGCGAGCTTTGCGTTTCACCATTTCGAGGATGTGGTGCATGCGGCGAAGTGTCTGAAGGAGAGGCTCAGGCCGGGCGGGGTGCTCATGATCAACGATTTCTTGGAGGGAGGGGACTTGAAAGCTGATGAGAACGGTGAGCCGATTGAGGGGACGGAGGGGTCGTGGCATCACCATCACAGTCACCATGGGCACGGGCATGGACACGGACATGGCCATGGCCATGGCCATGGCCATGCTAATAAAGAGCACGGCCATGAACACCACGAACCTATGAAAGTCGAAGACGAGCCAGGCTGGGACCGCGCAAAGATGTCCGCCTCGATCGTCGTGCCTAGCTTCACCGTTGACGGCGTGAAGAAGTTTTTCACCGACGCAGGTCTGGTCGATGTGGATGTCGTGACGATGGAAAAGAGAGTGTACATGGAGTTCGGTGGGCAGAAGCTGTGGCGGACAATTTTGTTTGCGAGGGGCAGGAGGGCACTGGAGGCAAAGTCCGAATTGTGAAGGAAGCTGTGATAAGAGAGCATACTCTGAGCATGATTTCCTGGCAATAGAATGCCAGGTCTACGCATTTCATGGACTCTAATTCTACCTGTTTGTCATGTACTGCTTCAGAGTTGAGATCTATCGTTCGTTGTATGCGGTTTGAAGTGTAACCAGAGCAGCTCGTAGTATAGTGATCATGAGTTCTTTCTCAATGCTACAAGCGCCTACTGGAGCATGTCGTGTACGTTGGGGTAGCTACGACGTATCGGTCATCTGTCGATCATCCAGGGCAAGCCACTTGTACAATCATTTGTCCTGGCAATTGTTACGTTGCCATTCGACAAGAGATGCTATGTCACATTCAGGTGTGCTCCAAGTCACGCGTTGTCTCAGACTCTTCTCGTATGGTCTTGCGAAGCATCTACGATGTATCAGGGGTTCATTGCGTGTCCCGGCTGTGCCGTTGAGGCTTGGCGTTGTCGGGCGGTTGTTGTGTCTTGCGTTTCGTAGAAATTTTGGGTGGATGGGAGTTCGAAGGAGTTGACCGGTATCGAATAACCGGAGACTGCGCCTTTGTGTGCGAGGGTAGGTTGAGTTGTGACAATTGTCCTTCCTGCGACTGGTTGCTCGGTAGTACCTGTGATGCTGTTTCTCTCGGTCGCGAAGGAGCCTTGGACTGCGGAAGGGTCTTTGGCTGTGAACGCGGCTGCGGTCGCGGGTTAGAAAGGTGTGACGCTTGCAAGTTATCTCTAAGCGCTTCAACCAGGATATCGATTATGCCACCCGTTTCTTTCCGCACATCCGCGTACTTGGCTGTCACCAACGCCGGTGTGATATGCAGTCGCACACTTCCGTCCAGGCTCAAATCCGCATTCCGTTCCGACAGGCTCTTAAAACCCTTCTGCTCGCGCAACTTGGCGACGTTGAGCAGCCTGCCGAACTCGTCAAAGCCCCGTTCTTTCAAGCCTTCGGTGAAGGCACCGCGCAAGCGCCTCCTGCACCATGAGCGCACTACTGAGGACCTGGAGAGGTCGATGCCGGAAGTGACATGCCACCAGAGAGCTTCTCTCTTGCGCTCTGCCAGCTCGCGCCTGCGCAGGATGTGCAGCGGGTGCAGCCAGTCGCTCGCGGCATGGTGCTGGAGGTACGTCCTGTACTCAGGAGAGTAGCTGACTTTGAACGTCGTGGGCTGAAAGCGGCTGAAGCGATTGAAAATAGACTTCATGGGTGAGGTTGTACGGCAGCGGCCGGTAGTGATTGGAAGCGACGACTCATGGGGCTATGGTGGGTGGTTGTTTGGGCAATTGCGACGCTTCGACTGGGCGAACCGTGATGACGCTGCAAAGATAACTGTAAACCTATGCGCCGCGCTAGCCCCGTTGCGGATAGGGCTTTGACACATTGATCACAGAAACCTGCACCATCCCTTCACGCCGCAGACACCTCACTCCCACACAAACTCCCGTAGCCGCCACTTCCAATACACCACACACAGCGGCCTCTACTACTAGTACCGACTCCACCATGCCCAAGAACAAAGGAAAAGTACGTCGCTCTACGCGCATTACCCCGCCACGTTGCCCCGCCACCATCCCGCATCCCACAAGGCTTCCTCGAGAGCGCATGCTGACACAAAGTATAGGGAGGAAAGAACCGACGTAGGGGCAAGAACGAGAACGATAACGAGAAGCGTGAGCTCACCTTCAAGGAGGAGGGCCAGGAATACGCACAGGTCATCAAGATGCTGGGCAACGGTCGCCTGGAAGCGCAATGTTTTGACGGAACCCGCCGCCTGGGCCACATCCGCGGCAAGCTCAGGAAGAAGGTCTGGATAAACCAGGGTGACATTATCCTGCTCAGTCTGCGTGACTACCAGGACGAGAAGGGCGACGTTATGTGAGTTTCCTTTCCGCCGCCTGTATTCGTGCGTGCATGGCTGACTGTTGCGCAGCCTCAAGTACTCCGCCGACGAAGCGCGCTCACTGAAGGCCTACGGCGAACTGCCCGAGAACGCAAAGATCAACGAGACCGACACGTACGGCGACCAGGGCGACGAGGGTATCGGCTTCGAATTCGACGAGGACCGTGACGACAGCGACGACAGCGATGACAAGGATGGCAAGGAGCTCGACATTGACGACATCTAAGGGGTTATGCAGTCCGCCATGCTGCCCGGTCTCTATTTGCCACTACGCGACAAGCACAACTTTTTTTTGCAAGAGAGTCCGGGACAGCTCAAATGCGCGCTTCGACGGCGGGCGGACGGTTTGAGGTTCTGTTCCATCTTCTTCCCAAGATATCACGATTTCATAGCTCGACGATGGCAATTCCGCCTTTTTGATAGCTGTTTGCGGGTATAGAGCAAAAAGGATCCGTTCTCTTCAAGTAGTGCGCCGGCCTCGCCAGCTGTCCACTTAACATGCCTTCTTCTTTCCATTCGCCATTCTATTCTTCTTCCCGTTCGCCACCCCGTTTCCAATCGGCTGTAGCACAGCTTGTGGCCTCAATGTTCGCCCCCGTCCACCCACCGCAAGGTCTATAAGAGACACGTATAATTGCAAAATCATGACAACCGCGCGCAAGACAAAGTCTTTCCATCCTAAAACAGGGGCCGTCCCTCTGCTAAACTTGGCATTTTTCGCCTCCCACGGCACATTCCCACCTAATCTCAACCCAACTTTCATCCCGCTAGAAAATCCATCTTCGTGGAAACCATACCCCGTCCATGCACCCGCATACCAGACGCCCCTCTTGCCTTGTATCTGCTCTAGATGTTCTTGTGCAGCTACCATGCGAGAGTTATAGAGCGGATGTCTGTACTCATACGTAGCTTGCGTGAGGGCAGGCGAGGGTGGTGTTGCTGGGTTGAGAGTGACCAGAACGTCGTCAAATGTGGATTTCGGGAGTGACTGCAGGATGTTCATGTTGTAGGTCAGACAGACAGACTGGAGGTTGCCAGAGGAGCTGTCGGTAGATTTAGAAGGGGGCTGTGAATGAGTGAGGTAGTTCCAGGCTGCCCAGGCTTCGCGGCGCTTGGGCATAAGCTGGTGCTCGTTAGACCGGACGTCATGAAAGTATTGTCGAGGGCTACTTACGGACAGGTCGGAATGGAGATATGCAATGTTCGGCGTGGTTTCGAATGCGCCCAGAATGTCTCTTTCTTCGAGCGTGGCTGCGTCGCCCACGATTGACCGTGCCTGGTCTCCGTGGCAGGCCAGCACAACTTCGTCGAATACCTCCTTTCTCCCCTCTCCTTTGCCGCCTAGCACTAGCTCAACACGCCCATTGACTCTTTTTAGTGACTCCACCGGTGTGCTCAACTTGATTTTCGCTCCCGTGCACTCTTTCAATGCAGCATCAATGTATCTCTTCGAGCCTCCTTCAACAGTCAACCAAGGCGGCCTCTCCGCCACCGTCGACAATAGATGATGATTCCACATGAACCTCACAAGCGTCAACGCCGGAAACTCCAACGCACACTTATCCGGACCCGTGCTCCACACGCACGCCGTCATCGGAATAAGATAATCGTCCCGAAACGCATCAGAATACCCTTCTCTTTCCAGATACTCTCCGATAGTGAGGTCGTTTGACGGCGCCGCAGGGCTAGACAGCAAATCCAAAGAAAACATATTGAAGCGCACGATGTCGAAGATCATACGCCAGAACGACGGTCGCAGCGTGTTGCCCCTCTGCGCGAACAACGCCCCCAGCGACGTCCCCGACCACTCGAATGCGCCGTTGTCGCGCGAGACGCCAAAGGTCATCTCTGAAGCGATGGTTTTGACGCCCAGCTCTTTAAGGAACGCGATGAAGTTGGGATACGTGGCGACGTTGAGGACAATGAAGCCTGTGTCTACCGGCGTGGTTTCCAAGGCATTGAGCGGCGACGTCCATGTCGCGGTGTTGGTGTGGCCGCCTAGCCGGTCTGCTTTTTCGAAGAGCGTGACGTCGTGGGGGGTGTTGCGCAGTGTCCAGAGGGTGGAGAGGGCGGAAATGCCGCTGCCGACTATGGCTATGCGCTTGCGTTCCATGTCTTGAAGTGGCTATATGGGTTTCCTCGTTACGCTGCTTGGAAAAATGGTCACGACCGTCGTAGGTGAGGCTAGAGCAATGATCGTCGCTTGGATTGTCGAGCTAAAGATTGGTAAAAACGGATGTTGGCTTGAGTTGCGTGGGCAAAGTGTTGAGGTCATCGACTTCTGAATCGAGCTTCGTTTCATCTTCTAACTGACTCGTGCTTTTCCATCATTTTGGCAGTGTTAGTTGGATTCGTGGCTTAACGCTGAAGGTAACCTGTGCATGCAGTAGATGTGCGCATTCCGCGGAGAGACTGCAGTAGAAGCTAGCTCTCTTCGAAGGGTCCTCTTTTTAACCTTGGAAGGGTCCAGATTCTCCTTCTACACAAGCTACGCTGATTTTGTTTCGGTGCGCCATGATCTTGAAAGGACACAGCACCGTAGCGGTATTGAACACATTTCAGACGTACAAATCGCGCGATTGATGGAGGAGATTTGGACTTCGATTCCTTCAAGCGCTCGAGCGTAAGGACTGTGATCTAGAGAGGCGAAATTTGTTACAGAGTGTTTAACGTTATCGGAGTGCTTAGCCACTTCTATTTGAGCTGTCTAATGGTTTCGAGTCTATTTGAGCTAGGTGTCAGGCAAAGTGGGTTGGAGTTGTGTCGGTTTCAAGGTATCTGTTGCCCACATGCACTGTCCGAGACATCACGTGACGACTTGACAAGGGTCCCTTGGCATTACGCAGCGTAGCTCATCCACGCCTCCAGGCGCAACTCCCCATCTTAAACTCCCGCCCAGACCTCTCTTCGACACTATTAACACCACCTTTGCACCAGAGATTCCTCGCGACCGATATTCAACCCGTCTACGGCCCAAATTCGACCGCAAACATGTCTCTCGTCGACGCCGATGCAGGCACGGAGCGCTTCAGCGGCTACGAAGCCGACCTGAAGCTCGTGCAAGCCGACCTGAACCAGCAGATAGAAGTCATTAAGGAATCGACCGGCGAGCCGCGGAAAGCGGCGATCAGCAAGGCGGAGCGCGCGCTTGAGGAGGCAGAAGAGCTGGTATGTTGTGCCTGCTACTCGGGCATGCGACAAGTGATAGAGGGCGTCTAACACTGTACACAGATCGACCAGATGCGTCTTGAGAAGTCCAACATCCCCGCGAATCTGAAGTCTAAATTCAACGCCCGGTTCCGTAACCTCGAACATGACTTGGACGAAGCGAAGAGAAAGGTCCAGTCCTACTCCAGCGACCGCAGCAAGCTCTTCGGTGACCGCTATACCGATAACCCCGACACAGATGCGCAGCTCGAGCAGCGCCAGCAGTTGCTCTCAGGCACCGATAGGCTGCAGCGCTCATCCGGAAGGCTTACGGCGGCCCAGCGCATGGCATTGGAGACTGAGGAGATTGGCGCGGGCACGCTGAGCGACCTGTCGAGGCAAAGGGAGCAGATTGTCAACACGAGGGAACGGCTGTTGGAGAGTGAAGGCTACACAGACCGCAGTATCAAGACTTTGAAGGGCATGGCGAGAAGGTACGTATCTACCTCCGCATACAACCTGCCGCACGTGTTGATGCGGAGTGCTTAGGATGTGGTTCCCTGTTTGATTTGACTGCTAACAATATTTGGTTTCAGAATGGCGACGAACAGGATTATCACCATTGCGATCATAACTGTACTTGTGCTTCTTATCATTGCGGTCATTTACAGCAAGTTCCGTTAAGCGACTGACGTGTATGTTCGGAGTTATGGGCGTTTGAGCAATTGAATGTTAGAGGTACACCTGAAGGAGATTGGGGCCTGTAAGAAATGTGGGCTTGTCTTTATTACGATATTGCAACACTGGGAAACTGAGACTTTTCAATCGCGATAAAGGGCCTATAACCTCCTCATGCCAGCTTACTATCCGCCGATTTGATTATCCAGGACGTGTTGCAACGATGGCTGCAGTGCATGTATCCGTCCAGCGTAGCTCATTACGTTCGGAGATAGTGAAAGCCCCGCGCGCGGCTCGGACCCGAGAGCTGAACGCAATGGCAATCATTCTACTAGAGCTGGCTGCATCCCACCACGCAACTACACCAACAGTCTGAACCACTCCACCAGAAGCAATGGCGTGCCCAGACTGCTTTCGCGGCGGCGTCGTCACCGGTGACCCGAAAGGCACGATTGAAACCCTCTACGGCGTCACTACCTATGTCGCCAAACCCCAGGGTACTTCCTCGTCTCCCTCAACGATCGTGTATTTCACCGATGCGTTCGGCCTCGACCTCGTCAACAACAAGGTCCTAGCCGATGCTTATGCCTCCGCAACTGGTATCCGCGTCCTGGTTCCTGACATCATTCCGGGAGGCCCGATGCCAGCCTGGGTCCTGGACACCATGGAAAATGCAATGGGTTCTGTCGGCCTATTTGACATTTCCGGTCAAATCAACAGGATCCTGATGTTTGCCAGCTTGTTGCGACAGTTTGTACCCTTCATGTACCGTGCCAGACCCACTATCCCTGCGACGTTCAACATTTGCCTGGACTACGCGCGCAAAGTCAAAGCGGACCTCCCCGCAGGGGGAAAATTGGGACTTGCAGGTTTCTGCTGGGGCGGGTACCTCAGCGTCAATTTGTGCGCGCAGGCCGATAAGGAAGGTGGAGGTCAACGCCTTGTCGATGCATCGTTTGCTGCACATCCATCATTTCTCAGCGCGCCGGGTCAAATCGTGGATGCTGTGTTGAAGTTCAAGTCGCCGCTTGCTATCGCGCACGCGGAGAAGGACTTCAATCTGAAAACGCCTGCGGTAGAGGAAGCAGAGGCTGCGTTGAGGCAGAAGGCGGGCAACGGAGATGGAGAGAATGGCTACAGCTATCAGCTCACAACGTACAAGGGTGTAGATCATGGTTTTGCGGTTAGGGCGAAGTCTGGAGATCAGACGGCGGCAGCGGCGGCGGATGGTGCAAAGGAGCAGGCGATTGAGTGGTTCAAGAAGTTCCTTTGAGCTCGACTGTCGACTGTCCGGCTAACAGTTGTAACTTATCCGCTAAGAGTGGGAAATCAATGAAAGCTGTAACTCCCATTATCTTATGCAAACCCAATTTGGCTGCACTTGAGGTGCTCCAGTGGTGCGAGGCCACGTTCCTTTTATGCCTCGGAGACTTCGAAGTGCAAGTGAGCCCCTGAGGCTATCACAACTTGGACCTAACGCGAGGCCAGAGAAGTAATATTCGCCATCCCCATGTTTCGTGGAGAAGCCATGTTTCTTTCAGCCAGAGACTTGAGATCAGTGGTAGGGTTGAAGTCCCTTAGTCCTGCGTGAGCTACAGTAAAACGCAACTTGAACGAATGACACATACCATCACAGGTGCCAAAGCATGTTATATATAGGTTTATTAGCTTGAGTTTGGTTAGAAATTCGAGGGTGCCCTGGGAGGACAAAAAGTAGTCGCCAACAGGCCCTAGGTGCTCTGCGCTCCACCCAAGGCCTAACCATCACCCCAGATGCCTCCGCAACGATTCAAACACACCTGGAGAGCATCAGAAAGCCAAAAAATGCATCGGCCGGGAATCGAACCCGGGGCTATGTTCTGTGCACATAACCCCGAGGGAATGCCGATGCAAAGAAAAGGTGGCCGTGTGTTCTGTGCACATAACCCCGAGGGAATGCCGATGCAAAGAGAAGGTGGCCGTGGTGCAAGGGAAGGCGTTGCTGTGGTAGGAAGGAGTAAACACCAACCAAGGAACACCAACATGGCCACGAGACCCTGCACTGTCGCCGACTAGGCTACTTGTTAGCTATGCTGCTGCTATAGGTGCGGCCGGACGTATGCTGCGGGCAATGCCATTGTCGCCAACCAGGCCGCTTGCTAGCTATACTACTACTACTACTACTACTACTACTACTACTACTACTACTACTACTACTACTACTACTACTACTACTACTACTACTACTACTACTACTACTAC